ATGGCAGATCAACAACAGCAATCGGAGAAGCAGCTTCAGCGTCAAGCTCAGCCCCCCCGCCTCAATATCAACCTAGACCTCAGCAGCATCAGATTGCGCCACGTGCAGAAGGATACAGGGCTCCTGCTATCCGAGAATCCCGCATCAAGGACCGCCCACCGCCAAAGAGTACCGCATCAGACAGTGCGCTGAGGATTAAGATCGAGCTTGATCTAGAGGTTGAGGTTGATTTGTATGCGAGGGTTAAGGGAGATGTCACTATTGGATTGATGTAGATTCTTGGACTTGGTATGGTGGAAAGAGATGGAGAAGGGATTTGTTTGTCTGAATATGGGACTTCATTTCTGACTAGCTTGGGAGTTTGCGATGACATCGGTTTCATACCATTTTGTATACATAGGGGTTACAAATACAAGTAACATTTGAGCATCATGGAGGGGTAAAATGCCCCGCTTAGTCACGTGTTTTGACAGGAATTGTGTTCTGATATTGAAATTTCGAATCAGTAGAGTGTAGACTAGGCTATTTAATCTTATCAAAGCTATATTGGAAAGCGGATATATAAAAGTAAAGAAAATAACTCATGGATTTCTGGAATTAACGAACTACGGAGTACATCTAAACCGGAACAACTTATTCTCCGACTGCAGGCATCTTTGCGATCATCTTCTCACACAACCCAAACAAACTACTCGCGTTTGTGATATCCAGTGTCGTCAATTCTACACCCAATTGAACGCGCACCCAATTTCTCACCTCGACCGCGCTCAGACTATCCACCCCGTAGGCGCTCAAACTCTTCGCCGGCTCCATGGCCTCGGTCAGTCGCAACGTCTTCGTAAACTGCATGCTTAGCACTTCTAATCCCGCTGCCACAAGGGACGATTTGTCTGCTTGATTCCGATGTAGCAGCAGGAATGTCTGAACGGCTTTGGCATCCTCGTCTCCGGCTTTAGAACCTGCATGCTGATCACCAGAATTGTGATTCGAGAACAAGGCGCTGAACCTGGCATCGCTCTCGAGATCCGAGCCTTTTTGCTGTGGCAATGCGATACCTATGATGAGCTGCGTTGCGCTTTCAGGGTTGATTGGCTGTGTTTGCTGGAGGACTGAATATTTGAACATGCGGCGGACCATACTCTCATTGACACCTAGCCAGATCCTGTTGTCCATCCGCTCTTGTATCCCCCCTTCCCTGGCTGCAAAGCCGACTTCTTCAATGATGCCCAGGTCAAGCGCGTGGGCTGGAAGACCCTCAGAGTGGCGGTAGCTCGCAAAAGAATCCATGAATACGTTGGCTGCAGAATAGTTGGCTTGCGCCTTTTGTCCGACGATTCCAGACATGCTAGAGAGAAGGGTGAAGAATGACATGTGAGATTTGTGTGCGAGACTGGATCTGTGGAGATTCCAGGTTCCTTGCACTTTTGCTGAGGCCGCAGTGTTATAATCCTCCAATGTCATCGACTCGAATGGTTTGTCCTGATCAATTAGCTTGTCGTTTTGATATTGGAGAGAGATGTACTTACTCTGAGTATCACTGCTCCTTGTATAATTCCTCCCACGGGATGCGTTGCTGCTTTGAAAGCGCTCTCAACATCCTCCGTGTTGGTTACGTCGGCTTTTGCCTCTTGAACCTCGCACCCAAGCGCATTACAATCTCTGACTATTGCTTGCGACCTTTCGTCGGAAATACCACTCCGAGTCATGGCAATTATATACTTCGCGCCATGCGCAGCCATATAGACAGCCAGACTTCCGCAGATGCCCTTAAGTCCACCGACGATCAAGTAGGAGACATTTGACTGAAGCGAAATCTCATGCATCGCCGGACGGATAGGTACCGTTGTGGTCATTCCCTTCTCGCCATCGGTGATTACTACCTTTCCAATATGACGACCATCGCGCATGTGGGCAAACGCTTCCGGGATACGATCAAACCCAAAACGTGTGACTGGGTTGATTGGCTTGATGTGGCCTCCCGAGAGCAAGTCAAAGCATCGACTCAACAAGCTAGTCACAGTGGATGGAGAGAGTTTTTGAATCGCTACCGACCTGTACGAACAGTTTCGGTCAAAGGGCTCCATCGATAGATATTGACGGTCGAGAATGTCCTTGTTGCCTATCTCCACCATGGTTCCACTGTCTGCGCATATACGCCATGATTCATCCAACAATTCTCCAGTGAGAGAATTGATAATGAGGTCGATTCCCTTATTTTGCATGCTTGCTTTGATTTTCCGAGCAAAATCTGTTGTTCTGGAAGAGAATATTCGATCGTCGTGAAGGCCAAATGTCTCCTTCAAAAAGCTGCGCTTCTCGTCACTTCCCACGGTGACATAAATCTCAGCACCTATATACTTTGCAAGGTAGATGCATGCGATGCCAACACCACCTGCAGCGGCATGGATGAGGATAGACTGGCCTTTCTGGAGATTTCCAACGTTGAGAAGGCAGTACATTGAGGTAAGGTAGGCGATTGGTACAGTCGCGGCCTCTTCGAATGACAACGAATTTGGGATGTGGTGAACGTATTGAACCGGGCATTGCACTCGATTGGCAAAGGTTGCTTGTGCTACCACGGCGACACGGTCACCAACTTTGAAAGTCTTGACGGCCTTACCCACCCTTGTGACGGTTCCTGCTCCTTCCATGCCCAACAGATGCTCGTTCCCGGGAGTGTTTCCTTGCGTTGTGGTAATGTCTTTGGAATTCAGTCCAGCAGCAATCATTTCGATCTCTACGTGCTCATCTTCCACTGACGTGAGTGGGGCTTCTGTGTATTGAAGAGCGTCGAGACTACCGAGGCGTTCAGCCCTCAAATTTGCAATTCCTTGTACATCATGGAGAGATTTGACAACCGGCTGTGCCCCGCGGCCACCTTCATCGTCCTTGAATTGATTGACCAGCTTGTCAGGAACTATCCTATTCACGAATACAACACCGTTGCGTTCGACAAATTCATTGTCCACGAAAGTCTTGGGCAGAGTTCCAGCGATGATCTCCAAGACCTTCACTACAGCTGGTATCGTAGCCGGGCCGGTACTTTTATGCACATCTAGAGTCATGAGACGCAGGCTTGTATCTTCTTGTCGAACTGTCCGGAACATGCCATGGATTAGGGCATTATCTGGCGTTGTAACGTTCATCTGGGAACCTTGGGTAAGCCAGAGGATTTTACAGCCCTGGGACACAAGGTACTTGACAGAGTCCCATTGAGCGCTCGACACAGACTTCAGAACCGGGTTGAAAAGCTCGTCTTGAATGAGGACTGTACTCTTTGGCTTGATATCCTCCAGTGGTTGATAGGACTCCAGAATAGTCCATCCAGCAACCTCCAGTGCGGTCGTCATCTCTGTTGTGGGCTTTCGATCGGTCATATTGGCAATAACGAGTTCTCGAGTCTTTGGGAGCACTGTTATCTTTGGCTTGGCAACAAAAATATTTACAGATGTACAGGACTCGCAAGAAACAGTGGCGGTGCGGTAGAAGTCGTTCCCAGTGGCAATGGCTGCGATTTGGTCGGCATTCAAAATGTTTTCGCTGTTTACTACAACAACATCTTCTTCCGACCCAGATCCGGAGTCGGTAATAATGGAAGAGTTTTCGGCCAAGATGGCGTAGCCTCCATCTGATAGTATGCCACGCACATTTTGGAGAACAGACTTCAGGAGTCTTTGATTCAACTTGTCGCCCTTGAGAATGACTAAGTCGAACTCCGATTCCTCGAATGTAAAACCTACTGCGGTCACGTCGACTAAAGTGGTTGTAGAATCCCGATGTCGGCTCAAATCCTCATGCACGGCGACGAAGCTGTTTGCATCCGCTGTCAAGAAGTTGAAAGTACTGTATAATGCCCTTGTGGGCCTTGACTCTTCATTGACTTCCGCAAACCAAATGCTGGAAGTATCGGTCGATCCCAAGTCAACTTCCAAAACCTTTAATGCTGGCTTCTTGTGCGCTATCAGATCGATAATACGTTGCACAGTGGATCCCGATTTGTCTACTGCAAGATTCGCAAGCTGTTCTGCGGACAGGAAATCAATGTCGGGGTTCCACATGGACCTGGTAATAGTGTGCTCCGCGCCAACGTCTGTGCCAGTAGGAAGCTTGTGGTATCGAAGAGCATCGATTTTGAGCATCATGTTGCCTGTTTCTGGGTCGTACATTGAAATATCGGTATACCAATTTCTCTTGTCGTCTTTTCGGCCTCTTCCCGAATACTTCGAAGTCGCGATTGCAATACCGATATCAGATGTTTTTGCTGTGTTGGTGATAACCAGGTCATCAATAATGGCTGGTAGCAGAACGGTATCAGGCGCGCATCTATCTCCGCGCCACACCGAAGGAATAAAAGCTTGAATGCATGCATCCAGCGTGCATGGATGCATAGGGTATCGAGATTGGGTCAAAATTGATGCCGGCTCTGTCAAAGAAATGTGGTTACGAGTCGTCAGACTACCTACAACTGCCTCAACAGAAAGTAGCTTCTGAAATTCGGGTCCATATCCGTAACCAATGGTATTGAATGCTTTGTACCATTCCGAGCCGGGCTTAGCATACTTCAACGGTGCAAGTTCATCTTTAGATACGACTGCCATACAATGTTAGCCACTGAACTAATTTTGGGAAATTATGATGCAAGTTACCTTCATTTGAGAGCTTTTCTAGACGAATCAATCCGGAAGAATGCTCGGTCCATGAGCCTTCATTCAACGATACGACCCTGAAATCATACCATGTCTCTTTTGGCCCGGGATGAGGAGAAAGATGAAGTGTAACTTTTGCATCATTCTCTTCTTCTAGGACTAAGGCTTTGTCGAACCTCACATTCCGCAGCCGGTAACTTAGCTGGTCCACTGAAGATACATCAGTGTCTGGTTTCAGGGCATTGTGGCTCTGATACATGGCTTCTATGGCCATTGAGATGAAACCAGCGGCCGGGAAAATGATATCAGGACCCATCCCATGGTCTCGCAACCATGGTTGATCTTTCATCCGCAAAGTCTTGTTGAAGGATGGGAGTTCCCAAGAAGTCCCGAGCACTTTGCCTCCAAGAAGATCGTGGTGAGGGAACTTTCGGAAACGCCAATCTTTGCTAGCCTCACTCTCGTGCCAGTACTTGGTAGAGTGGTTCCAAACATAATTCGGAAGGTCGACGATAAGACGTGGTTGTCTGCCAGAAAGGTCTCTTTCATCCGCATTAACCTTGGCCAAGTCCACATTTCCTCCAGAAATGAAGAGCCGTCCTGCCACAGCAAAAAGAGCTTCTATTGAGTCTTTACCTCTTGTCAAGGCTGCGCAGTATTGAACTGAAGAACCTTTAAGCGCAGTAATCTGTGAGATCGGACCGGCGAGTGCACCGCTCGGCCCAATTTCAATCAAGAAATCAGGCGCTCCTGCAGGAGCGGACAGCATTGCTTGAACTGCCTGGTCGAAGCGGACCGGGGATTCCATGTTAGTCATCCAATACGCAGCATCACAGGCGTAATCCAGCTGGCGCCCTATGACAGAAGAATACATTGTAACCGTATCAATCGCATGAGCATCAGCCGCAATGTCGCAATTCTGAAGGAGTAGCTCCTTGTAGCATGCTGCTATGTTTTCCATGAACTTGGAATGATAGGCTACGTCGACCTGGAGGAGTCGTGCAAAGTGCTTGTCTTTGTCGATCCGTTCTCTTACTGTCTCTAGCGCAGCAGAATCGCCGGAAAGTGTCACGCTGTTGGGGCTGTTGAAGCATCCGATTTGCACCAACAAGTAGAGGTCTCCGATGTACTCTTGCACTTTTTCAGGACCTAACCCCACCGCAAGCATACCTAACGACGCTTTGGATCCGTCAAGCACCACAGCACGTCCCCGGTAAAACGCAATCTTGATAGCTTGTTCTTGCGTCAAGTAACCTGCAGCACACGCAGCCGCAATCTCACCGGACGAGTGTCCAACAACAGCTTCGGGTTTAATACCCCAGTTATCAAGGATCTCGAGTATGACGAGTTGTAGAGCGGTGACGATGGGCTGTGAGAACTCCGGTTGTCGAAGGTGCTGTGGTTTCCGCGGTTCGGTAAGCTCACCTAAACGTCACTTTAGCCAATACAATTTTGATGGGGAAGATCTGATACTGACCTAAAAGCGACCAGGAAGGGGGTTCAGGTAGACTTTGAAGCACATCATCCAACTTCTTGAGTAAAATCCTGGTGGACGGGAACGTATCAAGCAAGGATTTACCCATCCTCGGCCATTGTGCTCCTTGGCCAGTGAAAACAAAGCCAATCTTAGGGACACCAAGCCCTTTCTTCCCAAGAACAAGCTTGCCTTGATCGATATTGGTAGGGTCTTGTGTAACTAGATATGCTCTGTGAAAGTGGCGCGTTCGCCGGTGCGATAGCGTGTATGCCAGATCGGGTAGCTTGATCTGAACATTCGGATTGATGAGGTGATCACTCAGAGCTTTCACGTAAGATTTCAAAGACTTGTCATCATTGGCGGAAAAGACAAGAGTCACAGGCCGAGATACAGTGTCGTCTTCTGCAAAGAGATTGTCTTCTCCGGAAAGATAGGAAGAGCAATGCGCATCAGGTTCCCGACCTAGATAACTCGCAGTTTCATCCACGACTATATGTGCGTTGGAGCCTCCGAAACCGAAGCTGTTTACACTTGCTCGCCGATATGGAACGTCGGGCCATGGGACAGTTGCCTTTGAGGGACGTACTCGCAGAGTTTCGAAGTCAACTAGAGGTTAATGTCAGAGAGATCCAAAAAGGGATGTTGGAATAGTTTCATGCCGGGGATTTTAAACCTACTTTTGGGGTTTGGATGATCGAAGGTGGGGTTTCCTGGTATTATTCCTTTCTCAAGAGCAAGGATCGTCTTCAGCAGTCCTGAAATCCCAGCAGAAGGTTCTGAATGCCCAATGTTACTCTTGATCTAAGCTGAAGTCAGTAAAGATAAAGTTTGTTTTCTAAACCTTCAACTTACCGATCCAATTCTCAGTGGGTCGTCTTTAGGTCTTGTGGCTGCGAATACGGATGCTGCTCCATTAAGCTCAATAGGATCACCTGCTTGAGTACCTGTCCCATGACACTGCAACTTATTAACAATGTGCTTCCTAGGAAGTTCAAGAAGCAAAGGGGCTTGAAAGGGGAATTTCCAAGGCAACAAGAACAAACGAGTGAATCTAAAGAAGTTTGCTTACCTCAAGATAGCTGGTTATGCTGTAATCCGAAATACCTGCATTTGCGTATGCCGACTGGATTGCCCTTGCCTGAGCCTCGGAGCTAGGACTCGCAATCCCAGGAGTCCTTCCGTCACTAGTTGTCGCGGTTCCACGAATCACTGCTCGTATTGGGTCACCATCACGGATGGCATCGTCGAGGCGTTTTATGATTACAGCGTTGACTGCTTCGGCTTTGGCATAGCCATCTGCTTTTTTATCGAACGTGTGGCACCTAGAAGATAAATATGAGCGCTCTTAAATACGGTGAGGGGGCTTCTAACTTTCCTGTAAGAGAGTGCGCCGTCTTCATATTTCCGACTAGGATTAGTGTGTCAGCATTTTCTGAATTCTCTTTTTATAATGTTCGAGAGACTAACTATCCATATTATGTTCAGGGCTAACAACGAAGAGTATTAGTCACTTTGAAAGAGTTCAGATCTTGAGGGGTTAAAGCATACCTGAGAAAAAGATTCGCTCCGGCAACGATTGCGGTAGTAACTTCCCGAGTCTGAAGATAGCGACTAGCAATGTCAATTCCTTGAAGGGTTCCTGAGCATGCGGTATCTAGTGTAACACTAATTTCCCCAGAAAGTCAGTATTACTAACAAAGCGTAGATGTTTTCCACGTACCTTGGGCCCTTGATGTTAAGGAAATGACTAATCCTGTTGCTTAAGATAGCACGACCAAGACCCACCAGGGTCCCCGGTGGTCGATCCTCGGGATCCCGACCAAGCATATCCCCAAAATCTTGCAGATCGCTTGTTAGCATATGTGCATTGTAAATCCAGGATCCAACATACCACAAGTAAAGGAGGCAACAAAGCAAGCAACAGCAGCTCCGTCCAATGACTCCAGTGTAATCCCTGCATTTTCCAGTCCCTCATATACAACTTCCAGTAGTTGCCTCTGCTGCGGATCCATTGCAATTGCATCCTCTCTCGAGATGTTAAAGAACGGCGCATCGAATTCCTGTGGATCGATGTTTTCAAGATACATCCCCCCGGGAGAACGCATTGTGTTGGGTTTAGGTGAGCCCACGTAATGGGTATCGAGATTGAAGCGCGAGGGAGGTGTGGTGTTGCTGGCTATTCCGCCACGCTCGAGGAATTCCCAGAGACTGGAGGGAGAGTTGCTCTTGCCTGGAAGTCGACATGACATTCCAATGACGGCAAGAGGGGCTTGGGTGTGGCTTTGGCTGTCTGGTGAGGGGCCATTGCTGACTGGCTGTGAGTGATCTTTCACTACTGTCATAATTGGAATTTGCTTCTGCTCAAATTATGAGAGTTATTTCTTCTTCTTTGCTTTTCAACGCTCCAGAGAAAGTGAAATGTTAATAGGTGAGAGAAAATAATCAAGATGGGAGAAAGTTGCACTATCATTGGAGTCTTCTTCACTCAAGATCATGGCATTCTTATGCATATTCTCAATATCCCATAAATACCCTTATCGATCAGCCACGAGTCTGGCGCTATGCAGCCAGTATCTGAATTTCAGCCGGTGGGTATGTGTACCTGGCAGGAAACCTGGGGGCGTAGATTATAGAGTACCATTAGGTGACCCTATGCCATGGTACATCATGCGTCTCTTCAATATATAAGCTCATCCATGCATGTATATGCATCTATTCAATAGGTACATGCGTCTGTTCAATATCTAGATAACGACTGCATTCCGCAAATCATGGTATCCAATCATTGATATGAAAGATATCCATGCAAAGTAGAACTAGCTTGAGAAGTAAGATAGGCTGAAGTAATACAATTTTTGTCTTTCAGGCGGATTATTTCTTATCTTGTTGTTCTAACTCTTTAGTCGACTTTTTGTCTCAGAAGAAGTATATTTTGCTTCCATTTCTATCTACTTATTCTGACGAATTCAAAAGCTCTCTCAGGGTCATAATTTCAAGTTTACCAAAGCACTCTCTCCATCTAAAGATACCTCTTGATTTTCATTGCTTTATATCCAGGGCGAAAATACGTGCTATTGCAAAGATGGCAACATCACGCGAAGAAGTAGAGTTCAAGACACTTGATGGACTTACGTTGAGAGGGGTGTTGTTTCCCGCAAAGAAGCACAGCCCTGCCGTGATTTTGGCTCCTGGTGTAAGTTACCTCCATGTTGCCCTAAGCTTTTCTAGATACTCCGCTGTGCCTTGGAGACGTACTGTCCGAGTCTACTAACACCTTCTAGCTGAATTGTCCAAAGGAACTGCTACTTCCCGACCTAGCAGAGATTTTCCAACGGGCAGGAATAACCTCTCTGATCTACGACAGTCGATGCGTGGGCCAAAGCGACGGAAGTCCTCGCAATGAGACCGATCCCTTCAAGCAGCTCGAGGACCACATGGACGCTCTGAGCTATATGAGAACACTGGACATCGTGGACCCAAACCGTATCGGATACTGGGGCATGTCGAGTTCAGGAACCACGGTAGCCTGTGCGGCTGCTCTCGACCCTCGAGCCAAATTCAGCATCATCGTCTGCCCACGCATCAGCTTCACGCCGCCAAAACGGCTGCAAGGGATCCTGCTAAAGTGCATTCGGGACCGCGAGTCTCAGCTCAGAGGCAACACGCCGGCAACTGTCATCCTAGCATCGTCCAAGGGGGAGTCTCTAGCCGACGACCTGACTGTGGCAGGGGCAGCGCAGGCCTCCAAATGGATGGCCAATCTTGTGGATAAAGGGTGGGGTCATATGAACCGCAGTACGATACAGTCGTATTATAAGAACGTCATATGGCAGCCGAGGCCGATTTTGAAGCTTGCTCCTTCGGCGCCGCCGTTGATGATGCTCACGCCCGAGCAGGACGAAATAGCACCTACGGCAGACCAACTCGCTTTTTACGATGAATTGATAGGGCCTAAACGACTTTATGTTGCCCCTGGTAAAGGTCATTTGGATATTCTGACAGATGAAGATGCGCCAATTTTGATGAAAATGCAGGTGGATTTCATTCACAAGGTTTTGGACGGAACCTTGGATGATGATGAGGATGATGAAGAGGACTATTAGGTTGGCCTATGGTCATGGTTTTGAGACAGCTTGGATTCTATTTAGTTTGGCAATTTTGGTACTACTAGCAACAAAGAAGACGATAGATGAGGACATGGGGAAGTTCTACGGTGCCATTTTCGCTGCTTATTCGCTATAACAGGCTTGATACTAAAATGAGACTGATTTCGCTTCAGCCGAGAATACTTCGCCTGGTTAAACAAGTGAAGACCTGCACCCTAATGCAGATATGAGATTATAGTTGTTTTACTCTTAACTTTCCACTATTTCCTCCTTTGTAAATAAAATGAAAACAGATTATAAAATCTTATTGCCTAAAACAAAAATCAAGTCTCTTGAGCTAAGCTAAATTTATGTAGGGATATAGAAATAAATTATTCCTATCATCCAATCATCTAGGACTTATCTATAGTTATACCAGGTGTAATTACCAGTAATTCACTAGGCTAAGAAAAGGTTAATAAGCTAAAAGGAACACTGACTAATATGCTAATATGCACAAACAACGATGCTACAGCCTAATAGCAACTCCGATTGGATGAAGTAAATGACTAGGGTCTATTATTCACCCCTAAAGAATCTCGGTCTTCGAGCTACCGCCACTGGATAAGGTAATAGCAAGATTAATAACGATCAAAGAATGGTTAGACCCCCGGGAAACGTTTTGCGGGAGCGGGAGCACCAGCGGGCGGTACCGTAAGTCTAGAACTCTCGCGATTCGAGTACACCGCAATTTACGTGTATGATTCTTATAAGACTTATTATTTTGCTGCGACTCTTTCACGGCATGCAACCCAATAGTTCGGAGTTCAGTTGACGCTTTTCTTTCAAAGGAAGTCTAGTGCAAGTCGGAACAGGTTTTCGGAAAGCCACGAATTACTGGATTAGGCAACGGCGTCGTATATAGACGTTGCGGACTGGGCAGTCCGGGGAAGACCTCTTCGATCCAACTAGCGCGGTACGGAGTGACATAGCGAGATCCTGCGCCTTCTTTCAGCTTGCCACTCAGATGCTTGGATTTTGAAGATCATTTCCTTAAGTGAAATTGTACTTCTCGGCTGTATGCAGTTAGGTCCCTGAAAATACAACGCAGTCACCTCCAAGCCGCTGTCAAGAAGCGTTGGTCGTGAATGAGGCACAGAATAGCCAGGGGAGTTTTTGATCGCGTCATTTATTTGGCAGTCTGAAGCGATGGACAGGGCGAGACTTTCTTGCATGTACATTTATTGATTTCGCTCCAAGGATTCGAGCCTAAAAGAGGCAACACGCATGTTCTTCGAAGGCCAAAAGTGGCATTCTTGAGCTGCAAATGGTCCGATTTGCATACTTTGTACTTTGGGACTTTCGTTGCAACCCTTTGCATATCTGGGCTTAACATTCGATGGTATGACGCGTGAATCGTGCCATGGTACGGACCTAGCCGTTGCACTTTAAGCCAGATGCTGCTTGCAGTCATGCAGGTGCGATGAAGTGTGTGTCTGCACGTGGCGATGGTAGTCGACCTCTTTCGTTGTCACCCACCCCTAACTCAGCCTTGGTTCTCTTACTGTCCTTTATCTGTTACATCAGATAAGTTCAAGTTGCAATCTAGGCGCCTTATTGCCTTGGATGGGTGGGAAGAGTCGTACGAGGGGCATTTCAAGTGCATTCGGGGTCCAAGACCCTGACGTTATGACCCGGGTGTTAAGCAGCATTCTGGGTGCGTACAGTCTGTAATCTATTGACGAGAGTCAACCAGTGCCGGGCGAGCGGAATGCAGGTAGAGCAGTGTTGTTACTATTAGGACTTTGTTCGGACTGAGAGAAATCTGCCTGCTCCCGTACGAATTGCAATTAATAGCCCGCTGCGCCATCTAATTGGTCTCATCTTCAGAGTCCACACACATTTGGAATGCTCTATGCAAAGTGACGGCATCACATGCTAATTGATTGTAGTGACTGGAACGGTTGTGTATATGCAGACGATATTTGCCCGGGAAAGACTAATGTCACTCACAGCCTTCCGTCCGAGTGAAATAACGAGATATTACTACTAGCGTGTCATCCAGAAATCGAGCTTGGGGAGATAACGATGATCGCCGAGGGGAATCGGCCGTTTCCGAGTACAATCGTATGTAAAGTAAATGGGTCTTTAAGTCCAAGTCAATTTTAAATCATACTTGGATTTGAACGTGGCAAGTCCAAATAACTTGGGAGTTTCAGGGTCTATACACATGATATAATAGTAAGGGTACTATTAAAGGGGCGGACGAATGTAGGAAGCCGCATGCAGCTTCTAAATTACCAATAGACATAAAAGAAGCTTCCTTCTCTTTATTCTAGGGCATCTACTCCGAGAAGGGTTTACTAGCCCTCAATCCCGTTGCGAATAGCATTAGATAGAGCCTTCCGAATGAGAGTAATTCGGTCTGGTTTAACCGAGAGGCTACAGTACCCCACTAAGTATCTTAACATTAAATTCTACGCCTAAGGAGCACTTATGATGAATAGCCTACTAAGCTTCTCTAAGAATGAGAATACTGAAATAACAAGGAGGGAAGAGGGTCCGGCGCAAGGACCCTTCTTATACTAGCGAGTTCATATGCCTAGGACAACTAATCTATCAGTGTGATTCGTACCTATGTGAATAGCCGCTTAATGTTCTACGTATGAATAGGGGGACTGTTGGAATATTGGATTAGTCAGCAGACATACAAAACTTGATTTCGTAGCGTACTTCACACTTCACCTTATACAATACCGTTAAACCACGCAAGCTTTGACTCCTATCCTCCCTATAGTGTTATACAGCCTTCTTTCTCTTATCCATGAAATGTCACCATATACCTCCCTACATGAAGAAGCTTCCATCGCGGTGAATAGATAAATGGATAGAAAAGTAGCACCTATCTGATGTCCTAGGTGGATACTAAAAGTCAATAAACAAGTGACGCTTTCTATATACAGGAGGCATGACATAATAAAGAGACTTTCTTTAGGGTCTATAAGTGGCAAACCATTTTGACCGGAGGCCGCAAAACACTAGGCGTTGGTAGTTAATTAAAGCACGGAACATTAATTGCACTTGCGTATAAAAGCGGAACACCCGTCGAAACAAAAGAGGCATCGAGAAACGTTGAAAAGGTAAATATCATGAATTTATATTTTTTGTGCACATAGCAGCAAGCAGTGCAGTCTTTCTATCTTCCTGCTTAAAAGAAGTCAAAGTCCAAGTGAGTCCAATCGCATCCAGCGAAATGGCCGTCATCCAACGAATGAACATGAGAACACCGGCCTTATGCAAATCGAATCAAATCTGTACATTTAACAACAATGTGACTTTGCTTGGTGATCGTCGAAGTGAATCCGCACATAAAAAAACCCATCCGTAACGCCAGGTTTTGTTCCCCGTAAATAATCTCGTTTCATACACCAGTGGCCCATCAAAAGTTACAACGCAAGAGAATCATCTCTGTCAAAAGTTAGCTTGTACTCGTTCAAGTCAGACCGAGTTAACGTACCCGTCCACGTCGCCCATTGACTTGCTGCTCTTGCTGCACGCCATATCCCATCCCCTGCATGCCCATGCCGGCGTATCCATACGCACCGATGCCCATTCCCATATTCGCGAATCCCGGAGGCGCGAATGGACTTTGATTCAACATCGGACCCGGGCTTGGTTGCTGAATAGGGCTTGCGTTCTGAAGTCCCTGATTGCGATAATGCTCTGGGGTAGGACTGGCATTATTGTATCCAAATCCAGATTGCATGTTTGGATAGAAGTTATTCATCGGAGGAGCAGCCCGAGAGAGGTAGTTTTGCTGGTACTGCTGAAGGGTGGCTGGAGTGAACACGTTTGATGCGTTCAACATGGGTGTACCATATGCTGGGTATGCAAGGTTCGAGTCCATGCTGTCAGTCCGTTGCATGCCCATGTTAGGATCGAATTGCTGTTGCTGTATTGGATAAAATTGACCGTTGAATTGCGGGGGCGCCATGTGGCCATTCACTTGACTGTGTTGGGAACCTGGTCTTTGCCTTTCAACTGAATGACTATTCGTAGCGTGGTCACGGCTCGGCCCAACACTACCATTCCGGGTTGAGAGTCCAACTTCATCCATCAGTCGCTTATATCCTTGGGCTGGTTGAGCCTTGATCTTCAACAGGACGGTTCTAACGCTGTCCACAACTTGGGGTCTGATGGCCTCATCGAAGAAAGGAGTTGTTAAAACCTTGAAGATAAGAGTAGCACCACAGGCATGATCAGAAAGAATGGCCTCGAGGGTCTCCTGATCATGAGAGAAGAACAAAGCTTGGTAGATAGCATCGCGTGCATTCGGCTCAGCCTTTTGGTTGATAACCTTGAGAACAGTGAGATAGGCAACCTTGTGAGTGCAGAGATGGACAAGATGTGGCACCAGCTGGGGTGCAAGAACAGTTCGTCGTTGTGGGAATGTGCAGGTGTCGAGGAACCAAGTCAAAAGGAGAGCCCCGTTTGCGTTGGTAGCCAGCTGAACACTGTGGAGTGCAATAGCAGCAGCAAGCATGCGTTGCTGGTCTTTGGTGGAATGGTGGCTTTCAAGACAAGCTCTCATAGCTCTGGCGCCATACCGGCCCTCTGCAATCTTCCACATCTGACTAAGCATTGCCTCGAAAATGAAGTCGTTGTATGGGGATCCAAACTTCAAGCAGCACTGGAGAACGTAATTTCCATACTGATCGAGGAACAAGGGAACAGTGTATGGCTGGAGGTTTGCGCAGATCATATTCATCTGCTTTGGGGTCTTGCAGACATCGATGACCTTCTGTGCAGCCCATGTACCGTTCTTGTGAATACCAATCTCGGCCATATGTGGGGAAATCTCCTCCAACATGGCATCCCGCATTTCATCATTGCAGTGTTCAAAGAGCTTCTGTACTACAGTGTTTCCAAGGTAGTCCGGTGAAAGCTCAGCAATTTCAGGAAGCATGTCAGCAGCGATGCCTTCAATTTCAGCAGTGGACCAGCTTTGATTGTCAATACGCTTTCGAATGTCCCGAAGCTTGGGCGCATCGTGGACTCGGTTAGGAGACGGATCTGGGATGGGTGGAATTTCGGACTCGAAGTTGTCGTACTTGATGGCCGAATCAAGACTCTTGGTAATCTTGGCCTTGTCATCCGGAGTGGCACCAAATTCCCCAACAATATTAAGAATATCGGATTTCATGTCTCGAAGAGCTAGCATGGCTAAAGGTGCAGTCCCTGGTCGTGAAATAAGACCTGGAGTAAGACTAGCATCCGCACCATTAGCTCCGTTGTCTCCTTTCATGAATGGATCCGGACTTGGCGAAGGGAAGGCTCCATCGTGACCTGGCGTGCCAGATGGGGAGGGTGGTTTGGCAAAGTTGATTTTGACTGGTCCAGCTCCGGGAAATATCTCCTTGCCATTCATCATAGTCTTAGCAGAAATGGCGCTTTCCAGGCGCTCAAAGTTGACGAATCCGCAGTTTTTGTGTGTCAAGACGCGAGCAGAAATGATGGGACCGTGCGACTTAAACATCTCCATGAGAGTCGAGACAGTCGTGGAAGACGGGATACTTCCAAGCCACAGAGCTCTGGTTGGACCTTCGAGATTATCGTCTGGGTTCAGATGAGCGTCACTACGGCTGTTTGAACGACCCAGGGTCATGGAGGCCACGGACTCTGAAAGTCCATCGTACTCGTGTGATTCTGATAGACCAAGGTCAGATGCATTGATGCTGTTGTCTAGTCGAGAACTCGAAGGGTAGTAGTTTCGAAGTAATCTAGTAGTTGGGGACTCCAAGACGCCCGCAGTCCTAGCTCTTGGTCTGTTTGATGAAGCCTGGTTGGCGAAAGCTTGAACTGCAAGGTTGTGCTGTGCGATTGCAGCAGTCGTGGCAGCAAGCTGAATATGGAGCGCGTGTTGCTGCGATTGATATGGAGTCATTCCCTCAGTGCCATAATCCTCGTCCTCTTCCTCCTCGTATTTCTCCTTCGCATTCACAGAGTATGATCGAAATCGATTTGCCTTGTTGATGTCTGCCATCTGTAGGTTTGCTAAAAATGGGTTTGCTAGTTGAGCTCTCGGGGGCTGAGGAGTGTCTGCTAGACCAAGGTAATCCAAAGTTCTCATCTCATTGTCACCAGCTGCTTCTCGGGAGAATGATGATTGGGCTGGGGAGCCTTGCCCATTTGATGACTGACTAGCAATGCTGGCGAGTGTAGAAGTTCGCTCACGGCTGCCAGGGGCCCAATTTGAAGAAAAGACTGACATGCCAAAGGGTGAAGTGCCATTGCCGTATTGGCTTCGTTGTGGCATCGAACCGGCCCGTAAGCGAGATAGGAGAGCCGCATTGTGAGAGTTGGCATGTTCCGGTTCTCCCACTAGATTTGGAGATGGCGACTTGAATGGGCTCGGAGAGGGGGTGGGACGAGAGGTTTTATTCGCTACGATGGTTGGGATAGGACCCAGGCCATTGGCGCCTCCGCCAGGAGAGAAACGTGATGGGACTGTGCCTGCTCGTGCACGTCTTGTGGATTGCGGACTGCTTTCTGAGGTTGGGGGGTGTGTGAAATCGGGAAAGCCATCAGTGGGAGACTCAGGTATGTTTTCGCGAAGGGGGGTTGAGTTGCCGCTGGTTGGAGGTCCCCAGACATTGACTGGAAGGCCTTCCTGGGCTTGAATTTCTCTTGCTCTGCTGCAGAATTATTAACTTTGTAGATCAAAATAATTGACAGCACAACTCAGCGTACCTTTTGGACAGGAATCTGTTGCCAGTGCCACTACCGAGTTCGTGCGATGGAGAACCAGCCCCCGATCGCGTGTTTCCTGCCATCTTGCCTGCGGATGCTAATCCAAAGGGTGATCTTACTGCACTCCCGTTGGAGGGTTCTGTAGGAGAGGTATTGGCTGTTGATGAGCCGGAGCGTGGAAGACTTGCGCTTGGTTGAGGCAAGTATCCTAGCGACAAATGTTCAGATCTCGAAGATGGCATTATAGATTATTCGGGTACCGAGATGTCTCTCGTATCTTGCACGGGAGATGGTAGGAAAAGTAATGTATTCGAATGTATCGTATTGCGTCACTCCAACTTACTGTCGTCGAGCGAAGATCAAATTATTCGTCTGCGGCGAGACTTGACGGTCGGATATTTCAATTACGATCCGGTGCGAGGATGGCAAATCGAGTCGAGGATATGGAGGCTAATTGGTGAATTCGTGTTTCAACGCGGCCAAGAGTTGATGGAAGGAGAGTGGCGCCTTCGAAGAAAGGGGAATTGTTGATACGAAGATCTGATTTGACCCGATCTATTAAAAAGAATAGAATCCCGACTCTGCAGAGGTCAAATCGATGACAGTGCAAGAACAAGAGTCCTGGATCGATGTGCGGAAGGTTGGTAGAGAGAAGCTGCCGATAGGGGTCGGGCGTCCGTGAAGCAACAAAAGTCTGCAGAAGGCTGCTGAGACGGCGTGTGCTTGGATTAAGCTCCCCAGGTTGGAAAAGGTTGAGAGAGCTGGAATCGAGATTCAATACTCGAGATTCGTAAATGAAGAAAATGAGACAGCAGAGAATAGATGCACTGTGTTGCCGTTGACTATACAGGCGTCATTAATACAAGAAAAACCAAGATGGACGAAGGGTACGCTGCTGGTCGATGGAGTTGGACGGAGGATGGAGGAGGAGCGACGAGGAGGGAGAAAGAGAGAGGAGGTTTGATGGATGGGTGGATGGAGGATGGATGAAAAAGGAGTCTCGTCTGGCGTCGTGATAGAGAACAGTTCTGCGAGTCCATGTCAACGTCCAAACAGGAGGTAGGTAGGGTAGGGTAGGGTAGGGTAGGATTAGTACCAGGATACGCTTTGGTGCAAGTGCGCTGTTTCAAAGCTGCTCGCCTACCTATCAGTAGGGGGGTTCCGTGGTAAGCGGCCGGCGTCTATTATTACAGTAGAAGCAGCATTCAAAGCCACGGGACGAAAGTTAGAAGAATGCCAATCTACGAATATATATTCTATTGTTCTATGTAATCTAAATCTGCCCATGAGGTTTCGAAATAGGCTTTGTAATATATATATTTAGCTCTTCAGCGCAGCTCTGCTACAGTGATTGGGGAAATTTCAGGAGGTGGATGACATGAGACGATAGCTCGGGGGCCTTTGTCCGCAGAAGAGAACATCAACCCTAAAAAAGGGGGAAGCAGTTGATGCGAGGAGAACACCCAACTAACTACCTTGGCTGCCCGACGGAAGGATCTCCCCAGCCTTCTTAAAATAAGAATGCATTGCATCCGCCAACATGAACGAATCCGCAGCATGTTTGCGTCTTCTACTTCGTGACAGCGGAGGACCACCTACCTGTACGTACAAGTTACCAGAGACCACCGCCCTATCCTGTCTGGAATCCTCATCAGATCAAAATCCTGGGGTGAGGTGAGGTGACCTCACTAACTGTAAACGTTTGGAGTCAAAGCATAAACGAGATCAATCCTCCAGGAAGGCTCAATAAGGCTGTCGTGGCTTGATGATTCAGATAGATGCCCTAATGTTTCCGCCGTTTTGCATTGATCTTTAAACTTTGTATGACGTGGAAACCGGCCTTTCCCACTCTTTTACTGTGACGGTATCCGTACAGTATGTACCAAAAAGGAGACACTGATAATCACTTATACGCGTACTGTTCTGTATCCAACGTGATGATTGGCAATGGTGGGTGGAAATAGAGGTGATGTGATGTAGACATCCTCTGCATCAATCGCCAACTCTGAAACCTTAGCTCCTCTCCTGTAGTGGTTGGTGGTTGGCAAGTCGAGCCGTTGATTCGGTTCCAGTTTGGCCGTTCCTGGGGCCAGAACCAGCCCAGCCCCCCAGCCAATCTGATGGGGTATTGCTCCGGGTAAAAGGTAAGGTAAGGTGAGATACCGTAGGGCTGCTGTATTGTGACAAGAGCCGCAACTGGAGACTCGACTCTACAGTGGTACTCCGTACGTAGGTTCTTGGGCAGATAGATGACCTCTTTCGCTACCTACCTACCTACCCTCGGAACAAAAAGAACAACCTCACACAGGACCTTCTATTTATATACAGTCACGTGTTGGCGTCGGATCTTCAAGGTTTGCAGCCGACTAATTCGCTTATCTGGCAATGCCACCCCAGTCCAGTCCAGTCCATCGTTTAACATGCCGCGTCAAACACCTTGATTTCCGTCGCATGGGCTCACTAACTTTACAGGTCATGTATCTTTTGATTCCATGAACGCGCCATCTAGACCGGAAACCTCGTAACGCGCTTGGCATCATGGCAGATGTGCCGGAAGAAGACACGCCCTTGCGCACCGAGGATGACGACTCCGAATCCGACAGTGGCAGCGGCAGCGACAGCGGCAGCGATGCAGAACAGCCAGAAGTCGAATGGTTAGCAACTTCAAGAGCAAAGCGTTCCACTGCCGGAAATCGATTAAATGCGCTCCTCCAACAAGAAGAGCCCGATGACGAACTCGAGCTTCTGTTCGCAGAGGACGATGAAGATGAGGTCTTTGAAGATGCCGAAGCAGATCAGTCAGATGTGCAGATGGACTCATCCTCCGACGACGAGGACCAAGGACCTGCGGCAGGAGCAGATGATTTAGACGGCGAGAAGGAAATACAACGCCAAGCTAAAGTGGAACGCCAGGCTAAGAGGCGCAAGTTGAATGATGGTATTCCCAAAGTCAAGAGGAGAGTCAGAATCGACCCCACAGTAAACGAGCCAGCTCCTCGACCCAAGAAAAAGTCAGAACGCGCATCATGGATTCCTACGGCTGAAGACGCTCCCACGCGAGCATCTGCGAGAGGGACTACGAAACAAAGCAAGCAGCAATTACACCAGCAAATGCTGGAGAGGGAGATTAAACGGTTGAAGCAGGTCGCAAGTATGGAGAGGGCCGCTGCGGCAAAAGAGGCTGCTAAGAAGCCTGCCCTGACACAGGAGGATCGACTGAAGGAGGCCGCGAGGGTGGAGAAGAGTAATTCCAGGAGTCTCAGTAAATGGGAAGAGACCGAACAGGCCAGGGAGGAGGAGCAGAGGCTAAGGTTAGCCGCGCTGCATAACAGAACACTGGAGGGCCCGGTTATAACTTGGTGGAGTGGATTTGCTGAATACGTTGGTGGAAAATTAAAGAAAGTTGGAACAATGCTCACAGTCACCGAGAAGGAGAAGGCAGGAAGGAAGAGGAAGGCCACAGAGATGGAGGCAGATGCAGCAAAGGCAGGCGAGGCTTCGAAGGAAAAAGCGAATTCTCAGGGGCCACAAGATACAGTAATTGGTGATTCTAAAGCACCTCCAACTCTAGACTCAACCACAGACGAAAAGCCTCCGACAGATGCTACTCTCAGTGCCGCATCACCTGCCCCTGAGCAAGAAAAGAAAACCGCCAGCGCATCACCACAAGTTGAAGCAGCCCCAATACAAGCATCGCCCGAACCACCAAAACCATTACCCATGCTTGCCCCGCCAGTGGGATTCTCAGTACCAACCCAGCCTCCAGCATCTTCCGTTCTGGCACCTCCTCCTATCAATCGTCCACCGGTGTTTACTCCTCCACCCCAAGCAAACGGTCAGCCCCTACACCCCGCATTCACGCTTGCCCCTCCCGCACAGCCCACTCTCGATGGCTCAGCACCCTTACCAGGTTTTGGATATAACTTCATGACAAACTACCCACCCAACCTCCCGACTTCCCAAATCCCCTTTGGAATCCATCCCCATGCACAGCCAGACGTCCCGCCACCACCACCCACCATCGAACACTCCAACCGGAATTACCTAATCCTCACCAACTTTGATGAAAACGCCATTAAAGAAAAGGACGTCCAGACACAAATCCTCTTCAACAGAAAATTCCTCAAGCTACGGAGTATGTCCACCCCCTTTTCCAATCCCGTCCGTCGGTCGCTAACCGACGAACTTAGAAACCAAACCTCCCCCCGAGCTCTGTGCCATAACATCCTACCCGGCCAAATACCGTGACCCCGCCACAGGCCTACCGTACTGCAGCGCCTTTGCCTACAAAGAGATCCAGCGGCTGCAAAAGGGAGATTATAAGTGGAGCAAACTCGTAGGCGCGTATGTAGGGAGCGGCACCTATGCAGCGAGGGGCGTGCCGGCGCGGTTTACTAACCCTGCGCATGTATCGACGCCACAACCATAACCACAACCACAGCCGCAGACGCAATCGAGTTGAAGTCATGATTGTATGAATGGGCATGTATATAATACCCCGACTAAGCTTTGCTCAAGTTGGGATGAATGACGAGAGCATCAAATCAATAAATTCTAATCCCTATATCACCTCTCTTCGTTCCCGTGTTATAAGGTAAACCCTTACGAACCTCGCGAAGATATTCTCTTCGCCTGCACCAAGATGTGCTATCCATATACTTGATAAGCAATCCTAGTTACAGTACCTAGACTTTAACAAGAATGAACTACCTCGGTATTTCTTCCCACTTTTCACTCCAAGGAATAATATACTACAAGTATATATCTATCGAATCCTTTTCTTTGGGTATAAGATAATATAGATATAAATATGCTACATAAGTTTCTGTTCTGTTCCTGTGCAACTTGGCCAGGTGTGATGTGATGTCACCTAGAAATGCCGGATGATTCGGATCTAGAGCCCCGCATTGTATATATATATACAACATTATCAACACACCGTACCACCAAAGCATATATTATGAAGAAAACAATTCGTGCTTTTCTATTCGTGGTATCTATTTTTGGAAACTCTTCGTTCTATCCTCCCATCTAGAAAATCCACCCTACATGTACTAAAAAACAAACGCCAGATGCTCTCTATTTCTATCCATATCATATCATATGATTTCTATGAAGAATGTGTAGATGGAGATGGGGATTATTATAACCCCAGTCTAAGGTAGTAAACACCTCGCTCGCTCATCCCTCAGCCAACAACGGTAAGTTGAGCTGTGCAGATTGACTCAAGCGTCTCCGCGCCTCCAAGTTCCGCGACGAAGACATAGCCGTCGCCATCGCTGAAGGCGCTGAAGACTTTACGGGCGCGGCACCACGGCCTCCCGTCTGGCTCTCCACGTTCCGGCCGTTCTTGTCGGTTCCCACGAGGTTTTGCACGGGTGTTTGGCCTGGCTTGTTATACAAGTTGCGGTACATGAACACGCCGCTCCCTTCGGCACCGGCTGTTTCCTCGACGAACTTGCACGTGCGTTGGGCGTTCCAGAAGGCGCGCCAGAAGCCCGTCTTGACGTCCGCTCGGTAGTGCGTGCCCATGACTTTCTTGATGTGTTCTGAGGCTTCGCCCGCGTGGTAGAAGGGGATTGTAGAGACGAGGTGGTGGCAGACGTGCGTGCCGATTATGTCGTGGAAGAGATGGGTGTCGATGAAGCCGAGGTCACGGTCGATGGTTGCGGTGGCGCCGCGGGCAAAGGTCCAAGTCTTGTTGTTGTAATGCGGCATGCTGCCATCGGTGTGTTGAAGGAAGGTGATGGCAACTAATTCAACTAGTCAGCACTGTTTTCTTGTCCCCTCACTCTTGTGAAACACTTACCAATCCAGTTGTTGACCCATAACCACGGCACACCCCAGAGCACAATAACATTCCAGCTCCCAAACACCTGTCCCGCAATCGCCAATGCCGTAATCATAACCACAATAGCGACATCAGACAGCAAGATGAGGGGCAGCTCAGCTTTCTTGAAGAAGACACTATCCTCGCCGAAATAGAAATGGCTGATCTTCATGCCCTTCGCACCACCATATTCCTGACCCGTCAAGTTCCAGAGAAGATATGCAGGCCATCCAAACAGCTGACCCAGTAGTGCCGTATACAATGTCGAAATCGGACTATCCTCAGCGAGTTCCGCAAACTCCAGCATGTTCGCCTTGGCGCTGGGTCCGAAATTCCTCGCAATCCAACTCTCCCTCGAGCTTGGCACAAACGCGGTATCCTTCTCGATATTCCCCGTGGATTTATGATGTTGCGAGTGGCTCAACCGCCAGCTGTGGAAGGGTACGAGGAGGAAGGAATGCATGATGAGACCCATGGTGTAATTGAGCATCTTGTTCTTCGAAAAGGCACCATGGCCGCACTCGTGTGCCAGGATCCAAATACCGGTGAAGACGAAGCCTTGCACGGTGGTGTAGGCTACCCAGGCTGCGAACCGCAGGTATGGGTTGGGGAGGAGAGGGATGTAGGTGACGGCGAGGTACATGAGGGCTGCGCAGTAGAAGTAGTCGCGGACAACATAGGCCATGGAGCGGAGGATGGAGGGCTTGAAGCAGTGTGCGGGAATGGCATCGTAGATCTGCTTCATGGTGAAGTTGGGGAGTTCAAAGACGTTTCCGTTGAGATCGAGATGCTGGCCCTCGGTCTGTCCATCAGCAACGACAGACATCTTTGCTTCGGGGATGGTGGGGATGTTTGAAGAAGCCATGATTAATATCGATGGCAGGTAGAAGGAGAGGAAGAAGGGGAAGGAGGGGACGAAGGGAAGAAGAGAAGGATTGTCTTTTGGGGAGGGACTTCAAGAGTCAGGAAGGGAAGTGTGTCAACTTTATTCACCGCACTTATCCCCCTATCTAGGGTCCCGCGACGGACCCCATAATTATTTTCCTCAACCCTTTTTTGACACGGGCCACCAGAGGAATGGGCTCATGAAAGGTCCATCCGAATGCGACAAATCATCTACTCTCGAAAGGGGTTATCATTTTTGGGTTACGGTAAAGGAGGTATTCCTTCTCTTCTCCATTGCACGAATAGGATATATGCGAAATAATAAAAGCATGATTAAATTAAAAAAACTAGCTGAGGCTGATGTTATGCTTAATTCTTCACCTTTGTTCAGCAGACAGACGAACAACAAATAAAGACTGTAAAAATCGCACAGCTGCCAGCTGCAGTCTGCAGATAAGATGTCCATGTCTCCCCCCCTGCGCTGCCAGATCCCAATGCCAAGCATGTGGGAAATTTGCGAAATCTGCAGGGTCCTTGACTCGTAACGTGAGCTTCTGATTGGTTCGCTTAATGTCCAGACACTCCACTCCACTGGTGCAACGATTCCGGTGCGATGCGGACCGGAAGCAGATCGGTTATTGAATTTGCCACGTGAAAAGTGCTAATGCATCGATCCTTCCTTTCCTTCCTTTCCTTCCATTTCCCCTGAATAACTAACTAGTCAGTCAGTGGTGGTGTGGTAAAGGTAGAGTCAAGTCACGCTTCACAATCCCTTGGCTGTTATGATATTTAACTTATTTCACGCGTTTCTTCCTGCACATAAAACTCTCTCTTGAGATCTAGACATCGGGATATACTTGAGAGGACCACTGGTGGACCACGTCGGATATATATAGATGTTCAAAACCATTGTTAGTCACGCGTACATACACGTGCTCTCTAGCAATCGATTAATCGTTGCGTCGAATTCTCTCTCTTGTCTTTGATACAAGACTTCATGTGTTGCTCGTTTGTCTTACAAGACCTCTGTTTGTTCGAAAGATGGAATGCGTTTCGCTGCTACATTAGACTCTATAAAATGCGATGCACCGTTTTAATTTTTATTTTCCAGCAAAGCCTCCTAGCCTCCCTTCGACCTCTTCTTTCAATTCAAAGGTCCGAATAACTTTTTGTAACAAGCAAGCACAGTTTAAACCACCATTTAAACTCCCCCTCTGTTGCTCATTCCCTCTCCCCAGCAACAGCAGCAGCATCCTGAACCCTCCTCTCCATCACAGCCTCCCTCCACACCTCATCAATCACCACGCACGCCTCTACACCCCCCTCATCCAGTACTTTCGTATCAACAACCATCGTCGCCACGATAACCGCCTCCTCCCTACCAGCATTATCACTAACCATATGTCTACACCCCGGACCTTCCGTAAAAACCTCCCCCGGCCCAAACACCTCCATCGCCTCATCGTTCATCTTGTTATACACGAACCCCGAAACCACATTCACCGTCACGAATGCCCCGGCATGCGTATGCGGCGGTGTGGAGCCGTTTGGTGGGAACTCGACGCGTGGAGCGACGATGCTTTTCCCCGGGCAGGTCGGGATGGGGTGCGCGTAGAGGGGGATGATTTTGTTGAGGGGGCGGCTGGCATGGTTTTAGAGATTGTTATGTGGGAGGAAGGAAAGAAAGGAAAGAGGAGGAGTGTGAAAACAGAAAACAGACTTGATATCGTAGGTTGGCTCTACAGCCGGCAGTGCGGGTCTCTGCGATGCCATTGTAGTTTTTCGATTGGGTGATCCTGGAGATGTGTGCAAGAGAAGATTCGTCGCGATTGTTGTTTCTCTCTGTGTGCATGTTCTGCTGGCTCTGTATATCTAGGAGATCTTATGATTTATATAGGCTGGGTGCCTCCAGATTCCTCTACATACTCGGGATTAACGAGCCTATACAGACCCGAACAGCAGGCATTCCCGAGTCGCCAGCCCTAAGGTAAAGCCACTCACTGGCAAGTGCCTGGTTACTGTGTCGCGGTGTACAGATATCGGAATCGGGTATTCAATATCCAACGTTACCCGTCCCGTATTGCTATAGCATTATACCCGAGCGCTTGGCACGCTTTACATAACATGAGAAAAAGGTATTCTATAGCCCACATCTTACCCATTTCACAATTCGCTAGGTATTGTAATTTAAAATGGTTGTTATTAGCGTAGCTGAGCAGCTGTTAGCAGATATGTCTGATGATTCACTCGTGAGTTATCATTATGATGATATATACCTCCATATGTTTATTCCAGAAGACTTCCATGGAGGACTTGAGAATAGACTATAGACCAGACTGTCAAGCTATTGGATGTCATTTCAGTATCCTTCCTAGAGATTCACTTTATGCAGTTCCTATTCCAGCAATAAACTAGTTACTAAACATGAAACGGGCGAGTTTTTCCATCACTTGAAGTGTAGATCTTTTGAGTTGAAGAAGCTTAGCAAACTCGCGCTAATAATACATAGGATGCTTTTCTGGCCTGTCTTAATTGATTCGGCTTGCGGTTTCTACTCGGTTATATGTGTTTTGCATCCTAGGAATCCGGAGAGCGTTTTTGGACTAAGCGATCATATAGTTCGCATCCCTGTAGCCAAGGCCTAACTCTTATTACAAGAAGTGTGATAATGCTCTATGTTAATTAACTACAGTTAAATATGTCTTGGGTATTATTAGCATAATCAAGAATTGAAGAATCCATATGATATAAGAAAGCTGGCTACTATAATAGGAGTACTAAAACATGGAGGTTAGCTAGTATCCAAAAAGCAAACTGTAAAAGGTAGTAAAGGAATGCTGGAATTCACCTTTAAACGTCCTTCTTACTATAATAAGTAGAAATGGATAATATTTAAAGATATGGGAACAATAGAAGAGGCAAAGCGAAGAGAAAGAAAGAAAGAGGGGATTCTCGCACTAGCCTTACCTATCCTTACCTGCAGCTCTCGTCCTAGGTGTTACCCAATCGCACATAAGACCATAAGAGCGACTTGTTAATCACTTCCTATTACAGTTTGCTTCTTGCAGATGTCAGATTCAGGCGCCAACAAATCAAACTGCTAGCGGTTTTTCAAGAAGTCATAGTCAACTTGTTGTCCTTTCTAGCCAATGAATGAACCCAGGAAACAAGCCTACGAGGAACAATTGTACAAAGTACGAGCACCGCACCAATAGACTACAAGTCCCCCGGAAAACCGACTTATAGAACTTACGTCAGCCTGACCGCCACTTTAGCTATTACTGCACAACATGACTCCCAAGATTCGGTCATTCACCATTGAATGATGCCAGAGTTTCTGTGTGGGACATCGATATCCATATATAAACAACAACCAAGCTCTCACCACATGTCATCAATACTAGGACCCTCTCTCCCAGGAGACCCATCGCTCACTCCGCGAGTGATCGGAGCCGGTTACTCGAGGACAGGAACGGTATCATTCACCATAGCCCTGCAGAAACTCCTCAATGGCCCCGTCTGCCACACCGGATCCGTATGCTTTAACCGTGAAGAAGGTGCGTACATGTTACATGCTCTGTTCTCCCACATCTCCTAATTACAGCTTGCCCACAACACCATATGCATCAACCATAGAACATCTCAAACCCCGCACGCACCAAGAAAACCACCCCTAGCTGATTAACAAGAACATATTTTTCTTGATACTTATTCATACAGCCATCATAAAGCAATTCTGCGCCATAGGCAAAGCAGATCCGGTGAAAGACCACGCACTGATAAACAACACCCTCCGCGGCATTTTCGCCGGCTATGTAGGCTTGACAGACAGTCCGGGATCAATGTACGTCGGGGAGCTGGCAGAAGTCTACCCCGACGCCGTGGTCATCTGTACGACGCGGGATGCTGAACGCTGGTGGGAGAGCGTGCAAGAGCTAGAGAAGACCGTGGTGGCGTTTTGGATGCAAGATATTTTGTTTGCGCCCATGCCGAGTCTGAGGTATTTCAAGACGTTTGTTATGTCCATGGCGCCGAGGTGAGTGGCTCTCTATCTATCCGTCATGTTATGGTTTGGGTGTGTGGTATATACGGTGTACTTGCAATTGGTGATTTTTGGTTTGATGAGTGGAGATATATATATAGACATGATTATATCTATGGTTACGGACCAGAAAAACAGCGAGGTCCTGGTAACTTTCCCCTCTTTTACTCCAAACACACACACTCTCTCTACAGTATATCCCCCACTAAACACCCTCCCAGACCACCTCCAAATCCACGCAGAATATCTCAAACGAGTCGTCCCCTCTTCCCGCCTATTCTTCTTCGACGTCAAAGACGGCTGGGCTCCGCTGTGCAAGATCCTAGAATGTCCGATTCCAGACGAGCCGTTCCCGCATGCTAACGAGAACGAGGCTATGCAGGAGTTTTTTGCTGGCATGTTTAGGGCTGCCGTGGTCAGGTGGATGCAGATTATTGCTGGTGGTGGGCTTTTGGCTGTGTTTGGGGTGTGGATTTACGGGAGATATGGGGCTGGGTATTAGGCTAGCCTGGCGATGATTCATAAAGAATTGCTCTCCTGTAAACATACTTGGCAACTAGCCGTTGTTCGTAGTCAAAACAGATCGAATACTTGTTACAACCGAAGTCAAGCGGAGCTGTATGCGAAGGAACTCAATGATAGTAATGTTTAAACCATAACTTGCAGCAATCATGCTCGATATGACGCCTGAACTTGGCTAGCCCATTCCCGTCCGCAAAAGATCGATTCCCAGTAGTCCAAGCCATCCGTGGCTGACATCCAAATAAACGCCCTCCAAGTGCAGAGAAACCAAGCGTGGCTTTCCAACTCCTGGCAATGAATAATGTAGCAATATTAACCCTCCCAAGAACGCCCCATACAGTATACGTGAACCTATCGTCCGGCGGGATGACTTGCAGATGATGTTCTCCTCTGAGGTGGCATCTGCATATTAAGCCCGTTTGTTCTCCTGGTAGCAGCACTCGTAACTGCAGCAATCGTCACAGCGGGATCCGGTTCTCCCTCTGCATCACCATCCGCATCCATGACATTATCAACGTTTTGACGTTTCTTTGCACCGTCTCCCGAAACCTTGAAGATGTTTACCGTGAATCCATTCGTGGCGTTGTGGAGTTGCTCGTAGAGTCTTTGGCGAAGGTACTGCTTCTCAATAGGGACGTGGATGGGCGGCTGGACCAAGGGCTGTGGGTTCCAGTTCGAAAGCCCGTGCATGACAGATTGTAGTTCCTCATCCGAGTCAATAGGTCCGTTAGCTGCTTCTTCGTCTTCGAGAGGAGCATTGGCGTCGATTGCAGCTTCTGTTTGGGCTGTTAGTTTGTTCCCAGAACGCGGAGAAGTGACTTACTTTGCTGCTTTGCTTGATTCTTCTTCTGGTATGCGGCGAGGAGGTGGTCGTATGGTAGTGATCGACCAGGAACAGCTCGTTTTGCCCCCATGGAGTGGCTCTTGCAGGTTAGAGATCGAGCACAGGGAACCCCGTCTTTCATTACGCCACATTGTCTTTCGACATCTACGGGACCTTCAATGCGATTGTTAGCATATAGATATAGATTGGCAGAGAGATCTCATATGTATTAAAAGGAAAGAGTCATATTCAAATGGGAATGGAGAAGCATCAGCGAGATAAATACCTTTGGGCTTTATAACTTTCGATTTGGGCTCTTCCTTCTTTTTCTTTGGTTTTGGGGCCTTCTCGGCATCTCCATCAGCCTTGCGCTTTTTGCCTTTCTTTGTATCATCGACTTCGACTTTCTTGCCAGCACTTTTCTTGGTGCTCTTGAGTCCCTCGGGGCCTTTCTTCTCAGGCGAAGCATCATCGTCATCGTCGTCATCTTCCATTTTGGTGTCCCCATCCTCATCTTTATCTGCTGCTGCCAGGCCCTTCTTTTCTCTCTCTCTCGCCTCTTTCTGCTCTTTCTTCCTCTGTGCCTTCTCCCTCTTAAGTTTCAAGCACTGTTTGACATGGTTCTCCGCCGCAACCTTCAGAATGCTCTTCTTGCAATGTTTGCATATGTGTAAATCGAGGCTATCGTCGAGCGGTCGGCCAGTCGCAAAGGTTTCTCGGGCAGCATCATCTAGCTGATTGACAATGGGGCCAGGAGAGGCTACCGCGGAGCTTGTGGAAGGAGTATCGGTACGCTTCTTCTTGTCATCTGGTGATTATTAGCCTTGCGATTCGCCCCGCGTTGCCTGCAAATTCTAGCAAGGCTGCCTACCGTCAACCACACTCCCATCACGCCAGTTCCCCGGTTTACTATGCTTCGGCGCAGGCTTCTTAAGCTTGAGCTTAGGATTGCTGTCTTTCTTGGGCGCAACTTTAATCGTGGACTCGTCGTCACTGGCAAGGGCGGCTGAAGGATGAGGTTAGCAAGACGGCGATGGCATTATGCAATATCAGGCCTTGCCTTTATTTTTGCTTGAAGTTGCCGCCATGATGGAGGATTGAATGGTGAGAATTCGAAACGAGTTTCAATGGTCTTATTGATGGGCGCGCGTGGTTGTGATGGGCTGAAGACAAGCACGACAAGGCTGTGAAGTTGTGATTCGCGATAAAGGAGGGCGATAAGAGTAAGATTAGATACCTAGTCACGTGAGTCATGCTACATCTCATTGCCTAAGTTTAATTGTGATTATGTTTATAAATTCTTATATTACAATTTGAGTAGTTCTATGCTAGCATGCTCTCGTGTGGAAATATTCAATACTCTAAATCGTATTACCGATTGTTATTTCAGGTCACCTGCTTCACCCCCCTTATAAAAAATCCACCAACCCAGCAAAATCTATTCGGACCACCGCCGAAGCGCTAGTCTGACTAGAAACCCAAGCTCTAAGAGGTTGGGTTTTTTGTCGATCGAGAGGGAGAGAGAGAAATGGCGATCTGCAAGTTAAGCTCCCTTGCGTGGTCGAATTCGTTAGCCTGAAGTCGAAACCCTGACTTCCTTCACACAAGGAATACACTTTGACCTGAACCACCAAGCCAAGTGGCCGCCCATGTATTTGTTGTAAACTTTTGCTTATCTTGGGTTATATTAGACTCTTTGGATCTGGGCGGTCAGAAGTGTTTTCAGCCGTAGGCGAAACCCAGACCAGGCGGTCAGAAATGACTCTCGGCCGTAGCTGTAACAAGACCTGCCTTAGGCGAAGCATAACGACTACACTTGAGTACGATATGCAACTATCCAGTTCCTCTCAAGCAGCATTAGGCCATTGGCTGTGGTGTAAGTCAAGGAGCTTCTTCGGCAACGGACGTTTATTGAATATGTATGAGTTCAAATGAGCAAAAGCTTCCAATAAATAAATCATACATGCATTATTAGCATAAGCATTTGCACAGACATTAGTTATGGGGGTGCCTTCAGCTAGGAGGTTAAGCCCCGTGGGACTAATGTTTTTTGTTTACTAACACGAAAGGAATCTAGAGAGGGCCATATTTTTGGTATTTTTTGAATACATTTCAGGTTTTGTCTTTTATATTGCTCGAGGCAAGAAGTTTCCTGCGTATAAGGTATTATCAGGTAAATTACAAGCCGTTCCCAAATTTCAAGATAGAGGGTTTGCAATTAACCTCCGTACATAAATCGCTTCCGTGACTTAAATTCAAACTCCTGTTTGGCGGAACCCATTGTTCTGTTATCCAGAAATAATCACTTTTACTTCGGTGACTGAACTTCAATTAGGGGTAAAAGTGTCATTCATGCCATGCCTGAAACTCTATATATGATAGAATATCAACGCTCGCTCTCCAGCCTATTTTACTTGAACATATCTTGCACCTCCCTGAACTCCATTATGTCCTAATTTGCACCTCCTCCGTGTCGTCTTCCTTTTTCTTGCCTGCTGTCCGCAACAACAACCACAAAGCCGCGATGCCACCCAACAATGCCAATATAACAGGCTGCAATGTCTTCACCCCTTTAGCCTGTGCAATAGCTCCCACAAGGAAAGGAAAAATGGCACCCCCAGATCCACCAAATGCAGCTGCAAACCCGACACTTCCAACGTGCAGGTGTTTGGGCATAAGCTTCGTCACAAATACCATCGCAGTTGGGAAAAGGGGTCCAAGAAAGAATCCTAACAAGGCAACTGAGATGGCGGAGACGATCAGGGAGGGAACGAGCCAGAATATAAGCTCGAGAATGACGCTGATGGCAATGTAAACAACAACAGCTTTAAATTCACCCAATTTTGAGGTCAGGAATCCGAGTACCACACGTCCAACTGCCATGCCGCCCCAGAATCCTGTCGAGGTGGCACCGGACTGAAAAGATGATGCAGAGCGCACATTCGTCATAAATTGTATGATCCAGCCACCAAGGGAGACTATAAAGGTCAGTTTGAGAGAGAAGGAAGGGTGTTTGATGCTCAAACCCTCTGCTCCAACGTATCCAAAGATGAACAGCGCAAAGATCCAGGTAACTTTATTCTTCAAAGCCTCACGTGTACGGCCGGACTTATCGCTGGTGACACTTGGGTTCTCGGTTCGATAGACTACGCCTGTCTGTTTCCAGAAAGCCGTTGCAGATGAAAGAAGTTCAATCGCCGAACCCCCGATCTGCACATAATTAGTGATTCATTAATGTGTCTGAACATTGGAGTTCACATACCATCACATAGAAGAAAGAATACCACGGAAGCCCTCCGCCACTGAACATGCCCGTGGCAATCAAGGGGGAAACAGTCGCACCTAGAGCGTAGCAAGAATGGAGAAATCCAGCCACTTCATTAGCATTGGCCATGTTACCTAGCCAGGCACACCAAGCGGCATCGACGAGCCCTTGACCGAAGCCTACGAATATATAAATAACTACGAGGACTGGATAGGGAGGATGAACGGCGAGAATGATGTAAGAGACAAGATGGCACGCAGGTCCGACAATCGCTATCCCACGTTGGCCAAACCTGACGTGAACCATGTTATTGACAACAGCAGCAAAAGTGTAGCCTGCGAATGGCGAAAGGAAGACCAAAGAGACAACGGTGTAATTCAGGTCGTAGTAATCTTCCAACTACAAAATATTAGCAGTGTTGCCTCGTTCTTACAAAAAGCACTTACTCGACCAATAAGTGCCTGGAGATAATCAGCATGTTTCTCTGCGGGGAAGAGGCCCATATACTTACACCATAAGATCCATCATTCATTCCCATGACGAAGAACGACCAGAAGGTGGCGAAAACCCTCCACATGTTTATCCGGGGTGAGTTCCATTTTTGGCGAGCTTCAACTGCAGTACTCGGCGGCGTCTCCTCATCCCTGGTATTCTCGAGATTCTCCAATGTGGCATCCTTGTCTTGAGTTGAGTGAAGAGGGTCGTCCTTGGATAGATCTTGAAGTTCGATAGGATTCACAGCTCCAGCGTCAACTGTTAGGGTTGCAGTATGTGTCGCCATACTGCTAGAATGAATAGCGCGACTGTGTTCAAGTTGTCGAGCAGACTTCTGATAGTATGGCGGCCCTGTGCTCGTATTTATATGTAAGCTGATCTAGCGGCGGGTGGTGGATACTCCTTCCCCAGAGTGGGGCTGCGCAAATCTTCGTTGGTGGGAAGCGGAGGAAGCACGTCCTTACTTGATATATCCATCCGCCTTGGCCCTGACAGTAAGTAGCCTCTTAGAAGTCAAAGACGAAAGAGAGAAATGGAGGTAAAAGCTATTCTGCTTACAAAGTACCTCAGTCAATTTATTCCCAATTGTATAATGGCCGCCAGAATTTCGCACTAGTCTCTAGTTTCCTTCTGCGAGGCTTCTTTAGTAGGAATGGAAGGAATGTAAAGTGAATCGTCCTCGCTTAGTCGGTCAATTTACCTTTGTTCCCCTCCCCTCCTCTCATCACTCGTGATTCTTCTCACACCTCCTGAACATCTATCTACCATATCTCTAGTACGGACCTTGATATCCACCCACTCCTCTATCAAAGATAGATTTATTCAAGCAATAGATTCATTGCTTGCCTGCTAGCTAGTACTCTCGATGCTAGAATTGAAATACTTACCCCCACTTCTTGTATGTCTCCCGCTCCGACGGGACTTACTTGTTACTAATGCCAATCCAATGCCACTGGAAACTCATGGCGCACGCAAAGCGCTTCCCATGTCGAACTACTCTCGAAATTGGAAATTCAGGTTGCATCCTGTCATTTACGACAACATATCCACTCATCAATACAACACTGATTTCAATTGGTCACTTTCAGATTTGGCGAATCATTCGGGACAGATCGTACCATCCAGCAACAACTCAAGGGATACCTCATTTCCAACTCCTCCCACTCAACATCCCCCTCCATTCCCTCTTTCTTCACATCCACAATCTCCATCACCACAAATCCAAAACTTTCATACAATCGCCGCCCCTGCACCGTAGCCTCAACAACCATCTTCAACTCCAACTCATCAGCCTTTTCCACACCCCACTGTAGCATTAAGCTCGCAGCCCCTTTACGTCGGTATGTGGGTAGCGTGACACATATTTCAAGCGCTGAACCGAAATGTCAATTAGCTGGCTCAGCTATGGAAGGGGAGAGATGGTTACGCACATATGTGAGCGCAACGGTTATATGCTTCGCCCTGGCCCGCTCGGGAGTTCAGAAGGAAGTTCGCATACTCTCGTTGCCGCGAGCCTTTAGGTAGCCAATCTGCATCCTCCGCATCCACATCATGCAGTCCCGTGACCCGAGCGCTCTGGAAGATATCCCAGTTCGATGCACTAGATATATATTAACAGCCATCCTCACTTATATAATTATACAGGTTGAGGATGGAAGTACTTACGCTACAATCTTTCCCGTCGCAGAATCAACCACTTTTAGCCAGTGCTGTGTTGTCGAAGCTTCCCAATCAGCGAGATATGTCGCAGCAGTCTCCTTCTCGCCCCTTCCTCGTCGGATGGGAGAATCGTGGGCGAGGCCCGGTAAACAGAGGTCTAAGAATGGATCGTGGGGGTCTGAGTTTGCTGCGAACATGACTTTGACAAGCTCGTCGATATCTGCGTAAGAAGCGGTGTAGAGATGGAGTGGCATATTTGGGGATTTTATTGCCCAGCAGATATATCAGAGCTGATAGAGCAAATGTAAACAAATGGAAGTAATTATAGAAATACCCTGCTGCCTAGCTACCTACTAGCGAAAGGGGGATGTCGTGAAACCAAGGGCGTTAAGCGGAGCATGTTAATTGGCCTGAATTCGAAAGCACTACTAAATATCCAATACTTATTATGAAAGGCTCCTCGGTGTGAGGTTTTCAAGGTGCCCAAGTGCACACATTCTAACAGAAACTTTGGGATTGGGTCACGTGTGTCACCAAGCCATCTCCTCCCCCTGAAATCCGAAGTCTCGGCTAATAAGACTTGGGTCCTTCCAATCCCATCATCCCATCTGCCTCTTAATTCTACACTCGATTTCTCGACCACGGACCGACTCTAAGAAGTGATTGAAAATATTTCCGTGACCGTTTTCCCAAGTAGGGCAAGTGCATTGCTCAGGGTACGGCTCGTGCCGGCGTGCATGACGGCATAAGAAGGGTCAGAAGAAGAAAAAATAAAACTTCCCCGTACACCAAACGCCTCTTCTTCCCCATAACCAGCCACCATTGCGGAGGCACTCAAGTATTTCATTTTGATTTAATACAACATAATACAACATTATAAAGAATAATCGGCTTACTCACTACCTTTCCCCACGTCTCGATTTTGCATTCTGTCTCTTGAATACCCACTACCCCGCCTTGACCTGCAGGAGCTTCAATATCGATATCGCAATGGCCACTAATACCATACCATCGCCTCCTATAGGCCTGAAATGGCGGTCTTCAACCCCTTATATTCTCTTCACGATATCTATGGCCATGTTCACTGACCTTTTGTAAGTCTACCTACCACCTGCTATGCTCAAGTCCCAAGTCTACACTACTCCGTCTTCCTTTTATAAATAGCAAAGCTAATACCAACCAGTCTATATGGAATAATCGTCCCCACAATACCCTTCATTCTGCGCGATCGCCTCGGCATTCCTCACCAACAGATTCAATCATTGACCTCCAGCCTCCTTTCCTCCTACGCCCTCGCCTCCGTACTCTCCTCTCTGCCCGCTGGCATAATAGCAGACAAGGTCGCAGCCCGCCAAATCCCCTTTCTAGGAGGCTTGCTCTCCCTCCTCTCAGCTACGGCCCTCCTCTTTCTCGGCCAAAGCGTACCCATCCTCCTTCTAGCGCGTATCCTGCAAGGCATTTCCGGAGCGGTGGTATGGACGGTGGGACTGGCATTGATCCGGGACACGGTGGGAAGTGCAAACTTGGGCGTCACGATTGGGAATATCTTTGCCTTTATCTCGGTCGGCGAACTCATCTCCCCTGTCATAGGAGGAGTTCTGTACGACAAAGCCGGAAATGCCGCGGTCTTTGGTTTGTGTTTTGCCTTGCTGGGTGTAGATTTTATTATGCGGCTTGTGATGATTGAGAAGAAGACTGCGCTGAAATATGAATTGGATAGCAGGATTTCTTCAGAGACCAATTCGGTAATAGATGATGAAGAGTCTGCTGCAGGCGAGACCTCGCCCCTTTTACAAACGGTAAAGAGTCGTGAGGAGGAGGAGGAGGAAGCAACGTGGATTGTTCCAAAGGATCAGCCAACATTGATACAGAAGTTCCCAATCATCTATACACTTCGCAACTCACGACTGCTTGTCGCAGAGTTCGTAGCACTCATGCAAGCACTCGTCATCGGCGTCTTCGACTCCACCATCCCCACAGAGACCGAAGGCTTATTCGGGTTCTCTTCTCTCAAATCAGGGTTAATGTTCATCCCACTCGTACTACCCTACCTGGTATTTGGAGCCATTGCAGGCAAGGGCGTAGACAAATACGGTGCACGTATTGTGGCGACAGTTGGATTCGGATGGATGGTGCTCCCTCTTGTTCTCTTGCGAATCCCACAACCAGGAGGAACAGCCGAAATTGTTAAATTCTGTGTATTGTTGGCATTCTCTGGCCTTGGCTTTGCGCTCATCTCTGCGCCGTCCCTCGTCGAGGCTTCGTATGTCCTCGAGCGATATCATCACGCTAACAAGGAGCTTTTTGGCGAGGATGGACCGTACGCACAGTTATATGCGATCAACTCCATGGTTTTCTCTGCGGGGCTCACTTTAGGACCTCTTATTGCTGGTTTCTTGAGGGAAAAGATTGGGTATGGCAATATGAATGCTGTTGTGGCGGGGCTGTGTGCTGTAGTTAGTGTGCTGAGTTGGGTGTTTTTGGGCAAGATAGTGAAGAAATGATGCAGTTGTTTTGAATATACAGACATTAGATAGCGGTCAAAAGATTTGGGAAGCAACCATATATTGCAAAAGATACCTAGTTACATATCTTTAATAGGTTTCACTGACATGACCTATGATTTCGAGAAATCCAGTTGGAGCAAAGAGCCGGAGCCCCTGAAATACTAAGCGAGCGAAAGAACTCGGTTCGAGTAAAACTTGAGAGATAATATAATAAGTATGTCCCTTTGGCTCAGCCGATTTTGAGCAAATTCTATTTCTTAGCCCCGTTAAGCATACCTTCATGATCCCCAAAAGAAAAATACTATGTTGGAGAGACGCTTGTCACATTTGTTCCTAGGGCGAAATCATGATCAGATGACCATGATGGAACATTGAGAAATCCGCTTCCGAGTCACCCGGTTAGATATCTTCATCCCCTGTCATTGTTGTTATCCCATCACATCACATCATCCCGCCCACCACACCGACCTTCAAATGCAGAGCCCGGACTTTTCTATCTATTGCATAGCTTCCTTTATCGCATTCCTCGCCTTTCCGTGGTATCTTGTGGCGGCATAAGTGGGTGTCCTAATTTGAATAGGACCCCTGCTGTCAATATTCGTCGTCTTTCCTCCATCTCGTCGTGACTAAATTACCTTTTCTCCCTTTTTCAACTTTCTCCTTCTCCCCTTTCTTTCTCCTCCTCTTCTGCCTCCTGCTTTCTGCTAAATCATGATTTCACCCCTACCTCTATACCCATCCTCGCATCTCTCTCCACCATGCTGCAACTCCGCGACAGAATAGCACTCGTCGAATCCGCGCTCCAGAACCTCGAGGAAGTCGACCCCGCTCCCCGTCCACGATCAATTCTCCACGACGACCCCCCAGCGCGCCGTAGTCTCGACTACCGCTTCGACAAAATCGCCCGCGAAGTCGACGCCGCACCAAGTCCCACGCCCGCGCAAGAGAAAGCAAATCCTTTCGACACCGCCACATCAACCGCATTGGAGTCTCCCTCCACCAAGCCCCCCTTCTACGATAGCATTGCTGCGAGTTTCGGGCTGGGGATCGGCGGCGAGGACGATGACTTTGCTGATTACCTTGTGTACAATGCTTTTGTAACGAATCTGAGGGTGTGCCCTGTTGATCTGACAGCTACGGATCACTATTACTATCTCGAGCACCGCTCGTTCTTGCCGAATGTCCCTGGCGTGAACCTGAGGCTGGGGACTGATAAAGCGGGGAAAAGCGTGGGTGTTGCGCATCTGGCGCTGATAGGACGTAACACTTTTGGCGTTGGCGATCTGGATAATGATCCGGTTGGAGTGAGCTGGGGCAGTATGGCTAATGCAGGGTTTTGGACGCATATGAGGTATGACTTTGAGTTTGAGCTGGGAAACGAACGCAAGACGAGGAAGTTTTGCTGGATTCGGACGAGGAATAATCTGTTGGATGATCAGGGGGATTTGGTGCTTGTTGAAGACGGGAAGGAGCACTTTATTCTGGCCGAGTATCTTGGAAAAGGGCTTTTGAAGTGGAAAAAGAGGGGACGGTTGAGGATTCGTAAGATGCAGGCGTTTGGCGAGAGGTGGGAGTTGATCGTGTTATTGACTTGGGGCTCAGTGGTTGAGGTAAGAGCTGGTTCTGAATGAAGGAAGATTCGTAGATTGATGTTGCGGGGAAACTAATTACTGACATCCATGTGAATAGTTATCAAGACGAAGAGCAAGAATAAGGCGCTATTCCCCAACCCACATCATTTCAATATAATTCGACATTTATTAAAGGGCATAGATAAATATCCAGAATACGCTAGATCGCCAATTTAGAGAATTTAGAAGGGATAGAATGAATCGCAAAGCACCTAGGCTCGCCCCCTCACTTTCACCTGTTCTACACAACTACAACTACCTTATCAAATATCCTGGCCTCTTACAATTTCAAAGACATCATCGACACCATCATCTGCAAGTCTAAGCACATTCATTCATCCCCCCACAACGTCCCTCACTGCTGTAATGTCATGATGGGGGCATCCATCACAATTCTCCAATCCGTCTATTACCACGGCTTGTTGAGAAGAGGCGTCGATTGCACGGGACAAGTCGAATGGATAGAAAGAAGCAGCTGAAACCGGAACCATCAATCGCAAGCATGGCCATCAGTGGACCGAACACCTCACTCAGCCCAGGATCGTTTGATATACAACAAGAAAGTCGCAGGAGGAAACTAGACACACGACCATAGAAGATCACGCCATTACCTCACAAGGCCCCAGAAATGCAATGTAAAATCGTTGGTAGAAAGATAACCGGGTATTTTTCCGTTATAGAATCGAGTCTAGAGGCAGGGAAAACCCAGGAGGATCGAGATTGAGATGTTATTCGGAAGGAAATTATACCCATGCCTTGACAGTTGTAATACTTTAATTTAATATAATATCTTACAAGACCTTTAATCAATCAATCTAAGACCAGTATTACCATATATAAATAAACACACACACCCACCCATCCCATCCAACCATCCATCCACAGAAAACCCGCCACGCAGATTTAATAAGCAAGTCAAGTCTGCGTAAGACCAGGCCCTGATAAGTCTGGAACCCATTCATCCCATTCCATTAATCCAACAAGCTCTATCCATCTAATCGATAAAGTCTCTCAAGGAACTATACTATACTAAGAAAGAGAGAGAGAGAGAGTGGAAGAAGCCAGCCAAACCTACCTAACTAGCTAGTTACTCGATAAGACAGTAGGTGTTCGCTTGGTAGGATACCGAGGTTCAAGGATCGAATTAGAGAGATGCGGATAGGGAGGGTATACTGGTAGATAAATGAACGCATAGATAGGTTCAACGACATACTATACATTATCCAAGCCATGACATCTCGGAATCTCAGCTCAAGCCACGAGCAAAGCCACACGGACATGAACCCAGCGATAAAACCCATCCATGCATGGCATTAGCATAGAACTTTCATTCATCTCCCCCCATGCCACACATGACACCCAACTCATACAAGTGCAATCCATTGCAGACATGCACGTATCGTTCTACAATTCAGCTGAAAAAAAAATCCATTCCGATGCCATGAACTACTAAGAGAGATATAAAAGATAACCAAAGGAAATAAACAAACACAAGAAGGAAGGTATTACAACGATATATCCATGCAGATGATAAGTTGAAGATTGACGCCCTCAAATTTCCCATGTTTCCCAAACATCAAATCAATTTCCAACCACCTCCTCCTCTGCCCATCCATTCAGTCCATTCAGTCCATTCCCATCCTGAATCGCTAAACCATATCCATTGCCAAAAGCACTCCCGTTTCCTAGACCTCCTGAGAACGAGGACTGGTACTGGTGGCCTCGGCCTCGTTGCTGCTCCCCGTTATCGCCTTGCACGGCCCCGTTCTGCTGCTGTTGTGCAAACACTGGCAAGCTGACTGCGCGATTATGGCTACGTGCAGGGGCGAGCAAGCCGCCGATGGTAGGGGCGTTGCTGGACGAGTTTGGAAAGCCATTGATGCCGCTGATACTGGCACTTTGCTGGTGGCCCATCCCCTGGTTTTGTTGCGGCATTTCGTGGGCATCTATGCTAGATGGAGAGTTGGAACCGCCGTAGAGAGCTGCTTGCTGAGCAGCAAGGACTTGTTGTTGCTGCTGCTGAAGTTGAGCCACGGAAAATGGGTCGAGTTGTTGCTGTTGTTGAGCCTGGGCATTTTGGGAGACTTGGTTCAAGTACATGGTGAGGGGGTTGTTGTTGCCTGCGTTGAGGATCGTGGATGGTGTAGGAGTGGACTGAAAGTTCTGCTGGGCGCCATTGGCGGACCCGGGTGCTGCAGACCCAGTTGGGGATGAATCTGCCTGGCTAGGTTGGAGCCCACCGCTGTTTGGTGGTGGGGAGTTTACTCCATCGTTGCGGGGAGATTGTTGAGACTGTCCTTGGACTTGACGGGGTGGGTTTCCACAACGATCCTTGCCAAAGTTGACCTTGAATCGTCGGTACTCCTCCTTCCCACGAATGGCCTCAATCGCCTTGATAGCATTCGCGATGTTGGTGAAGTTGACGAATGCACAGCTCTTCTCTCGAAGGGTGTTGACTAGCTCGATTTCACCATACTCAGAAAAGTCCTGTCTCAATCTCTCCTCACTCCATGATTCATCCAGGTTCCCAATGTAAACATTTCGTGAAGCACCACCACTGACAGCAAGAGCAATCGCAGCCGGGAGAGCGCCTGAATGCTTTCCCCATCCAATCTTCAATCTCCTGTTGTGAATCATTAAGCCCTGCAAATTGCTCAAAGCATAAAATGAAGCCGCCGAAGTAGGGTCAATAAATGTGACGAAGCAGATATGCTTGTCGGGTATATATCGAATGTGGTGTAAAAGTCCACCTCTAACAACATTACAAATCTCTTCAATAGTAGTTTCGGGATGAATATTTCCTAGATAAACTGTTCGGTTACCCAGGTTGTTGATTCCTCCAGCAGTTGTAGCAACAGCGGCAGCAGCCACCGATTGTTGAGCCAAAGCGTTCGAGATGAGGTCGCGATCAGCGCCGTTGAGCACATGAGCATACCCAGGTGCAATACCTAGGTATTGAGCAGCGTTCTGCTGTTGGGTCTTGGAGACATACGCGCATCTGTCCTTTCCGTAGTAAACACGACGAGGTGACTGCCATTTGGGTTCTTGTGGAAGCTGAGACACAGCCTTGATGGCGTTGCCAATGGAAAGGAAATGCACAAAGCCAATTGCCTTTTCACGAACAATCTTGACCGTGTCAATTGGACCAAACTTGCTTAAATCCTCACGAAGCTCATCCTCTGAAATATTCTCGTCTAGATTTCCCAAGTAAACGTTCCTTGAAGCGCCCGACTGCTGAACAGCCAGGGCAACCGACGTTGGTACCTGCGAAGGTTTTCCCCATCCAACCTTGATATCCTGCCCGCGAATCGAAAGCTTCTTCAGAATTGCATCCGAGTGAAAGTGAGTGGCAGAGCTCCCATCCAAAAATGAAATGAAAGCACAGTTCTTGTCTGGCAAAAGGCGAACAGACTCGATTTGACCACTTCTCACGTGTCCCAATATCTCCTCGGGAGACGTCTCCGGGGGGATATTGCCTAGGTAAACGGTCCTACTAGTTCCTGAAACCAAACCTGGAGACATTTGGACGGGCGAGGAGGGTTGAATTTGCATTTGCTGCATCTGGTTCTGCATCGCCGAGAAGCCACCGGTGGGTGACTGAGGCTGGTAGAACTGAGGAGCTCCATACGTCGATGGTGATACGAGATTCTGGTACATCTGAGGAGACATCTGCTGAATCGGACTTCCCATGCCCTGTTGTTGCTGCTGTTGCTGCTGCTGTTGTTGCTGGAACGTGGCATAATTTTGGAACTGAGGGCTTGCGAAAGCTGCTGGTGTTCCAGACTGGAAAGGTGAACCCAACAGGAGTTGGGAAGGGAGCAAAGGCGTGAATTGCATGTCGAACCCCGTTCCAGGGGTTTGCATATCATTCTGACCCTGCTGAACCATGGGCTGTGTATTTATGGAAGGGATGTTGGCTCTTCGCGGATGCCTGTCGCCATATCCACCCATTGAGTATTGGTTCTGAGAATATGCACCGTGGGAGAAACCGGTATCACTGTTGGATGGCTTGGAGACATGGCCAGGGAATCTGTTCGCAGTCGCTGCACCGGGTCCGTTCTGCTGGTTGGCAGTCTGTGTCTCCTGCATCCCGAGAAGATGAGGTGGCAGGACAAAGCTGTCCCGCACAAGGGATGATAGTACAGCCGTTTTGAAAGATTAAAGGTGCCTTGATGAGGCACGTAGTTGTGGATGATTGTATAAATGGACACTCAGATATAGCGTTTGGGTTCCAAGGAATGTAGGGATGGAATTGACACGCTCGAGTGGTTTGGTCCGATTGAATCTTTGCAGGTCGGGTTGGAGAAATAATGTTTGGTATGAACAAAAATGCTCCTATAAATTAAGTATGGTTGTATACAAGTGTTCAAGTCGAAATCGGTCGAGACAGCATCTGCGAAGGCGGGAGGATTCGTGTGTATATTCGTCTGGTCTGCTATTCGGACAGGATTCCCGAGGCCAATTCACCGGTAGCAGAGTGAGAGGGGGGAATTCAACAGATAGTAGAACAAAGAATGGAGACAAGATAGATGGCTGGACGAGGCGGGCGAGAGAGCGTGGTTGGTGTCTGAATAAAAGGTGTATTGTATTGTATAGTAATAGCAAATAGAATGATGGAAGGGAAATAAGAAGCAGCAAGCAAGAAAGAGCAGCTGGTTAACGAGTGTGGGATTGGTTGTAAAGAAGAAGCAAGAAAGGGCTTTTGAAAGCAGAAAAAGAGTTGGGGAGGAGAAAGTTCACATCGTAAGAGAGAGAGAGAATGGAAATCAACGACAAAGGGAGCGTCCCCGAAAAGGGAATCCCTAATTTCGCAGGAACGGTGGATGATTTCAGCTAGGCTGAAGACAGCCTAGCGCTTGAGATTGGAGGGAAAAGCGGCACCTATCTTTCGCCTATCCTTCAGCCATCTTTCACTCCACTTGGTCTCGTTGGTGTACCTCGCCGAGCCTCGTTCGTATTGAAACTTGGTGCCGCTTTAGATATCCAGGAACAAGGGGGCTTTTTCAGGGGTTCCGTTTTGATAGGGGTGGCCAGACGAGCGATGCTCACCACCCCACCCAGCCCAGCCAAGCGCGGTATTTTCAAAGTCGGGGCACAGCTGGCGGCCAATCAGAGGATGTTGCCTCATACCTTTGGTCTTGATAGTGTCAAATTATAATAATCATGAAGTATAGGAGACTTTATTCACCAAACTACTCCACAAGTCTGTAGATGGATGTTGATTCCCAAACGTTGGTAGGTAAGGTAAGGCAGTACAGAGTCATAGGAGCCCCCGCCCCCTCTGTATAACAAAAGTACGTCGTGACGAGAAATAACTTATCTCGGAGAAACTACCCGTCTCCGATGGCAGTCGAGACAGCTATCTCATCGTTCAAGACAAAGCGCAGAGTCAAAAGTCTCATCTGAAGAATTGAGTCTCATTCATTCATGCAGCTTGAGGTAGTAGGTAGGTCATTTGACCCTTCCTTGCGTCCTTTCCCAAAGCACATTATTAGAAGTACAACTCTCCAGTTCCTCTACGCCACACAACAACTACCCATATTCTTTTCCTACCACTCGTCCCGTTTGTTTCAAAACAAACCCACGTACGGAGCATTTATTTAAATCCCCATCTGTCCCAAACTCCACCCCCCTGCATTGCACCGTTTCAACCCAAAGCCGCATCGTCACTAGCAGCCGTTTCTACTACGCACCGCGTTGCAGTCGCGAACGGATGACAACTACACAAAACTGTTGTACAGTGCTGAAGATATGGGGGCCAGTAGTGAGGCTCGTGAGGCTGAGCTGAGCAAGTTCAGCAGGTGTTCGCCCCCTTTTTGAAGGTCATGTGCGGCTAGCTATCTTGGCATTAAGGATACAAGTATTCCGAAACATTTCCGAAAGTTCAAATTCAAGACGTGGTCGATATCTCGATTTGATAAAGCAGTATTTGGGCATCATCCACTTCATCAATTAACATCTAACTACCAGTACATCGTTTCATTGATCGTCATGTAGAAAAGGGAAGCGTGCCAGGGAATCTATAGAGAATCTCATCACCAAAACGGACCTCGTCATCAAAAGCAACCAAAGCAAATCAGCTCAAGGCTTGCAGCGGCCCATGAAGCGGGGATATAGGCAGCAGGTACGCACGGAATGCTGCTTGCAGATCCAGGCGATAAATCGTTCCAGACCCAGTCCATATCCACCGTGAGGAGATGTCCCATACCTATTTATTGCGTCAATGTTTGCTATTTTGTGAGAAGAAATTAACTTACTTCCGCTGTTCTGTGTACCAGTAGTACTCCTTGGGTGAGATGCCCTCGCGCTTGTACGCCTCCATTAACTCATCGTAATCATCCATTCTCAACGAGCCACCAACGATTTCACCAACACCTGGCATTAGCACGTCGACACTCTCTGTGACCCGGCGATCAGCCTCTTCCTTCTTCATGTAGAATGCCTTGATCTCGACTGGGAAGTGAGTCAAGAGAATGGGCAAGTTGATCAAGTCGGTCATTCTTCGCTCAGCAGCTTCAGCAATATCATCGCCGAACACGTGGGGGTTGCCTTCTTCGTTGAGGATTGGGGGATCTTGAGCGTTGAGCCAGTCAATGGCATCGGAGTATCGCATGCGCTTGAATGGTCTGGAAGGGGCCTTGAACTCGGGGTTGAGCTCCTTGATGTAGCCAGCAATTACTGGATCGGCCAAGATAGTGGTGCATACCCTGCTGATCACCTCTTCCAAATGGTCAAGCAAATCCTCAAAGTCAATGAAATCCAACTCGGCCTCAACGTGGGTATATTCAGATAAATGTCTTCGGGTCAAAGATTTCTCAGCTCGGAATGACTTCTCAATGCAGTAGACGTTACCCAAGCTAGGAATAGCGGTCTCAAGATAGAGTTGAGATGATTGAGTCAGATATGTCTTGTCACCATAGTAATCCAGTTCAAACAGTGTTGAACCCCCCTCGACTTGTGTTTGCACGAAAGCCGGAGGGCTAATTTTGGTAAACTTCATCTCCATGTATGTCTTTGAGAATGCCCATTCAACTGCAGACCGGACTTTCATGACTGAAGAAGCGGTGTCTCCACGGAGAACCAGATGGCGGTTGTCCAACATAGATGACTCCCATTGATCCTGCCCCTTCGAAACTCTGTTGGTAATAGCTTCAGCATCTGAAGGACTTCGACCAATGACCTTGTAGTAATCGACATGAAGTTCTCGGTTGTCAGGGGCTTGTTGACCGGCGAGTACCTTGCGCATTTCGCCGTAGACGGTCAAAGAGGTGCCTTGGGCAAAGGTAAGGGCATCGTAGGTTTTCGTGAGGTCACCGGCGAGGACACATTGTAGATGGCCATATCCATCGATCAATGTGAGGAAGGTAGCTTGCTTTTGCTCTCGTAATCGATGTATGCGACCAGACACCTTCACTCGAGTTCCCTTTACATCTCCTTCGCCCAAATCAACGTTCTTGTCGCCAATTGTAATCTTGACGGCCTTTGGGAGGGATGGGTCTTCGGTGAGGACAATCTTCTTGGCATCCTCGAGCGTCTTCAGCCGTGACTTCTCCTTCTCTTCCTCTTGTGCTGCTTGTTGCTGCTGTTTCAACACCTTCTTTTTGTATGCGTCTAATGCGCCTTGGGCTTTCTTGACTGCAGATTTGGCAGGCTCCTTCCATATCAATCGCTCTGCTGGATCACCATCTGCGCTGACTGGACCAGTTATTGAGGCGCGCGATCGGTATTGTTTCCCCTCACTGCCCTTGTGTTGAATGTATGCGTGGGCCAAAGACTTGTAGGGCTTACTCTCTGCGCCCGTTGCGGATTCGTCGTCGGCTCCGGCATCTGTATCGATGTAAATGGTGTCCATCTTGGCTCTCTCTGCGAGTTCTTGAACTGCGGCCATGTTTTGCTGTCGTGTCTTGATTTGGGAAATTCCACAATCTTGGTGGGGGTTATTTATTTACGGGGGCTTTGTCGACTCACCGCCCTCATGCCTTGACTCAGGCGGGGCGTGTCTATCAATGATGTGGGGCGATTCAGTAAATCCATCTACGCGGTGGACGCGACTTCAATTCGTTGACGCGCCAAGAGCCAGACATTTGAGACTTTGAAGATATAACGAATAAGTACAACCGAGCTGTATTGATACTCCAAGAACCATCTCCTACGAATCTCCGAAGCACATCTAGCCTACCATGCAGAAGTTTTGATTCTAAATCCTCACTCACCGCGCCAGATCAACACATGTGCCTGCCTTGGACGAAACGCCCCTCACTTCTCTAATCGTGGCTTCACGAAGGGCTCTCTACACCCTGCTGTCACAGACACGAAGTAAAGTCTACAAATCATTCTCCCAAATGCCTCCCAAGCAAGCTACGTTGGGGTATGTCAAAGATTCCCAGACCACCTTAGGGTGCGGTGATCCCAGTACCTCTCCAGGATACGTGAATATCTCTGCTAACCCATGTTTGTCAATAGCAAGTTCTTCAAGGCTCCAAATGGAGATTTCACGAAGCCCACACCCAAGCAATCGAAGCTATCATTCTCATCCAAATCCAATGGCACTCCGAGCTCAAGCGCAAGCGTGGCAAATGAAGACGTCGACATGAAGGATGAAGATTCCGATACTAAGGTCAAGCCAAAGATCAAGAATGAGGAGGCTGTCGATTCCAAGGAGAATGTAAAGCCTGGAACAGGTAGGTGCTCTGGAAAATGCTAGTCAATACATCCTGACACAAGCTTTCACAGAAACGAAGAAGCGCTCCCGGTCACCACCTCCAAAGAAGGAGGTGAAGGAAGAGAGTAAGAAAGCGAAGGAAGAGGCTGTTAAAGAGGAGGAAGACGACGAAGATGATGAGCCAGTTCTCAAGCGACCTCGACGATCGATTAAGACAGAAGAAGATGATGACCAGCTCCTTGTCTCCAGCTCCAAATCTGAACCCAAGCCAAAGCCCGAGCCCTCTAAGAAATTCAAAAGCATGCCACCTCCACCTAATAAAATCAAGAAGGAAATGAAGGAAGAAGATGGTGATGATGTTGAAGAACCAAGTTCATCGAAAGAACCATTAAAGCGCAGAGGATCCAGTGCATCGGCATCGGCATCAGACATCGAAGAGGGCCTGGAAGAAGATGATGAAGAGGATGAGAAGCCAGAGATTGCTGCAAAGGCTCGTGAGAAAGTTCAAACCACGTTAAAATCGAAGGCCAAGGATCCATACCCCGATTGGAAACCAGGAGAGCCAGTTCCATATGCAGCTCTCTGTACTACGTTCTCTTTGGTCGAAATGACCTCAAAGAGACTTGTCATCCAGGCACACTGCTCATTATTCCTTCGACAAGTTTTACGACTTACCCCTGACGACCTTCTGCCAACCGTTCTCCTCATGATAAACAAGCTCGCGGCGGATTATGCTGGCATTGAGCTAGGAATTGGCGAATCCCTGATCAAGAAGGCCATTGGCGAATCAACAGGTCGTAGCTTGGCAGTGGTCACGCAAGACCAGAAGGAAATTGGAGACTTGGGCTTAGTTGCCGTTAAGAGCAGAGCAAACCAACCTACTATGTTCAAGCCGAAACCCCTTACTATCAGGGGAGTTCACAAGGCGCTCATAGACATCGCCACAACGTCGGGTAATGGTGCTCAAGGACAGAAGGTTGACAGAATCAAGAAGTTGCTCTCGGCTGCTGATGGACATACGACTGGAAAGATTGATATTACCAAGGACAAAGGAGGCGCCAGTGAGGCGAAGTTCATCGTCCGATTTCTTGAAGGTAAACTTCGCTTGGGTCTCGCTGAGAGGACAGCCATTATTTCACTTGCTCAAGCTATGGTTTGTCATGAGGTAGAAGCGAAAGGTTCTGGGAAAATCCCAAGTACAGAACAATTGGCTAAGGGCGAGTCAATACTGAAGGCAGTGTATAGGTAAGTTCCCAGTATTTTACTCTGCACCGGTTTACTGATGAGTCGCAGCGAGCTTCCCAGCTACGATGTTATTATACCAGCAATGCTTGAGCATGGCCTCTTCAACTTGCAAGACAATTGCAAACTTCAACCAGGCGTTCCTCTCAAACCGATGTTGGCAAAACCCACCAAATCTATCACCGAGGTTCTCGATCGTTTCGAAAACCAGACATTCACCTGCGAGTATAAATATGACGGCGAGAGAGCCCAGATCCATTACGTTGCCAAGGATTCTCCATTGCAATATAAAGGTCCCCAATCAGCCACTGACAAAACTTCATCAGGCGGACTTGCGGCGATCTTCTCCCGCAATTCGGAAGATTTGTCCAAGAAGTATCCCGATATCCTAGCCAAGCTTAATACGTGGGTGAAAGATGATACCAAGTCCTTCGTCTTGGATTGTGAAACCGTAGCCTGGGATTTGAATGAAAAGAAAGTTCTTCCTTTCCAGCAACTCATGACCCGCAAGAAGAAAGATGTCAAAGTTGAGGATGTGAAGGTCAAAGTTTGCGTCTTTGCTTTTGACCTCCTGTTCCTGAATGGTGAAGCACTCGTTGGGAAATCTCTTCGCGAACGACGAGCACTTCTTCATGAGGCGTTCAGTCCAGTTGAGGGAGAGTTCTCATTCGCTACACACATGGATGGGCAAGAAATCGACGAGATCCAGACCTTCCTTGATGATAGTATGAAAGCTTCATGTGAAGGTCTCATGGTCAAGATGCTTGATGGCAGTGAAAGTGCTTACGAACCCAGCAAGCGGAGTAGGAACTGGCTAAAGGTAAGCTGCCCCCCCTCCCCCCATTTTCTTATTTTAAATCCCGCTAATGCTTTCTTAGATCAAGAAAGACTATCTTGCAGGCGTAGGCGATTCTCTCGACCTCGTTGTCCTAGGTGCTTACTACGGCCGTGGCAAACGCACCTCCGTCTTCGGTGCCTTCCTCCTCGCCTGTCACAACCCCTCGAATGACACCTACGAAACAATCTGCAACATCGGCACAGGTTTCTCAGAAGCCGTCCTCGAGACCCTGCACGCCGAACTCTCACCCCTCATCATTGACCGCGCGAAACCCTTCTACGACCACAGCAGCGGAAACCAGCATCAACCCGATGTCTGGTTCGAGCCGAGGTATGTGTGGGAGGTGAGGACGGCGGATTTGACACTGTCTCCTAGGTATAAGGCCGGGTGTAAGGAGGGGCTTGAAGATGGGAAGGAGAAGGGGATTAGTTTGAGGTTTCCGAGGTTTATTAAGGTAAGGGAAGATAAGAAGGTGGAGGAGGCGACGAGTAGTAGGCAGGTGGTTGAGATGTATAGGAAGCAGGAGAGCGTGGCGAAGAACAAGGGACCGGCTGTCGATGATGACTTTGAGTATTAAGTATAGGGGTTGGCCTTTCTTGCTTGGTAGCTCTGTGATGGGAATATCCTATATGGCTTTGCTTACTATTAGCCTTACGCAGCGTCTGATTAATCAAAATGTACAGTATAATCTTTTACATGCATACTCCGTAAGATCTTAATGTGCTTCAATCTCCACCTCCCTAGCTCTCCCACTCTTCCCCTCCTCCCTTGTCCTATATTTCCTCGCCCTCCGAATCCTAACCTCTAGCTCCCTCATCTCCCTATCTACATGCACGATCCTCGGCACTATATCCTGCACCAACAGCACCGCCTGCCCTTGCGCAGCTTTCAATTCTGCTGGTACGAAAGCGCCGAACATTCGTAGAGATGCTTTTCTTTCGGCTGGATTTGCTGGAATATTCTCATTCTCATTTTCCTTTTCCTTTTGCTTTTCCTTTTCTTCGCTTCCTGTCGTGGCGGGGGAAGCTGGGACTGGGAGGGGCGCTGGATGTACTTGTATGGAAGACGCGTCTGAGGGAATGCTGCAGAGCGTCTCGGCGCGCATGTGAGCGCTGTAGCTGGAAGCGCCGTAGCGGGATACGCCTATGGGGTGGAAGTTTGCGCGGGACATGTTTTGGAAGACCTTTATGGGTTGGGTGATTTGTTAGTTGGCTATCTTCTGGCACGTAGAAGGGGAGGTATGGTAGGCAGGAAGGCAGGAAAGGGGGATGTACGGAGGTTTGTAAGGAGGAGAGTTGGGATCGTAGGGTTGTGTAGGTGTGCAGGTTTTGGAGGTATTGTTCGAGGAGGGTGTCTATTTCTAGGGTGAGGAGTTCTGCTGGTGAGGACATTGTGAGGTGAGGTGGTGTGTAGATGTGTATGCTATTGGTCTTGGTCTTGGGTTGGAGGTGTAGGATGTGTTTTGACTGCCGGTTGTGAGTCCTCGGGTTATGGATTTAGAGAATTGATGTGCCGTTGAAGTGTAACAGGTGAGGTACGTCAATCTGGATATAAAGTGGTTTGTAGATGGAGGCGTGTGGGGGTGAAGTCCCCTGGAATTAACAAGAATACCCCTGTCGTATGCTCCAGAGGGGAGGGGCTACAAGAAGCACACAGGTGGATGTCACTTTTAAAGGAAGTTTCATCCAATATCAAAGTGCAGCCAGTTGAAGACATTATCTTATATAATCGACATATAATCTACAATTGTCTATCATATACAAACCTATCAGCTCAAGTACTTACCCCCCCCCCCACTGGTGACCCTCCACTCAATATCCAGGCGCGCTTGTTGTTTCACGACATCTGGTAGCAGACCACGTTGTTTCCAGTACATGTACCGGACCAAGGCTTCCTCTTTTGAAGCATCACTTGTGTGAGCTGCAGCCCAATCCGCATCTCTACTTTGCATCCATCCACTCAGCCTCGATCCTTGCGACGCATCTTGTGCACCGAACTTTGGAATCGACAGACTACCTTGCTGTCAAGTACCGTGGCTGCAGTTTGTTCCTGCTGTTCCTGCTGTACCTACAGTCCTCTACTAGTACACGTACCCGTACCGTACTAGATCAATCCCACCCATTCTACCCGATCCACTACATATCCAGCTGCCTTTTAATCGGCCCTGCCCGGTGCTATCGATTGTGCTTCCTTCCACATTATACCGTACCTTTCCTACACCTCGGTATCACATCTTCTTTTTGCGTGGCGTTGGTAGTTGTGTGAATTGGACAAGAAGAGAAGAGAAGAGGACAAAAGAAGACATTAGCCGCTGTCGAACCGAAAAATAAAATAGCTCCACCTGCTTTCCAGGCGGAACGGTGGACGACGAGTCAATTCAATTCAATTCAACCTGGTCTAGAAGATAGTCAGTGGAAGGGAAGGTCGAACAAATAATTCTCGGAGACTCCTGTATCGTATCGCCCAAACAAACCACCATCGCACTATCCGCGTCCTCTCCTCTCTCAACATCGCCCTTCTGTGTTGTCTGCACCTCGTCCTGCATCCATCCAACGTACCACACGCGTCCATCTTCGTCGACCGGATCAGATACTGCAAGACAATACATCGAAACTTGACGTAAAGGCGGTTAAGAGGGATCAATCAATTACACAACCGCAGAAATGGTTGTTGCAACTATCAAGTACGAGCCCTTCCCCCACTATCTATCTGCATCTGCCTAGACCTGTGCGCTCTTCTTCGCCGCGGCATTCAAGAATTGAGGGGTTCACATCGCTAACAGTGCGCGCGATTAGGTGTGTGGTCGTCGGCGATGGTGCTGTTGGAAAGACATGTCTGTTAATTTCCTACACTACGAACAAGTTCCCCAGCGAATATGTTCCTACGGTGTTTGACAATTACGCTGTTACTGTAATGTGAGTAACCTTCTCCCCGCTTTGTGAGGATTTTGAGTCAGCATGGAACGGACATCCAATCTGGGCGCGCAGATTGAGTGTGAATTGGTTGCATCTTGAAGAACTAAGCGCTAATGGTATGGTGAACACAGGATCGGCGATGAACCATACACCTTGGGACTATTCGATACCGCAGGACAAGAAGATTACGATCGTCTCCGACCCCTCTCCTACCCCCAGACCGATGTCTTCCTCGTCTGCTTCTCCGTCACCTCCCCCGCCTCATTCGAGAACGTACGAGAGAAGTGGTTCCCCGAAGTTCACCATCACTGCCCCGGCGTCCCCTGCCTGATCGTTGGCACCCAGACGGATTTAAGAGATGACCCCAGTGTTCGGGATAAGCTGGGTAAGCAAAAGATGACACCAGTCCGCAAGGAGGACGGCGAGAGAATGGCCAAGGAATTGGGTGCCGTGAAGTATGTCGAATGCAGTGCTTTGACACAGTACAAACTAAAGGATGTCTTTGATGAGGTGAGCTGCGCCCCTTCCCTACTTTTGGACCCCTACTTACAAGATCTTCCCAAACAGGCAATCGTTGCAGCTCTTGAACCTCCCCAGACAAAGGTATGTCTGGTATTTCTCAAGAGCTTACTTCTCTGCTCTTCACGATGTCTAGCAATAATCTGTACTGACTCAATAAGAAACAGAGGAAGCATCACACGTGTTTAATTCTCTGATTCACCTACTTACCCCGCATTTCCGCCTTTCCGCTTTAGACTCTCCGGCCGCCGTCACAATTTCTCCTACCTCTTCTCCACAATCCTGTTCGCTCGCATTCGCACGGGAGATGGATTGATTCTCCATGGTAGAAAAATAGCAGCATGAGGGCGTCCTCTTCAGGTTTTTTATGCGGCTTTTCTGATTTCATAGCGATCCGCACCTTTGATCTGATATCTTCGACTTTGCTTTTGGCGCTGGGAAATTGGGCGTGATAAAGGGACTGGTATTCTGATTTGATCTGCGATAATCAGTTATACTCTGGATTAGTTAAGCGCATACTTCTGACATTCAGAATTGAACATTTGAGACATCTTGTTTTGACTTGGCTTTCTTGTGCTGTGATTTTGATTGTTATTTATATTATGAGCGATGATGTTTATGGGCTTGTGGTCGAGGAGATTTGATTTACTTTACCTCTTTGATTAAGGCTTACTTTCTACTGCATTTCTTCCTTTCAGGCTTGGCGCTCTGATCCACTCCCTGGGTTTCAACTCAAAGCTATCCCTCTCATCCTCTCTTCCTTCTTGTCCCTTATCTTAACCTCTACTTCCCTCAATACATGCTAATGCGACCGATGCCTTGAGAATACCTTCTCTGCACCCTCCACTTCTGGAGACCTTCGATGATTCAAGTTTCGACCTTGGGATTTGCATCATCGAAAGTCTTTTCCAGCCCTTCCGACTAACACAAGTGTTAGTCGGGCATCTAGACCAGTATAAGTCCCTTGATACCATAGTTCCTCAGCCATACATACCCGCTGAATAACAACTGCGCTTTGTACGACCTTCCTCCATCTCTCAGCAGGAACAGTAAGCCACATGATATAACCTCTTCCTAATCTACCTACGTCGCTACATCCCTCAAAGTAATACGCTTTCTCTTCAAGTGCTTAGGTTCCAAAATCGCAGGTTTGAATTGCAAGCAAAACCCAACTATTGTGACTGTTCTGGTACCTGCTTGATGAATCTCTTTAATGAACGCTGATCACGTTGCGGATAAGGGGACTTCGAGGTACCAAGATGGCGATGTTGACTACGGAATAAGATTTACTGGCATTCTGGGGAAGTTTAGCTAATGTATTTCTGACCAAGTCGTCACATGACTCACTACTCTACTCTACAGGTACGAAATAACCGGCCCATTTTGTGCATACTAGAACCACCAACTTATAATAATTATACTTTCTAATATAAAAAGAGTACATATAATAAGTACTACTATAAGATATTCCCTATCGAGTTTCAAAAGCTTTTATTTACTATGTCCTAAGAATAGCCTATTTCTATGCGATTTGGGTGGTATAGCCCGTGCACAAAATGGGCCTTCTTTATCGTACCCCCAGAGACTCTTACTCTAGTAGGTAACCCTCGGCTCGGGTTCCTAAACTACTCCGTAGGTACCTACCCCACATACCAGCACCCTACCCTACCTACTTTATATACCCATACGACTTTTAATAAATGACGCAATACATACACAGGTACCTATATTCAACTTCCAAAACATGGAGAAAAAGTTAAGAGGCGTGCGGTGTGCTTTGTACCTATGCCTCTGATGGGTGGCACTAACTGGTTGGGGAAAGGACAGGACCCAAGAAAAGGAAAGGAAGTGCTACTATAAAGACCTAAGATTATGAATTTAGAATAACAGAAGCCTTGAATGAAACTGGAGATGTGATTTAAGGAAAGGAGAGGGAAACGCCGCTTGGTGCGATACCTGGGTCCTGATATCAGTTTTTGAGACTCACGGGTGGGAGACCAACACGACGTACATTTTCCAGCATGGTAGGTAGATGTTTAGACTTTTTACGCACTATGTATCAGTATCCTAGTTTTCATTCACCTGATGTGAAGTCTGTGCATTTTAATATACCATGCAATCCGAACTCCCTTCCTATAATACATTCCCCCACATCCCCCCTCACAGATACTTCTTCGGCCCATTCGCCTTTCTCCGCTTATATAAAACAAAAGCGCCCACAAGCAGCGCCTGACTCCCAAAAACCACAAACACAAGTTTCCATAGCCCCGTCCCGGTATTTGCAAGCGTGCCAAGAACGCTAGAATGTCCCTCCCTCACAGCGCTCTTGAGTCCCGCAACATGTTGGTCCAGCGCATTATGCAGATCGGCTTTCGTTTGGCGGACATCGGATTGTATATCCTTCAGCACCTTGCCAGTTCCTTCTTGCTGCTTAGCACTAGCTTCGATGGCTGTTATTCTCTGCAAGAGCGTTTCGTGGCGGGCATTGGATTGCTGTTGGTATGTTTGAAAGGCTTGGGTTTGCATTGAGAAGGCACGCATCATAGCTTGGAGACGGTTGTGCAGATCTGCGAATTGCGCGTCTGAGCTTGTGTATTGGGACGCTGGGACTTCTTCTGGTATGTCTCGTTGCGTGTTCTGCGTGTTTCCTATCGGTTGCTGTGCTTGGGCTTGGTTGTCTGGCGCAGCTACGAATTCTTCACCTGGCTGGCCCGCGACGTCTGGTGTATGGCTATCGGTGGTGGTAACGAATCTGAAGACTTCAAAGGAGTCGGGGTTCTCTGCTGACGCGGCAGACACGCCAAAGTAGTAGCCCAGAGGAATCTTGATCTTGGGGGAGTCGAAGCAGCGGCGGCCGTCAACGTCAACGCTGAAGGAGTCGGGGGATTGGCGGATGGCGATGCGTGAGGGACGGCCCAGGTTGCGGTATGAGTATTCGCAGTGACCGAAGGCGAGGGAATCGACGCTGTGGTGAGATTTATATTCGGTGCTGCCATCGTTGAGGAAGCCTCTTATGGAGCCGCCCTGTACATGAATACTGTTAGCTAATATCTGGACTTGGCTTGAGGACTGGGGATATTTACGGAGCCTGCGTATTGGTCTACGACCAGTGCTAGACCATCAAATCGCCCAACTGTGTATATGCTCGCTGTGCCAATCTCTTCTCGCCCATCCTTTGCCAGATACACCATGAAGTTGCCCCCTCCTCGTTCTGGACCAGTTGCGCGGAAATCTACGTCCACCGACCATGATGAGTGCATGAGGGGTTTCTCGGCCCATATTGCTCCACGCTGGTTTCCTGGCACTGGTGGCGTGAGGACGAGTTTGTTGGATAGGATTTCCGGGGGTTTGGGGTTGCCTATGATATGGAAGTTGGGTACTGCTCGTAGATTGGGGGAGATTCTGGAGTCGCAAGTTAGATTTTGAGGTGGATAACACAAAGAAGAGATATTTACTTGTTCTCTTGACCAAAACTCAACTCGGGATTGAGGTATGTAGCTTGCGCAGAAGCAAAAAGGAAGGCCGAGGCCAAGGTAAGGGATATCTTGGAGAAATACATGGCCAAGGAATGGAGAGAGATATCCAAACTTCTTAACAGAGCAATTGAGGAAGAAATCAAATGCAATTCATGAAATATTTGCAGCTTTCCTGAACCTGCGGGGAAACACTCAGGCAGTTTGTTTGGGTTATGCTCCGGCCTGCTCTTCTAGTCCTTTGAAGACCCCCGGCTATGTTTGTGGGAGAGGACAGCTTGCACGGCAGAAGTCACACAGTAGATTGCCACCACTCCAAAAATGAGATCGCGGATGGGTTTTCCTAAGCTGGTGATGGAGGGTCCAAGTTCGAGAGTGAATTTATGAGAAACAAAATGCTTGACTACGACCTCTGAAGGAATGAATGCTGCATCCATTATAATGTTATACAGTTGAAAGCTGAGCTGAGCTGGCTGGGTTGTGTTGTCATGCACCTTTGTCCAATGGGATGCTGAGATAATCCCTGCTTTTGGTGCCTCGTCGGCTTTTTGTTCTAAACCTCCGTGATGCGATTGTGAAGACTCTCAATTCCACACCAGTATATCAACATTTGGAAATGTCTCAATGGCAGACTTATACCCCTCAATAGCACAATGTGCGGTAGTAGCCACCGCGTTCAAAGTGCTACTGTTCCCAGCATAGTATGCTCTCCTTCCAGTCCCTCCTTTCCCAACTTCCATCAGAACTAATAACGCGACAGCAAATCCACAGACTTCGAGGTCCATAGGAATTGGCTGGCCATCACGAACAGCTTGCCCGTCCAAGACTGGTACTACGAGAAGACTTCAGAATGGACGCTCGACTATCCTCCTTTCTTCGCGGTCTTCGAATGGATATTGTCGCAATTCGCAAAGGTGGTTGATCCGGAGATGTTGAAGGTTTATAATTTGGAGTATGACAGTTGGCAGACTGTGTATTTCCAGCGTTCGAGTGTTATTGCTACGGAGCTTGTACTGGTATATGCGCTTTATCTGTGAGACTGCCATGCATTTGGCGTGAGTTATGCTGATCCTTTTAGCTTCGTTCAATCTTCACCTGCGGCCTTTAAACGCCCTTCGCATGCTGCTGCACTTTCAATTCTGCTGTCGCCAGGTCTTCTCATCATTGATCACATTCATTTCCAATATAACGGGTTCCTTTATGGTCTTCTGATTTTCTCTCTGGTGTTGGCAAGGAAGAAGTCAACTACTCTAGCAAGCGGACTCCTCTTTGCTGCACTTCTCTGCTTGAAGCACATCTATCTCTACCTTGCACCTGCATATTTCGTATTTCTGCTGCGAGGATATTGTCTAGGGCCCAAATCAATCTTCCACGTCAAATTCGGCAATGCTTTCAAGCTCGGGACTGGGATCATTGCGGTCTTCGGAGCTGCCTTTGGTCCTTTCGTCTACTGGGGCCAGATTCCACAACTACTAAGCCGACTGTTTCCTTTCTCCAGAGGCCTTTGCCATGCGTACTGGGCTCCAAACATCTGGGCAATGTACTCGTTTACTGATCGAGTTTTGATTTATGGTAAGTCCGATTTACCCTATGACTGAACAAGGCTGACAATTCCAGTTGCTCCCAAGCTCGGCCTGGCAGTCAACCAAGACGCTGTCAATAGTGTGACTCGTGGTCTAGTTGGAGACACTTCGTTTGCCGTCTTACCAGAGATTACCGCAAAGATGACTTTTATCTTGACACTGTTCTTCCAAGTCATCCCCTTAATCAAGCTATTTTTAGATCCCACCTGGGACACATTCATCGGAGCAGTCACGCTCTGCGGTTATGCATCCTTCCTCTTCGGCTGGCACGTCCACGAAAAAGCTATACTCCTAGTCATCATCCCATTCAGCCTCATTGCACTCAAAGACCGTCGGTACCTCGGTGCATTCCGTCCACTCGCGGTCGCAGGTCACGTTTCGTTATTCCCTCTCCTATTCACCGCCGCCGAGTTCCCCATCAAAACCATCTACACGATTTTCTGGCTCGTGCTGTTCCTCGTCGCGTTTGACAGGCTTGCGCCAGCGAGTAACAGATCGCGGATATTCTTGCTAGATAGGTTTAGTTTGTTGTACATTGCGGTCAGCATACCGTTGATCTTGTATTGTAGTTTGTTGCACCAGATGGTGTGGGGAAAGAGCTTTGAGTTTCTACCGTTGATGTTTACGAGTTCGTATTCAGCAGTGGGCGTGGTGGGTAGCTGGGTGGGGTTTTTGGTAGTGTTCTTCACGAGTTAGATAGAACTGCGAATGATATCCTTGAGATGAGGTTGAAAAGAAGAATGAGGCTGAAACCCCTGAAATACTTGAAATATGTGTCTGGGAGGGGTCTAGGGTTTAATTCTTGTGCCATTTGTGATTTCTGGGTAATGAGTTATCATATGGAGCAGGACCGGGAGTGTCGGCATTCGGATTTGTTGGCTTGGGGCTGGTGAAGAGTCAAAACGGTGAACCTGGAAGTCCCGGGAAAATATCGCTTAGTTGAAAGCGGGAACTAGCGGCAAGCGCCTCCCTGGAACTCCCATGGTGCGTGGCACGTTACTGTATGGGCGTGAGACGAGGACCGTTGTGTTTCCAGTCCAGGGACACGAGAAGGATATACAATAGACAAACCATCTCTATATTAAAGCCATAAAATACCAGAATAATAGAGAGTCATGCATCTATTGGGAATTCTCCATATATCGCTTCTCAGTCGCCATGACCCCTGAACAGGAGGACCCCTACTACGTCAACAAAGAGTGCTCTACGCAAAACATACCACAACTGTCTGTTAGAATGAGGATTAAGTTTCCTTGGGTTCTCTTAATACACCTAGAGCCATCTAACAAATTGGATCAAACGAAACTGTCAAAACCCGAAGTGACGCCCCTTGTATTGATATCGAGGTGTTCGTGTGAAAATCCCTATTATTTCCCCGCCTATTTTCAAAATTCCGTACGCGACGCCTCTTGGAGCAATATCTGTCAAAAGCATACAAATAAGTACTTGGATGATAGATCTCGTTCTCAGCTTTATTTCAAGCCCAAGAAAGTGGTTGAGATGTGGCTCCTTGTTGTTATGGTGTTGGAAAGGGAGGGGCCAAGGTCGAAGGGGTTCCTCGCGTCTTTTTGGGAGCACGCACCACAGACGACGAGGCTAATGCCCGGCTAGCCTTCCTGCACTTGTGCACCTTAAAATACAAACCTCCCTCCACCTTTTCTTAAAGTTCTTCCCATCACTTGCCCCGTCCAACAACGCGCTGTTGTCCTCACGTCAGTCGCCCACCACAAACTCCACCACCTCAGCAGCCTGAGTCTCTTCGACTTCTACAACACGTCTCCTGGTACTTATACGCGTCGAGAGCCCTAGCTGTAAGTCTGATATTGATACTTCCACCTTCACGGGAAAGCTCCTTCGCCCACCCAGAACGCCCGGTGCACCATTTACCTCCCCCCTTTCCCCAATTCCACCCCACAGCATCATTCACACCCTTTTGCGATTCTATTCAAGAGCATACTGTGATGAATGAGGGGCATACCGAGTCTAACAACCCCCCCTCCCCCAGGTTCTCTACGGCGTTTATAGGCCACCGTCTCCGCAGACCGTCAACATGGTACGGATTCCTCTGATACTCCCCAACCAAATACAATAGCTGACCCATCCAGGTCTTTTTTAAAAGAAAACCCGTACACTATGTCCCTCCGCCCCAGATTGATAATGATGACCAGGAGGTGAGTCCCCTCCGACTGGGACAACGCGCCATAGTAATTGACTCATGAGCTAGGTCTGGGAAATCAAACAAACGAAGGAGATATTCACAGACTATGAACAGTACTTGAATAGGTATGCGCTTACAATATTACTATTCGAGACCCTGCTAATGATGTCACAGAATGGACTTTTATAAGCAGGTTAGCTTTCTATATACCGAATATATACAAGCGGTGTGCTAACTCCTCTCAGCGGAAGTTTATATGCCAAATAACTGGACATTCACAACTTTCATTCTTCGACGCGCTCAAGAGCGAGGTATGTTGTGAGTAAGTATTGGAGGCGAGCAGGGCTGACTTCTTTCAAGGAAGCAGGTGCGCAAGAAGTAGAAGCAGCCTTCCCCGAAGCCCTTAAAGGCCCCATATTACGGCGCGTCCAATTCCAAACCATCTCGCGAATCGATACATTGGTGGATCTTATTTACGAAGAGTTTCGCGCCGATTACTACCCAAATGAAGCGGTCACAGTGCATGTTATAACGGGCGAACGACTCACAGGGATTGTGAGAGACAAGACGCGCTTCGGAGCGAAGCAACTAGCGGACGGTACTATCACGCCTTCCTTCTCGAGATATTTCGTAAGTTTGGATAATCGACCGAATGAGGAAGCAGTGGTAGATGATGCGCATATCACTCGGGACCGCAAGATATTTACCAAGCAGGTCTTGAGATCATTTATCAAGAAGACTGTCACTAGAGAAGCTTGGACTGGGGCGCCATGGTTGGTTCGCCCTGATATTGCAGCAGAGTACCACATTGACACTCGCGTCCCACCACATCTTCGTCAAGAGAGCAAAGCTGCAGAAAGGAAAAACAGCCAAGCGCAAAAGAAGGCCGCGTCAGAATTTGATGGAATGATTGGAAGCTTCCCTGGAAATTCCCAAGCTCGACTGCCAGAGTTGAAGCCAGCACCCAAGAGCCACAAGAGCAAAGCACAGCAGTCTCAACTGGCCAAGAGTAAGCCGCAGCCGTTTTTGAATCCTGCTCCTGATAATATTCCTCATCCCCAATTCATCCCTCCGCCTCATTATGTATCTCACAAGTTTCAAGTGACTGGCCCACCCCAAGTGGGACCTCATTTCGGAAACTTCCACAACACCTCGTTTGCTTTCGCGCCACTTCAATCGTTACCTCCGCAACCACCGCCACCACCACCGATCAAGTATCCTATCGAGGACTTGCAAGTAGCCCCGCGACACGATGGTCCGAAACGACCAACACTCAAATTCTTTTCGGAAGATACGCCGGTGGGGACTGGAAAAAGTAGTGGCAATGGAATTTTGATGAAGTCTATCGGTCCACTACTCGAGTCATGGGACACGTTGAACGTCTACTGCGAGGTATTTAAGTTGGATTCATTCACATTCGATGATTTTGTAGAGGCTCTTCAATTCTCTTCCGAAGACGTCGAGTGTGAGCTATTCGTTGAAGTCCACTGTGCCGTCTTGAAGCTTCTTGTGAGCGCCGAAGCAGATGGCGGTAAAGTAAATGTTGAGTTGCCAGACATGGATGAGGAAGACGATGAAGACGAATCAGGAGCTGAAGGAAGTCCCAAGAACAGTCCGACCCCTGAACCAGAACCGGCGCCAAAGGGACGAGCAACCAGAAGCAGTTTGGCAAAGGCTGAAGCCGAGGCAGCAAAAGCTGAACAGGAGAATATCAAAGAAGAATCGGAGGAGCTAAAGGACAACCACCGGGCGGCTGAAATGCAAGATGAGGCTGGCTGGATTGATCGTTTGAGGAGGCGAGACTTCAAGAATGGAGGCTGGCAATTTATTATGATCGGATTGCTGTACCAGCTTTCGAAAGGCCCTCGTTATGCCAGCTCTCTAGAGGATTTGCTGACTGAACTTGCACCTCTCAACATGCCGCCCACGCAAGATACAGCTCGGCAACAATACAACAAACTCGAAGTCAACCTCCGTATCAAGGCTCTCCAAACAATATGTATGCTTACGGCCGAGACGAAGGCAGTTCGTGGTTACATGGAGGAATGTAGTGAGCAAATGACCACCTTCCGGAAGGAGAAGATCCAGTATCAACGCGAGAAAAAGCAACTGTAAGTTTCTCATTGTCATTTACAATTTCATACTGATATAGTCAGAATTACGGATCTCACAACTCTCAATGAAGAGCGCAAGATCCTGCTTCCAGCAAACATGCCAGCCTCTCCAGTCCTTGACACCAAGACTCTAAATGGTAATGGTGACATCAAAATGCCCGATGTAGAAGAAGAAGGCCCGGATTCAACCATTGAAGACGAAATTATGGACACAGACGAAGACCCGCATCAAGGCCGTTCTCTTCGCCGCGGCCTAGACCGCGCCGCCGACCGAAAACGCAAACGTGAAGTCGAGCAAGAGAAGAAAGAAAAAGCAGAAGCCGATGCCAAACTGCCCAAACAATCAAAGCAATTCACCAAACTTATGAAAGAAATCCAGAAGAAACAAGACGCCATTAAAGACTGCGAAGAAGAAATCGCGGTTCTCGATAACGATCTCCGGGAAGCGGATTGTCCTCGTACGAGAGTACTTGGGAAGGATCGCTTCTGGAATCGGTACTACTGGTTCGAGCGGAACGGGATGCCGTATGGCGGCTTGCCCAATTCGAGTACTGCTGAAGCGGGGTATGCGAATGGATGTATTTGGGTTCAGGGACCAGACGATCTAGAGAGGGAAGGGTATATTGAACTCAAGCCTGAGTGGGAGAGTGAGTATAAGGCGCGGTTCAATATGACGGTTCCTGAACGCAAGATGCTTGAAGAGGGCTCGACAAACGTTTTCAACGCGCGGCAGTGGGGGTATCTGGAGGACCCTGAGCAAGTTGATGGCTTGATTTCCTGGCTGGATATTCGTGGCATCAACGAAATCAAGTTATCCAAGGAGCTGAAGAACTATCGCGATAAAATCGTGGCTTGTATGCAGAAGCGCCACCAATACCTCAACCCACCCGAAGAAGAAAAGGAGAAAGATGAAGGTAAGCGAATAAGCACGCGGAAGAAGGAAGAGAAGAAAGAGGGTGATAATTTCAAGAGATGTCTGGGCTGGAGAAATTACATGGCGCTTGAGGATCTTGGGTTCTTGCATAGTGATCCACCGCGACCGCGGAAGATTAGCAAGAAGGATAAAGAGAGGGAAATGGAGAAGGAAAAGGAAAAGACGGTAGTTGTTGAGGAGAGGACTAGAGGTGGGGCGGGGAAGAAAGATAAAGAAAAGGAAAAGGAGAAAGAGGGGAAGGGTACTGGGAGACAGGGGTCGAGATACAATTTTTGAAGGCTGACGCAGACAATATGGGACTGTTTTTGATGCAAGTGGAGTTATGGGGTTTTTTGGAGGTATTATTTAGTGCAGCGTGGTGTTTTGGTTTGGGCATTACTTGGCGTTCATCTTTAGTTGCATTGATGGCAAGGAGTGGAGTTTGTTTTGAAATCAAGCCTGTGCTCCCTATGGTATGGACTTTTAGATGTAGCGATACATGGAAATGGGAGTGGTAGATGAAAGGAACCAATAAGCATGATGTTATACGATAACCTGGTGTGTAAACTAAGACATTTGTTTTAGTTAAACACCAGTTGATGGATTGGGTTTTGGGATACTTGTAGTTTCATTAACACCAATTCTTTCCAACAAGGTTTTGATACTCAGTACAAAAGAAATAAAAGTATTTCCAGGTTAAAGCTTTTGAGCTCTGAATGCTGAATATCACCCGTTCCGTTCGCCAGCCGCCGGCCAGGCCACCTTTACTCCATATCCAGAATGTCATGATTAATATACAGAAATCATTTCCTTTTCATCAAACACTCCATCTCTTTCTTTCTTTCTTTCTTTCTTCCTTCCTCTTCTATTTCATCAAATATAACTAACCTTGACGCCCATCCCGACCGTCTCCCTCACGCGCCCCCACATCCTCCTAACTCGTTCTTTGACATCCCGCCGCCCCATTAGCACTACCAAGCCTATGATAAATGCCAGCAATTGGAGTAAAAATAACGGGCGTGTCTTGAAGGCTGCGAGCACATCTTGTGTTAATACTTTTCGTACGTTTTTGAAGATCGTCGAGGCGCGCGATAATAAGGTGGGTGGTAAACGCTTCGGTGCTGCTGCAGGGGTACGCCGTATAGGGGGAGCTGTGGATTTCGAATTTGAATTTGAAGTTTGTTTTGGAGCTGAATGTGAAGTCGGAGGGGTGGCTTTTGGTGTTGTAGAAGAAGAGGTAACGGAGACTGCTTTTGCTGAACGAGCAGTGCTGGGGCGGGAATGGGAATCTTCAACGCCGTAATCAACTTCACTTCCTCCACGTTCGCTCTCATCTCTCCTTCTCTCTTTTTCCTCGCGTCGTTTCCGCGCTTCTTTTAGCTGCTCCTCTTGCCATCTTCTTTCTTCTCCTTCTCGCTTCTCGGCCTCTACTTGCTCATCCCGCAAACTCTGCAGCGCTTGTAGAAAGGCTTCCCGTCGCTCTTCGTCGAGTACGGAGGATATGGATATGAATTCACGTGCGTAGTCCCATTCGTTGTTGCGGAGGAGGACGTGTAAAGTGTAGAGTTCGAGGATTTTGACGCGTGCGTTTAGGTCGCGGGGTGTGTCTGTGCCGGTTGATTTTTGGGGGGAACGGGTGCGGGGCGTATTGGGCGAGGAGTTCAGAATAGATTGGGAGATTTGGAGCGAGGGCGTTGTGGATGAGGCTAGGTAGGTTTCTAGACGTGTTTGGTTTGTTTTTTGGGTGCGGGCGTGGGGCTAGGAGGAGTGTTGCTCTGTTTGTTAAAGATGTATTAGTCCGGTGTGACCTGGAACTCAAAAGAGATGGATTGGTGAGACGGGTGAGCATACAAGTTTATCACAACATCTGAATCAACATCCCCCTCTACACCCCCATACCCATTCTTCACCACCTCCTCCCACACATCTCCCTCCCTCACTTTACTAACCAGCGCTCTCCAATCCGAACTCCCAAATGCCTGTTTCCCTTCGTCTGGATCCAGTTCCACGATTGCATTCAGTATCGTCAGGTACAATGACCAGACTTTTATTCTTGTTGTTCGGCTAGCTTTTGCTACAGGTGCAAGGTCTGAGGGAGAGTCTTCCAAATTTGGAGGGGTGATAACGGGGTGGATGGTGGAGAGCGATTCGGGGAGTCGACGCGTGAGGAAGAGCGTTGAGGATTGCCGGTATATTTTGGAGATTTGGGACGAGGTGTGCCGGGCGGAGGAGCTTGAGAGGGAAGAGATGGACGAGGTGAGGAGAGTGTCGCGTGTTGGACTCAGAGTCGTCGTCGCAATTGAGCCATTGGAAGTCATGGTGTTGACTCTTCTTTGGTGAACTCGGCTTGAGAATGGCAAAGAAAGTGTGGGGAGGAGGTTGGAGGAGAGGAAAAGGCGGAATGAAGTTGGCGGTATTCCCTGCCCGCCCTTGCTTTGAATGTGAAAGTTGAAGCGGGCTGGAAAGTGAGAGAGAGCCTCGGTCTGTCGGCGGAACTGCCTGATTGGTCTGTTAATGCTCGGTATCGTGCATAATAGCAGTACTTATGCATACGAGTATCACTATTTTATGCACGTCTATTCAAACCACGCCTTGCGACGAGGCTGAGACTACAACACAAACTCCAGCAACACACAATCATAGCACACATTGTTTGACAACAGTCCAACATCTTGGGAAACAAACAAAGCACAAGATGAAAACGCTTGCCGCTTGTAATTGCTGCTTAAACTTTTGCTCACGTTAAGACATCCCATTCTGCATTGAAGGAAGGAAGGGCCAAAATTGACTTGTCAACTTGTCAACTTGTCATTGACTTGACTTGGGCACTCTCTTCACTTTTATTTTGCATCTCGCTCCCGATTCCATTCCTACATTTCCTTTACAAATCCATCTCTTCAACTACAATGTTCTAAAAGTACTGAGACTATCTCTACACGTTGATGTCTGGATACACCTTCTCGAAGCAGCCGAGCAAGGAGCACTCTCCACTCCAGTTCAACATTCTCCTACGGCTTACGAATCTTCTCCGGGACCACTAGACTATCATCTTCAATATGGATGTCAAACAGCAGGATTTCAGGCTGCAGCTCCTGCCCATCTTAAAGAATATTGCCAATGCCAAATTCGTAACCTTCGACTTGGAGATGAGTGGAATCACCACAAGGCCTCGATATGGTCCAGGTGACAGGTCTCAAGATATTGGCAAGCCATCTCTCCAACAACAATATGAAGAGATGCGGAGTGCTGCAGAGCTTTATCAGATCGTTCAGTTGGGCATCACTTGTGTAGAGGAGAACACCGAGAAAGGTATAATTCACTTTTCCGGGTAGATTCGTGTCCCATCACTCACTGATAATTATCAGGTTTCTACCTCGCCAGACCTTATAACTTTTATCTCAGTCCCCTATCCGCAGACGGTGTGGATCTCAGACTTGAACGCAACTTTACCTTCTCTACCAGTGCATGTGACTTCCTGACAAAGAATCACTTCGACTTTGGCCGCATGTTCAGAGAGGGTATACCATATCTATCCCAAAGAGAACAGAGGGATGTTGAAGAAGACTACGACCAGCGTGAAAATCGAGTCGCCAGTATCCCCGACATTACAATTCCACCAAGCGATACTGCGAACTTGACATTTGTTCGCCAGGCCCGGCAGGATATCACAGCATGGTCCACCAATCCAAAAGTAGGCTTTGGTAAGATACTTCGTCGAATCAAATGCTAATCTTTTACAGCCGGAAAATGATTATGTGAATGTTAGAAATCCTGGACACAATGCCACCGAATCCCCTCTCAATGCGTTCCAAAGACGATTGATCTATCAGCTTGTTCGAAAGGAGTTTCCCAACCTTCGTACATTTGCTCGCAATCACCAGACCTTCATGAGAGTGGAGAGCCTGGACGTTAAGAAGGAAGAAGAAGTAAGATTAAGCCTCCTAATATTCCAATATCTATAGACATTCAAGTCCATCTGGAAATAATTTCTTGGTGTACATTGCATGAACGATGATCGAATCAATCTCAATGTCTCGGAAGCTCTGGGGCGTTCTCGACTAATCTGGCTCATAGTATCAGAAGAGGAAATCGGCGCAGTTCAACTATCAAGTGAGCAAGCAAGTCGGTATGGTTCTCGTTTCACCTTTTTGATCCAGTACTTACTATTCTAGGACTGCGATGGATATTCGAGGCCCTATCAGGTGGTGACCTATCTGGTCTCGATCCTCGACTCTGTGTGGAGCACTCCGAAGATGCCGAATATCTGAAAACAGCCACGATTGAGCTCAAGACCATAATCGAAGCCCTGCGCATCAAGAAACAGGTTCTCGTAGGACACAATCTCTTCACGGACTTGGGTTTTCTATACAGTGCTTTTGTAGACAAGCTTCCCCATAATGTTCACCATTTCCAGGCGGAGATACATGAAATGTTTCCACTTGTATTGGACACTAAGTTCCTCGCGACAGAGGGATTGGAATCCAACACGAGGTATGGCCTGAGAGACTTGTTGGAGCCGTTTAAGCAGCTCGATAGGCCGCTTATTCTGCTTCACGATAAGCATGCATCATACAACGGAGCATATGGAAAGGACCATGAGGCGGGATTCGATAGTAAGTTGAAAAATCCCCTACAACCATTGAAAACTTGAGCAATCCCTATTCAATGAACGCTTGGTGATGATACTGTGCCTCAATGTGCCCCTCGTCTGATATCCTCTTACTAACAAATGTCAGGTTGGATGACCGCCGAACTCTTTGTCAAACTTACTGCCAAGCTATACTCTGAGCGCAAACACCAAGCCCCATTCCAAGACGACTCCTCGGACAATTCCGAGCAAGTCTCCCTGGACGATGACAGCGGCGGTGCGAACCTAAACGGTAGCAGTAGCAGCAGCTCAGAACACTCCATACTCGACAACCTACCCTCCGAATGGCACGCCAAACAACTTAATAACCGTTTTGCGGCTCTAGCAGCAGCTGTTAGTATCAGTGCTGTAGCAAGTGGCAGTGATGTCGAGGCGGAAGGAGGACTAGAGCAGTGGATTCCGAAGATTTCGCATTCGTTCTGGGATGTTTATGCGAATAGGTTGAGGGTTAATGCTTCAGAAGGTGGGGTTTGCGATTTGGAGGATGGGTATGAGTCTTAGAATGGTAGGACGATTGGCATGGGCGGCGTTATGGAAGGGAAATATAGTTCTAAACCTGGGGGAGGCGTTACAAAAGTGCACTTTGATTCATCATTTGCGCTTATTTGGAGCCTGGCACATACTTTACAATATCTCAAATGGTATGATAGTCCTCACGCTCTGTCGAAAACCTTTCGTGTAATTGCTTGCATGGGTTATTTTCTTTGAATATGCTATACTGGCCTTCTACGCTTGTTGGTAAGTTTTAGGATAATACGTGATGTGGGAGAGCCAGTGGCAGCTTGCGGAGACTGGTGTGAGGGTGATAAGACAACTGGAGGGGTATGGGGATGGTGAGGATGGTTATGGTCTATAATATGTATTAGGTGCCATAAAGATAGGGGTTAGAGAGTTGTTTCGAGGCTGTCTGCTATACCAGCCCTTGGGATAGTATCGATAAGATGTTTTCGTTTTTATGTTTTTCCCCCCTTCTTTTTTGGATTATGTGTGCATGACATATTGGGGGTTTCGATGATATAGAATAAGTCGCGCTTTTGGCGTACAAGGAAATACTGCATGCTAATTGTATTATAGCTAGACAAGAGCTTTGTAGACTATGTGATTGTATAAAGTATATGATTGATAAAAGAGGTACGAATAGGTGAGGAAGAAAGAATAAATAAATAAATAGATAAAAGAACGGACGGGCAGATAGCTGACTACGGGCTTTGATTTGGTCTATAGACTGGCATTGGTTTTTGGCTTGTCATACATACATCTATGCCTAGGAGGTTACGGAGTATTGTCCTAGAGGAAGCAAGCTTGCGATATAGGGAATACCCATCTTCAATCAACGAGACCCAAGTTCATCTATGCATTTTACAATCCTCCTACTATACAAACGCAAGCTATGCTACACCCAACCATCTGTGTTTATACATTCCATTTTAAACCCACTTCCATCTCCCTTTCTACCGGGCCGCAAGCATATTCCTCACATTGCTGAAATACTTGTTCCCCAGACACTTCTGCAGCTCCTCTCTCGTCAACCACTTGAAATCCTCCAACCCGTACTGGTTCCCAGTCAAATCTGCCTGGCCGGTCATTATGCGGCCTTTCATGAAGAAGGTCTTGGAACCTGGTATGGTGGGCGCGGGAGGGGGCTGGACGTAGTGGCCGATGGGGGCGTGGCCTACGATCCAGGTATTCATGTTCAAGCCGGCCGATTGGACAAGAATGCGTTCTGCTGCCTGTACACACATTATTAGCCAAACATAAACACAAACACAATTTCAAAGCCAATGACAGCCATGATGCCATCCAAACTCGAAGCAAGGAACAACAATGTAGGAAGCCTACCTGATTCAAATTCTCCCTCCCTACAATCTCACCCTCCGGAAATCCCCACTTCCCCGTCTCCTCACTCTTAACAACCAAATACAGCGTGCGCATCAACTTCCGATCCAACGCCTTCACATCCCGCGTTTTATCAGCCTTCGTATACCTCTTCAACGCCTGCACGCCGAGCTCGTCATCCAACTCATCCTCCGTCTTCACACTCCCATCTTTGATCAGCACATCAATCTTATGAGCCGACGAGCTAGTTTTATCCCCCACAAGCAACTCATCATTCCACGCCGTGTCCCCATACCCCGTATACCCGCCCAACTCGCGGGCCGCCGCGCCACCTCTCTCCTTCGCCTGGCTCTTGTACAGCACGTCGGCCGGCGTGTCGCTCTTAAAGTAGAAGTAGCGGCTGAAGGGCAGGGCGAGGCGCTCATGCAGGCGTTTCTGGTAGAAGAAATAGGCGTCTTCGAACGGGGTGTTGGGTCGGGTGAGGAGCGGTGGGCGGCTGAGCAGGATGCCTGCTTTGGTGGTGTATTGGCTGGCGGAGGAGGTGACGGGGAGGATGGATGAGAGGTGGTGCAGCTGGGAGTTTGGTTCTGGGGTGAGAGTTTTCAGGCCTGTGGCTGCTGTTGCGTAGGCTCGTGGTGATATTGATGTGAAGGGGGTGGAGAGGTGTGGGCGTGATGATCCTGTAGCCAGTATCAGTCAATTGTCTTTCTGAAGCTGCAGAAGAAGGGACTTACGTATAATTGCAATGGCAGCTCTGCTACCTCTACTACTTGCCGTCATCTTTGCTATCTATCTCTTCAAAATACAATAATATCCCCTTCTTCTCGTCTCTACATTTCAAGCCCAAGCCCAAGCCCAAGCCAAGCCAAGCTCCAGAAAATAATTCTCGCTGACTAAGGCAACCCTCACTAGCGCGTGCTCTCCCATAAAACGAAAATTCGCACAACAATAAAAATTCTTTCCTCATCCAAGACATCCATTCTTATCATCAAGACCCGTTTCCACCCAGAACGTCCTGATCATTTACGGGTGCCTAGAGTAAACATACAGGCTTTTTTCGCTAGCGGTACCTACGACTCTACGGGAACAGCTAGATAGCTTCTGGTGACATTTCATATCATCATATTATATCATATCATATTGCGCACGCATCCATCCATGTTATTAGGTCAGTTCAGGTGGGTAGTAGATAGAAGAGAGACGGGAAGTCCAAGAAGAGCCATGCGCTCGGAGAGATGGAGGACTTGAACTTGTTGTAGAGTCCCTGCCATGCGCATTCCTCAAGCAATTAGCATGTCCTTGCTGCGCGACAGGCTCTAGCTCTAGTCCTGCAGTTCTGCTGTCTGCTGCTGGGCAGTTGGTTGTCCAAGTCATCTTCCTTGAGTTGATATTATTCACTCTGCAGACCGTTTCTTGCATCGAGAACTTTTTCCTGCCCACGTCTCAAAACGAGCTCCACAAGTCAGAGTAATGTACTTGACTTGGGCGATGCGCAAAATTCACGTTACTGTTTCAGCTAAAGGTCACTCTAAGTCTTAGCCGTGATGCAATCAATCCTTTCAATTCTCCAGATTACTATACATGCAGCCAAATCATCAAACGCTGCATACAGACTCGCTCGCTCAAACCAAACTCCAAATGCTCAAGCAAAATCAATATCAAGTCTCCGGACCGATATTCCCAGTCACCAATACCGGGTATCTCTTAACCAGCGCCATTCCCAAAGTACGCCATATCAAGACATTAATCATGTAGCTAAAGTATCCACTGCTGTCGCTACTTCGGAAGTAGCAATCTTCTCCCACCGCTCCTTGTCCTCTGCCACGTCGCGGTCTGCTACGATCTCGTACAGTTTCCGCGATACATCGCGGTTGATGTCGGCGTATTGTTCTTTGGTTATTCGTTGGGATTTCCAATGCGGTGCCAGGACTGATTTGACAATCTTGTTTATGCCTTCTTTGGCTTCTGCTGACATTGAGGCGCGAACGGGTGATGTGTCTGGTGAGCGGGCGAGGGCAAGTGGTCGTGGTTTTTGTCGCCTTGGTCTTGGTTGTCTTATTTCACTTGTAGGGCTTGATGAGGCTTCTCCGGGCGATCGATTCGGTGAGTAGTCTGCTGGTGGGTATATCGGTTCTACTCTCGAGGTCATTGGACAAGGCGAACCCTTACGTTGCACGATATGTGGTGGCGGTGTAATGGATAGCCCTCGGGGTGTGTGAGATGAAGACGATGATGGTGACGCAGCCGGTGACGAATATTCGACCGAAGGGCTGGTAACACGGTTTGGGCCCGAGGTTGTTGTTGCACTGAAACCGGAGCGCGGGGTATCATCATCAGATGCCGCGTTCATGTCGACTTCTTTCAACAGAGATTGAAGAAAAGACGGTCCAGGTTGGTCAGGCGGAGAGATGGGGCGAATATTACCATTTGTTTGGGGAGTTGGTTGATCCCCCGAGGAGGATGCCTCCGCCGGCTCCAATACTCTTCGTGTCCGAGGTCGTTTTAATTTCCGTTCCGGTTCTGCAGGTAGCGCAGGACCTGCTCCGGGGGATGCTGTTGCTGACCTGGATTTTCGTTTTCGGTTGTTTGGACTAGTAGTATCTATCTCCTTTGCCCTTTCGAATGCGCCCCAAGCTCGCGATTGTTCGACCGTCTCAGCTGGTGTTGGGGGTGTTCGGTTTCGTACGCGTTGAGGAGGTCGATAGCTTGGAGGGGCTAGATGACGGAAGACATCTCGAGCACCTTGTCTGGTAGCAATATTTAGGCGCCGTTGGAACTGTCGCATCTGGGATTGCTCGATCGAATTGCGATGGAGCATCGTCCTGTACCCGTTCATAGATTCTTGCTCATCCTCGTCTGAAAAGTCGAGATCCAAGCCAACCTGGTTATGAACCCTAGTCCCAATTACACTCCAGGTCCCAAACCAATGGTCTGTCCTGGCTTGACGACGATTCCGACGGACAGCTGCTTGAGTCCTAGGACCGAACCGCCCAGTTGAGGGTGCTCTCTCTGGTTGTGCCTCCCTAAGTTCAGCGGCTCTTGCTGGTGCTCCGTCATCCTCGCATTCCATGCAAAACCAGCTTCCATTTGGAACTTGGTCGCCGAGACCAATACAGTGTGTGTGGTACGGAGCATTGCATGCATCGCAGAGGAGGAGAACCTCTTCTTGGTCTGTCTGATCGCAGACTGGGCATGGGCGGGACTCTTCTTCCTCCTCTTCGAATTCGTCCACGACCCAGTTGGGGTCGAATGTGGTTGAGGCTTCTTGTTTCTTATCTTCGACTTGATATTCTGACAAAGCGGTACCTGGCGAAAATGGATTAGCATTTATTTCGGACATGTCATTCTTGGTGGAGCATGAGAGAAGTGGATTTTTGCTCCATATTTGGAAGGTGGCGAACCCATGGAATGCCCACCTCGAGCAAAAGACCCCAAAATCAAAGCGAACAACTCTCACGATGCGATCTGTAGAAATCGATCGATTTTCAAAACGGGGGGAGGGGGGCGAGGGGGAAGCTTACCTCCAACTTTATTTAATACCTCGACCAAATTAAACGTCTGGCGGCAGATAGGGCAACTATTCGCTTTCTGAGACCATTCTCGTAAACACTCATCATGTAGAATATGACCACAAGGTTTAATCAGAGCGACAGGTTGGTTGTTGTCGAGTTTCCCAGGATGCGTCGTCGTCGCGGGCAGGTCTGCGGATGGTCCCGCTATTTCGAGATGGGGGACAATGGGGTCAGGAACGACATCCAAATCCTCCAAACAAACAATGCACTGATCAGCCATGGGTGGAAATAAAATTGCAAGATTGTTGTGAAGAGGAAGTCATGAACGTGATTTGGGCTGTTGGTGTTTTATGCCTGTGCTTTGTGTTGTGTTGTGTTGCGTGGAGAAATAATTGGAGGCGATTGTGGTGAATACGGTTTCGGTGGTGAGTCCGTGAAATCGATGTGCAGGTAGGTAGGTAGGTAGGAAAGAGAACAAACAGGACAGGGAGAGCCAGCCCAGCCTTGAAGCTTTTGGTTGCACTTGCAGCTCGTTAGCGCGTCGGATACAAACGAGCCAATAGGATGCCACGAAACTGCAATAAAAATGGCCCCAGCTCGAGAAGGCGGTCAATGCCAAAGTGCCAAAGCCTAAAGCCAGCTTGTTGAACTTGGGTGGGAGACGTGGACCTCTTCTCTGGATGACTTGTACAAGAATGGGCCTTTGCTTAGTCCTGCGGATTATCCTGGGTAGGCTCGTAGGTAGGTAATCTTTGTTGGAATCACATCCCGGTGAAACAGTCCGGGCAATAGCTTGAGCAAAAGTCCCCGTGAGTGGAAAGGCAACTTCCTGGTTAGGCTGCGTTTCTCACATGAGCTGCCCGCGTGCTCGTGTTACTCGGAGCGAGGCCGCGGAGACGTAACAATCGGACGACTAGCTAGATCTTCACAATTGTGAACCATGGGACATCGAAGCTTTTATATGAATCTTCAAACCAGTCATGTGACGTGTCACACACATCGTGGATGAGCTGGTTTGGGGAAATAGGGATCCTCAAGGTTACTAGTGAATTGTTGTGAGTCACAAGAGGGAAGTGGAAATTGGATACTTAGCAGGCCTGAGTCTCCTAAGTACCTGAGGTAAGGTAGGTATGTGGAAGAAATAAGGCAACCAGGAGGCAGCAAGTAGCCCTATTTTCGAATAAGCCTACCAAAATGGGAAGGATGACTGAAATCGGTGACATCGATCCTTTCCAACGAATAATATTCAGCCTCACTTTCATGTTGGCACATCTGCTCCAGGATGCTGTGCCACCAGAACCGTATGCACGTAGTTATTGATGCACCGGAGCAGCCACAACCCTTTGCCCATAAACATTGATAAGAGCTCGATGTAGGGATGGCGATAGGAAGTGGAAACAACCTGGTTGCTTCGATGAAATAGCCCGCTGCTGCCTGCTGCCTATAATATTTAATTAGGAAGCCTCAACTCAACAACCAATCATCAACAACAATCTGTTCACATTTCACAAACGATCAATCTCCAGATTTCGAACGACCGAAAAGTAGACATGATGTAGCAACGGGATATTGGTCTTGCAAAGCCTTTTATTGTGTCATCATCGAAAAGCGATGTCGAAGCCCGTATCGTCTTTGCGAATCGAATCCCATGCACTCCAACCAATGTAACGCAACCCAATGCAGAAAACCCATCTAAACCTCCGCAATTTCCCTCAATCGTCTAAGCGTTGATCGCATGGCAGCGGCGGCGGGTGTTCTGTTGCGTGAATGTCAGTTGTGCTCGAAATTTACAGGTCTGCATTCCGGTGGTAGTCAAGCGCGTAGATGTACGTACGACACGGTGTAAGCTCCTCCAGCGACAGTCTTCTTGCATGACTTGCAGTCCCAGATTCCGACCGAGTGTCTCTTGACCGTGGTCTTTCCGCAGAAGGTACAGACATATTTGGCATGTTGGGTGATCTCCATCTTCTTGACTTGTTTACGGAGGGAAGCACCGTATCTGTAATTCAAAAGACCGTGTCAGCATTCTGTCCTCATCCCCAGCTTCAAGTCCCCATCTTGTTGTTTCGACCGTTGTTGAAGAATTTCGAAATTGTAAAGGCGTGGGTGGGGTATTGATTTCGGTGCGCATCGCAAGAATTGCAGGCGCAGAATAGGATTGTCCACATACCTTGTACCGTACTTGCCGGTAACTCCGACCTTCTTGGTTCTCTTCGTCATCTTGGCTGAGGGTGCTGTGATGAAGGGTTTCTGAAGATTGAGGATTCAGCGATGAGGTTGATTTTCAAGAGTATTTTGCGTGGTCGTCGCTTAGTTTGTGGGCGCGCTAAGTCACTCCTTCCTGATCCACCATACACGTGACTATAGGTTTCTCTTTTTCGGCTCTAACCGCTTTGGACTTTAGTCTGTGTACCGAGGAACTTCGCATTTGATATCCTGATCCTGATGCGATGTATTTTTATAAATGATGAGATCATGATGTATAATTAAGGTTATTATCATTCTCAATTTTTCGAGTTCTTGCTCTCTCACGCTTTCCCAACACGCATCGTCATAGAAACGGCCTACGAGTAAATTCTCAAGCATGTCACTACGAGTATATGACCTGGTTGTCTTTGGTGCCACAGGATACACCGGAAAGCTGACGGCTGAATACATTGCCACCAAGCTGCCTACTGATCTGAAATGGGCGCTCGCAGGGCGTTCTAGGAGCAAGCTAGAGGCTGTTGCAGCAGAATGTAAAGCACTGAATGCTGATAGGATTCAGCCAGGTAAGCCACCTTGCTCGTGACCCCTGAATAGTACATGTTGATCACGTGTTGATGTAAACATTCTTTTGGACTGACAATATATAGCTATTGAAATTGCTACTCTGAATGATGAGGAGTTGAGCTCTCTGGCACAAAAGACAACTGTTCTCATTGCCACTGTTGGCCCATACGCAGTCCACGGAGAATATGCCGTTAAAGCATGTGCTGAAAATGGCACTCACTACTTCGATGTCACCGGAGAGGTTGCTTGGGTTGCGAACATGATCAAGAAATATGAAAAAACTGCAAAATCTACCGGCGCTATTATCATCCCACAAATCGGAATCGAATCTGCACCAGCGGATCTAGTAACTTGGACCTTAGCAAGCATGATCCGCGAAAAGTTCTCGGTGCCAACAGCAGAAGTCATTGTTTCCGTCCATGAAATCAAGTAGGCTAAGATGTCCCAAACCACAACCTCTGACTAACAATGCTACAGGGGCAAACCATCAGGCGGGACTCTATCTACAGTCTTCGGCCTCCTAGACGCCTACAGCCTCAAGGAAATAGCTGCAACTAGTGCACCTTACGCACTCTCGCCCATCCCTGGCCCCAAAACTAAATCACCAACATCCTGGGTAACAAAGGTCCTAGGCATCAGAGAAGTCTCTGACCTAGGCATCCTCACCAGCTACCTTGGCGCAGCAGCCGACCGGCCCCTTGTGCACCGAACCTGGGGTCTCCTCGGTGGCCCTTCATTCTACGGCCCCAACTTCCGCTTCAGCGAGTACATGAAAGCCCAAAACTATCTCCTCGCCATATTTATACATTTCGGTCTCGCCGTCGCTTCTTGCTTCGTTGTGATCCCCTGGGTCAGGACGTTGGCTAAGAAGTATGTCACGCAGCCAGGTGATGGACCGACGAAGGAGCAGTCGAGGGATGATAGGGTGGAGTATAGGGGCATTGGAAATCAGGATGTTCAGACGCCGAAGCCTGCGAGGGCGTTTTGTAGGGCGCATTATGAGGGGTCTTTGTATCAGTGTAAGTCGTTGTTTGTTGATCGGGTCATAAAGGGTGCTAATGCCAAACAGTAACTGGATTACTGTTGGCTGAATCTGCAATTTCGATACTGAAGGACGAGCATAACTTGAGCGGGGGTATTTATACGCCAGCTTGTCTTGGACAGAAGTTCATTGATCGGCTTGATGCTGGTGGGTTTAAATTTGAGAAGAAGATCTTTGAGAATTGAGCTTGATGATTGAAGAGATCATGGAGCGGCATATTCATGACTTTATAAATGTAACTTTATGTAAGTAGTACCTTCCAATAGCCCACAGGCATGCATCTGGTTTATGGTGTTCTAGAACTCGCACTCGTATGGGAAGGGGCTGTCTTGGTCTTTGCTAAACTCTACAGGCACGCCGTTCTTTTCAGAGACTTCGTAAAGACACAGCTCCGAGCACTTTCCAAGCCCTAACTTCTTCAAACAACAAGTTTCATCACATTTATGTATTAGGTCATCAATCCAAGACAGTCCTTTGTTTTCGTGGATTATGTAGGCACAATCTAAACATCTAGCATCAACATAGAAATGCTGGGTTCTTTTTTTTGCCCTTGGTTTTTTGCCGCTGTTTCGAGCCTTTGCAGCAGATTTTCAGTCGATGAATCACCTCACAACGTTACATAATTCCTCTGCCCCTTCCATCTCCATCTCCATCTCCATCTCCATCCATCTTAATCTTTATGCGGCTCCCTTATCTCAGAAGCAGCTTGCTCTGCACTCTCTCTACGAACAGCCCACACATATCCGCCGTCAATATGATCAATAGACATCGAATGATGAAAATTATTTGCAATGTCACACTCGTAAACTTCACAATAAACAGAGATTCTTGCTAACGGCACAGGCGGAAATGCCCACCGTTGAATGGGTACTTTCGTATAGGCCCACAGAGAAATTTTGCGCCTAACACAGTACTTTACGATATCTTTGCGGTGTACGGCTTCAATCGTATTGATAAAGCCGACTGAGCTTTACATACTTGGCAGCAGGGAAATGGGCTCCTATGGCTGTGAGATCATCTGCTGGCCGAGTTCCTCCGAGCATGAGTCTAGCTCTGCTCCGGTGATTTTAGCACTGCGATATGTGCAAGGCAAGAACGCCTCGTCTATGTCGCAAATACCGTGTTGGAACGAGTACGCCTCGATCGACGAAATGTGAAGCTCTTTTGCTGATTCGTTCGAAAGTCCGTTACTACTATGTCTTGCTGCCACGAACCTTGGGAGACATCAGAGAATAGTGAGATCCGACTGCCCGCCCTATCACAGCGTCCACTTATCTTCAACTTGTCGAGATCAAGATCGCAATCCGTCACCAATTGTTATTGGGGCATATTGTGATGTGAGAAAGGTCGTTGGTGCCCAAAGAGACTGCGCTTACGGGCCAAGTTTTCGAAATTGGAAAGAGAATATTGGAATCTGCGGTAAAGGGGGGCCTGCGCATAAAAGGAGAGAGGTAGTGCTCACTGCCTATTGTTCGGCTATCTAGTCCCCGACAGAGTCGGAAATTGATTTCTTCTTGTCATCACTAGTGGTGTATTCAAACGCCGAGTCCGAGCATACAATGCGATCAGCCCTACGGAATGATGCACCACTTGACGGCCCTTCGATGCGGAGAGCACATTGCAACAAGTCTAGCTTGGGAGTTTAAGATGGGGCTGTTAGCATCCAGGTGGGCGAACGCAGGTATGTATTCCGCGGATTCATACTACTTGAATCATTAATTGTGCGCTTAAAATGCTTAAAATGCTTAAGCTGTAGGAGCATCACGTATTCTATTTAGCATTGTGTTTCTTGGAGTTCAGTGTCCAAAGGCTGCATCGAGGATTGATTTGCCCATACTCCGCGTCGAAAGAGATTGCATTCTGCATTCCTGGATTCCGGTCCAGGGACGATGATTGCTGAAAGTTTTACTAAAATTTGTTCGTGCTTTTGAACCAAGCAGAGACCGTTGCTCGTTGCTCGTTGTGATTTCGCAATGACACTGCTTATTCACAGAGGTCTGCTGACTTCGTTCAGATCTATAATAGTAAGCACTCTCTTTGAGAAGTGGGAATTAGGATGGTCCCTTACAGATCTGATTTTGCAGAGCTAACTCGGTCATTACTGGTGATATCGAACAGCTACGAATGTTCTATCTAGATAGTTTGCCACATAATAGGGCCTTATTTGATCGCCCATTTGAACAGGACGATAGATCTACCAAGGCAAAGTCAGGCTTGCATTATTAAGCCGTTATACACTTTCGAGACAGCACTCGAGTACCTCCGTTCAAAACGGTCGAGACAGTCAAGCTCAGCCGAGAACAGCGCTAAGCTCATCCCATCCCAGCATGTCCCTTGAAGGATCAGCCTTAAGTTAGCGCCATGCAAGCAAAACGAGCGTGGGGTCCCGGGGTTGCCAGGGAAATTCAGAATTTTGTAATCTGGCTGTCTTGTTGTCAGCACTCGTGCCCGCACCTTTTGAGAAGTTACAGGCCAGAAAGCGCCTTTCGGATTCTCGAGTCTCGATCGCAGACATCGGGAGCTCCATTTTCCGGACTATTTACGCCTGCTATTCACACATCAATAGACCATGTTGTTTCATGAAGCTGTACAGGACAAGCATGCCAAGTAACATTTGAATGTTTTGAAGCATTACAAACATTTCCAAAAATCATTGGACGAGAATAGCCCAAGCCATCGGCTCACCAACTACCCGCGCAAGCGCGCGTGTTATTTTGAGGCGCCATCTATTTCGGGCGACATTTCTGAGCTCAGCCTCGCTTGTTTTGGGAATCAGAATCACACACACACCCTCACCTTAAAAGAATTAAGCTATGCTTGGCTGGTAACCGTGCCCTTTGATATGCGAGTAGCCGCTACTTTGCTTACGGAGTACAGTACCTACAGAGTAGCCTATCCCAGAGACCCAAGATACCCGTGTCAGGGTCTCTTTGACAGGGGCTATATTGGGGAAGCCAGGGACAGGGCTGAGAAGCACGAAAAGACAACCCCTGAATTGCTACGTACAGTACCGTAAGCTGACAGGCAGGCGAGGACAACCCCGTCTATCCAGTGTACAGATGGCAAGCATCCCATACCTACTGTACTCTATTGCGTAGCATTTCCGCTACGTGCATTTCCGTTACACGCTCTCCGAACTTGAGCGGCCGACCCGTGTGGCTTTGTCAAGAAAGCATCTATTCCGGCTACACACTAATCATGTGGCCGCCTTTCCCATCGATGGCGGAGCAATTATGTTGGACTTCAATCTCACCATATGCATATAAGGGAAGTCAAGTGCTCCCAGTTATTCCAGCATTCAATCAACTCTCACTGCATTTCCTTTTTAGCATCTCCTTTCAAGTCTTGATAGATTTCGTTGTCTACTTTGAAACCAGCAAATATGCAATACACATCCTCCCTCGTTTTGGCGTTCACCGCCGCAGCTTCCGCTGCTACCATCAAGGTTGCCGTTGGACAGAATGGTCTTACCTACACACCCAATGATATCACCGCCAACGCGGGCGATTCTGTTGAGTTCGACTTCTTCCCAAAGAACCGTACGCTCCCTATACTCGACTCCAAACTTGGTTTCCAATGCTAACAGACATGTAGACACTGTTTCCCAGTCTTCGTTCGCCGATCCTTGCCATCCTCTCGCTGGCGGCTTCTTCTCTGGCTTTGTTCCCACCAACGCCTCAACCCTCGGAAGCACCTTCACAATTGTTGTCAAGGACACCAAGCCAGTCTGGATCTACTGCTCTCAGACGGTTGGCAACCATTGCCAAGCTGGAATGGTTGCTGCCATCAACGCGCCCAAGACTGGAAACACTCTCGCAGCTTTCACCTTGAAGGCTAGCAACGCTACCTCTTCCACCTTCCCCCCTCCAGGAACCCCAATTGGAGGTACCTTGGTCAAGTCCTCTGGCAACACCACCTCCGCCTCCAACTCTAGCTCCAGCTCTAGCGGTATTGCATCAGGCTCTGGCTCAGGGTCCTCTTCTGTATACACTTCGACCTACACCACCACCTACGCAACTTCAGCCACTTTGACCACCTCGTACTCCAGCACCTATACCAGCAACGGACAAACCTACACCACAGCAGTTGCATCAACTTACACAACCGCATACACCACCGCAGCTGTTACTACCGCTGTCGGCTCTACTCAATCCATAGGCGCTGTTCAATCCATAGGCGCTGCTCAATCCACAGGCGCTGCAGGAGGTCTCTCCGTCAACATGGTCGGCATGGGTGCTCTCGCCCTTGGCGCATTAGCTATGATCTAGATCTAGATATGACAATCAAAATGGGGATTGATGGCAACAAATGGCGGGGTTTCGGATGACTAGACGTCGGCATGAGCGGTTTTATTTTTACCAGTACAAATGTGATATTCTATGCCAATCCACAGCAATAGCTGTTAGTAATTCTCACTTCACCCATACTCCAACTGTGACCCTTTTCTCTTTCCTTTTGATCCCCCCCCCTCCACCTTCGGCGATTACTAATTGATCCGAATTTTCTGGCGCGATCTCACCTTTCCGCTTTGTCGGCCGTGGTAAGCTTGATGCTTACCTGCAGTTTTCTTTCACTTTTGTACCAGCGCCGTCATTTCGTAGTTCAGATTTTACAGTTCATCCTTCAATCGGCCCGTCCTATCTCGTCCATCCACTTCTGCGATTTTCCCCATGTCGACCAATCCCCTCTTCACTATGCTCGTTAGGATCTCATAGGCAACCTGAGCACCCGCAAGAGCGGTCTGCTCTCCGACGCCATCATAAGAAGGAGCGACCTCCACAATATCAGCACCGACGATATTCAGCCCCTCAATACCCCTCAAGATCCGAATCAGCTCCCTACTCGTCCACCCACCTGCTTCCGGCGTTCCAGTCCCCGGCGCCAAACCAGGGTCCAAAACATCGATATCGACACTCAAGTAGACGGGTGTCTCGGTCCCCATTCTCTTCATGATCTTCTCGATAATACCTTTGGGCCCAAAATCATCGATATCGTCAGCTGATATTCTCAGAAAGCCTTGCGTATCGTCATCATCGTAATCACCCCAATCCGGGCCACTCAAACGAGTTCGCAGACCCGCGTGTACAGACGAGCCGTTTAGGATGAGGCCTTCGTTCGAGGCGATCCAGAACATGCTCCCGTGGTTGAACTCGGCTTGCTTGCTCGGCCATGGCGTCGGGTACTTGGACGGGTGCCATGTATCGAGATGAGCATCGAAATGAAGCACTGCGACAGGTCCTCCATACACTTTATTCAGACCCCGTAGCGCTGGCAAGGCAAGTGAGTGGTCTCCACCCAGCGAAATAATCTTAGGTTTCTTAAGGGAAGACGACAGGGGGGCGCGATGTCCTAGTTCTAGGTACGCGGCCGTCATCTGCGTCAGCGCGACAGAATTGTCGAACGGCGTGGTCGGGATATCGCCACAGTCGATAATCTTGGCCCATGATAAAAAGGGGTTGATTCCTGCTCGGGCATTGAAGCCTCGGAACGAGTTCTGGCGCGCTGAGGCTGCGCGGATGGCTCGAGGGCCAAAACGCGCGCCGGGTCTGTAGGATACTGCTGTGTCGAAGGGGACGCCTAGGATACCGATGTCAAAAAGACTTTCTGATTTTGTGAGGCATTTTATATGCTCGAGATGGGCGAAGGAGTTTACTCCCGAGTAGCCCCACTGTATACTTGTTAGCTTTGGGCTCATTCTAAATCCTTCCTCTCCGATTTTCGAAAATAGGAATACAGTATGGGTAGTATATAAAAGGAAGACTAAGTGAAGGGGAGAGGCTTTGTATATATACGCCAAGCTTTGAGGCGTTACGCGTCCATATGAGAGCAAATGTGTAGGTTTTCACGACAAGCCTCGACTACCTGCAGTCCTTCAAACCCAGATCCGCCCAACACAAGCAGACGAAACCCTCAAAACTAACCTCAAAACTCCATTTTCTCTCTAACTCCTCCGCAGAATCCTGCACGAACTCCTGCTCATGAAGCGGTACTTGCGCCTCATCCCCAGGATGCTGATGCTGATGTGCTACTACCCCGCAAACGGCCCCCAAGCCCAATGCCGCCTTCAAGACATGGCTGTGAAGTAATCTCATCGTTCGATTATTTGGAATCGGAATGATTGACAAACTGATTGGGAATGAGAACGAGAATTCAGAGAGAGTTATTATATAGTTTTGCAGCCGGCCGATAGTTATAATGCTGCATTACGTTATCGCGTCCCACCTTTATCGATGTCTCTCCCACCTTTGTCCGTTTTCTGTCGCGAAAGGCAGGTACTGCCGACGAGTTCGGGTTGGGTTGTAGGGTTTTTTGTTTTGGGGTTATTGATGCCTTTTCGATGGAGTTAAAGTTGCATCTGAAAATTTAATGCTCCCTGGCTCGCAGCCCCCTTAATGGGTACCGAGGCACGTGATTTAGACCTGGTTATTGCGCTCATATTTTATAACTTATATTGAAGACTAGAGTATCGCTTATAGTTAAGGGGAATTTAAGAATGCATGTGTGTCTGTGTGCGTATTTGAGAGAGAAATCACAGCTCATGCTTGTTTCTTCCTCGATTTAGATGCACGTGACTTGTGTTTTCTAGTGTGCTTTGAAGTGGGGGAATACCATAACCCTTCATTAGATTCTTGTCATGTCTAGAACAACTGCCACGCCTTGGACTGCAGAAATCCTCAAGTTGTGCTTGAGTTCGCGCCTGGCTTTGAATCCTCCAAAAACCGTTCGGAGATTCAATAGATGAGACGTCTGAACAAACTAAGAGTTATTTCCCAATGAGGCACATGCCCCGTTGATTTTGGCCAAGTGCACAGGAGAAGGTGCGGTGTTTGTAACTCTATGACTGATACCAACTACACCGAGTTGAGTAAGAGTGCGCTAGTCAAGAGCCATCGGACTCATACAAGGAGATTGAATGTTAGCTAGTGAAGAGGGATGTTGGTTGGGAAAGAGAAAGGCGCTTGATGTGACGCAGATGCAGCTGAAGACGAAGCACTACAAATCCTGGGCGAGTCTGAAGAGAAGGCAAGCTACGTCAAGGTCACCATATATTGATTCAAGTATTTTCATATTAACGGCCAGGCTTTCTTCTCATGCAGGTGAACTCTCTTAATTACTTTAGAATATCCATCTCAAGACCATCCTGATCTTGCCTTTGAGACCCTTATTATTTTCCTCTTCTCGCAGATCCTCGTCCCCAATTCTATGCACATCAGTTTCTAAATCCATATCTTCCAATCTTACCAGCTTCGTTCTCTTCAACAACTTCCATCCAACATACATGAGTAACATGATTGGCAACTCTATGTAGTAGCTCACAAAATCCACGCCGCTGAACTTGGGACTGAACGAACTCCACCCCTGAACCAAGATAATCACCGTGTTTAACCTGGATCGTGGGAGTGTCAGTCATCTCTTATTCAAGTATACGGCAATGTAAAAGGAAACAACTCATTGTACTTACACGATTGCGAGTATTGGTCCCCAAGGATATGTCCAGTTTTTGAAAGGCAGTTCATGTTCTCTTCCCTGGAGTTTTATGGCGGCGCGGAAGCGTAAAGATGTCACCGAAATGGCCAGCCAAGCAAGTTGATTTGATACCCCCACGAGATTCTGGAGCCATGTCCAGAGCTGTCCGGCACCGATAAAGCTCGCTCCAAAGCAGAGACCACTAATCAAACTAGTGGCAAGAACGGCAATCCATGGAACGCGGTTTCGATTCAACTTCCCGAAAATCTTTGGCGCATGCGAATCCACTGAAAGAGTGTATAGCAACCTTGTCCCAGCAAATAGCGCGTGGTTTCCAGCGGAAATAACACTGGTCATGATGACTGCGTTGATGAAGCTTCCGGCAGCTTTAGCGCCCACCATTTGGAAGACGATGGTAAAGGGAGAGGTCGAGGCTTTTTTCGTGGAGAGGCCCGGGGTATTGTACGGGACATTGAGGCCAATTAGAAGGACCGAGAGGATGTAAAATAGTAGGATACGCCAGAAAACGTTCTTGACGACGCGGGGGAGGTTTTTGGTTGGGTTTTTAGTCTCGCCTGCTGTGATGGCAATAGACTCGGTGCCACCGTATGCGAAAGACGCAGTGACGAACACAGATGCGAAACCCCCGATTCCACCAACAAAGGGCGCGTCCCCGATATACCAGTACTTTGCTCCAATGTAGGTGTGGGATGTACTGGCACCGCAGTTGACGACGATACCCAAGATGATGAAGATCTGAGAATGTTAACCACGTGACTTTGAAAGGTGGTGGGGAAAGGCTTACAGTAATTGTAATGATTTTCAAGAGACTCAACCAATATTCAAGCTATAAAGGTTAGAAACATACCTCCAAGGTCTCGCCATTCAAGAGCTTACCTCCCCATACGCTTTCACAGTGATGATGTTGGCCAATATAAGGAACGCCCAAAATATGAGACTCAACGCCCATCCTGGCATATTCGTATCCCAATAAGCAAACACCAACTGGAGTGCTACCAAATCCGCAGCTGTAGAAACAGCATCATTGAACCAATAATTCCATGTCAACGCAAATCCCAAAGCGTCATCCACATAGCGCCCCGCAAATGTACAGAAAGATCCGGCTATTGGGACATGCGCAGCCATTTCTCCCAGCGCAAGCATAGTGAGAAATACAATTGCTCCAACGATGAAGTATGCAATGAGCATTGATGCTGGACCACCAGTTGCAAGGGATTTTCCTGTCCCGAGGAAGAGGCCTGTCCCGATTGTTCCACCAAGAGCTATCATCTGAACCTGCCGCGCCGAGAGCTTTCGAGCCAGCTTGTCAGCGATAATAGGATGATCATCAACGAAAGTGAGGGTTGTATTTGCACCTCTTCCTTCGACATCTTTGTAGTTGTTAACCACGCCGTCCGGAGAGTGATTTGCCATATTGAGTGATATTGATGTTCGTTAACCCTAGGGTAATGACTTGTCGCAACTGGTTCGCCGCGGTCATACACTGTTGATCATTTCACTTGTGTGTGCTCTGCATAACATTTTCAAGCTCTTGATGTAGAAAGGAAAAGTGGAAAGAGATATTTGAAAGACATAATATAATTATGTCACGCCTTACGCTGTCAGCTTGTCAAACTAAGTTAAAATTCTCGACGCGAATTGCGTGCTCACGAGGATCACCTGAATCAGACGTTTGTGGAACTAAATGTGATGACGGAAAGCATCTGATGGGTGTGTGTTGCTTCAACCGTTGACAGAAGCGGAAGGTCTAACTGGACTTGGCAGTCACAGGATTCTTGGAAAATTCCGGCAGGCTCTTAACCTTGCAAATACATTCAAGAAAGGGGGAACCTCTCTGTGTTGAAGTAATTATGACAAAGTTTTTTGGAAGCGCGTCTATGGTTGGGTGGGTGTATTGAAAGGATTTATAATAGTGGGCCGTTCTTGCCGCCTGAATATATTACTAATCCGGCTAGCTCGAGACACGTTCTTCGAGGCTGCATTTCATTGAAACATTAAAACGTACAAAAAAGTTCCGCTCAAGGGGATGTGACAATGGAAGGAATTTTTACAATGACACTCATCGATCGCTCCGTCTAGAAGATGTTGCTAGGACACATTGCACAAAAAAGAGGAAGGCCGATGTTGGCTTGCCGAGGGCTGCTGCCTATCGATATGCGTGATCCTAAGACTGGGAGTGATCAATACTGTACTTTTGGTCCAAGTGGATTTTGCATCTCTTGGACATGTTCACTTATCTTCTTAGCTTTCAAGCTTTCGTGATAGCACAAGTAGACAAGTAGGCCGTCCAATTCGTTTGCTAGTCACGTGGGGAGCTTTGAGGACCTCTGGTATGACTCTTCTTCAAACCACGGAGACACCAGTGTTAGGCGTGGTGTAACTTCCTAAGATCAATCTATTGCTGAGAGGGAGAGAAAGGGCTTTTGGTCTGCTTTAGTGTTGTTTCTGGGAATGTTTGCTGCGTAGTAGTCGCAAATTGGGATATCGGCAGGTCTTTGAGAAAGTTTTACGCTGAGTAGCGGGAGCAAAGTGACAAGAAAAGGGTTTGAGGAGTGGTGGAGGAAGAGGCGACGTGAGGAGCTAAGGAGAGTATCATATCGGTAGCTTTGAGGCAGCTTAACGTCTAAGCGTGAGATGACTATAAGAGATCTCGTACTCTTCCATCTAGATCTTCCATCTTGGGATTTTCAGCTGTGGGCGTACCGTAGCCCAATGTAATAAATGTTTCTAAGACGGGATACCAGTTTCTCCTTGCAGTGAGTGCTGATGAGAATGTGACGATTTTCCCCTTCTAAGCATTTAGAAAATTTCACTTTCAGTTTAAGAATACCCGCTTGATCAATTTCCTATGCAGACTTCTTTTGATCAGGTACGGCTCTGAAGAGCCTCGCATATATTGCACTTTGGCATGTGAAAGTCGAACATTAGACGAGAATTATAGAGTTGGCGAGATTGGGCTCGCTTCGGCGTTCTGCCCCTGAACTTCCCAAGGAGTTGGGGCCATGCGTCCATACATCAGTGTCACGGAGCTAAGCACACTCAAATTGGACTGTCTGGGGTGGAGATAGGAGAATTAGTAGCTTGCTCGTGGAAACCCCCAATAGTGCTAGCTCGGTAAATATACCTAAGTATACATGAGAATCATCCCCAATTCAAATATTATGCTTCAAAAATATCTGAAGTTTTCGCGATAGAAATGGAGACTTTCGAAGATACTGGTCGTTCGTTGCCCATTGTAACTTAGCGAGCGTTACATGAAAGACATAGATTTATATCTAGATACTTTGATGAGCTTTTAATCCCCCCAAAAGTACGAGATGTGCCGACAAAGTGCAGGGGAGCATCGAGGTGTGCACGCTGATGCTGGGTTCCTTAGTCACTAAGACGCGGGCCCAAAAGAGTCAGCGCGGGTGTAGCTGCTAGCGACCTTGGGGTCTCCTTTGCCATCATACCTCGACACAAGAGGGTATTTACAGATGTCGTGGTTCACGGTAGCGCCGCTAGTGTCGACATACTGGGCAGGTAATGTGTTAGGAGCAGTTCCATTTTCGACCCAAGCAACTACTGCGGCCAAGGGGTCCGTGGGAACAGGTCCATATCCCCCACCGCAGTGACTGACACCAGGAACGAAGAACAGGCGCCAAAAGTCATTTACAGCATCCGTGCCTCCGAGGAGCTCCTCGACCTTCTGGCGATATCTCAATGTTCCTGTGGGTGGAATGAGGTTATCTGCCAAGCCATGCCAGACGATCATTTTGCCGCCAGCTTTTTGAAAGGGAGAAAGGTTTGGATCATTGGAGCTATCATTGCCATAACTTTTCACATTTTCAGCAAAAAGGTCGGCGACATCGGCGTAGGTGATCGAATGCGTGTCGAATGAAGAGTTGTGTTTTATAAAGTACGTAACCCATTCATCACCCACGGGAAATGGGACTGCGATTGTTGTTCCATTGGTTGTGACCGTATGAGCATCACCAGGGTAAAGGTCATCGGTACGAACACCAACATTCAAACCAGGCCAAAGGCTATCGCCGGATGAGGTCTTCGGACCATCGAGGATCTTGCGGTATACGGTGGCAACTGCTTCACTGATGGTGACTGTCGTTCCATCGCATTGAACCTGAGTTCCAACTAATTCGTAGGGGTCAAAATCGCAGCCCGTGACATTACTGATGAGGCCGTCTTTGACACCGTCTAGTCCATCACACTGTGCAATACTGGCATTTAGAAAAGCATTGAAAACACATTGAGATGGGGCAGTCTTGTCGTTATTCATAACAATGTATGGCCACTCTATTGCAATGATAGCTTCGGCAAGGTTGATCGCAGGGCAAGCAGCCATGATCCCATCAAAGTCATCAGGATACGCTTGTGCGGCTTGCAAGCCCTGTCTACCACCCGTCGAGCATCCATTCCAGTAAGAGTAGTTTGGAGCCTTGCCGTAATAGCTTTTCGTGACGGCTTTGCCAATGATCGCCATGTCATGCACGGATCGATAAATGTAATCAGCCAGAATTCCCGGAATTGGGCCGTCGCTGTTAAATGCCGCCGGGTTTATACCAATTCCAAGCCCAATGTTGCCTCCGTCGGTCGAAGCAGCTACGTATCCTTCAGCAATAGCAGGCCCGAGTTCAGCAGATCCAATCCCACTCAAAAATCCTCCACCTCCAGTGGCCTATGTCTAGTCAGCGCTGTATTTTGACAAGACGGAAGTAGATCAAACAGGAAACAATACACGTACCTGGAAGCGGCCATTCCAACCTACGATAGGCAGCCAGACTTCTGTAGTAACCGTGTCGTTTTCACCGGGGTGTGTGAGCACAACTGTGACATCGCAGAAGGAGAGACCGGATTCTGTCGGCCCAGGTGGAAATGCCGGGGTGCTAACATTGGACTGTAAGACGCTGGTAATATTGAGTACTTCTGCTCCTGGGACAGTGATATTGTAGAACGATGTACAAGCTTGGCTGGCAAAGGCAGGTGTAGAAAGCAACGCGACAGCAGATATGAACTGTGAGAGCTTGACCATCTTAAAGAAGGACCTAGAATATGAAGGAAGATTTCCTTCAAGAACCAATGTAGAAGAAAAACAAGAGGCAGAGAAAATGTCTTTGGGTAATGATGCTCGAGGTATCAGGACATGCATAGGTTTTATACTCTGTATAAAATCTTATAGGCCGCAATAGATAAGGATCTGGCTCACTAATGGTAATTTACATTCCCTGTAGCACTTGCTGCCGCCATGTGTTATTATCCTCAGAGGACTTCTCATTCGTAGGTCTGAATAGTGCAAGATTCTAACGAGCACGTGCAGGTCAGTCCAACCTAAAGTCCATTAATTCCTAGGATTGAAAGCATCTATACCTTCCTTACTTCGTATACAGTATTGTTCAAATGAGGCTTACGGGGTGTGTGAACAATCCTGTATACGAAGTAAGGAAGGTATAGATGTTTATCATTATAAGATGCACCAGGTAGCCAATAATACCAACATCAGATGAAGACAATTTCGCCATGGGACTCGTCAAGCTAAACCAAAGACGGTTCTCGTCGGCGAAACCTCTCCCCGGACCATGCCATGCCTCACTCCATTAGGACGCGTCCTGCAACTTCTCGCATCAACCAGCGATTTGCATCTCACAAGCAAGCGCCAAATTGTACTTTGATTTTCATGGGATCTAACATCCTAGACCTCCTGATCCCGTGCCTGTGCGTCCCGTTGCCAAGTCGCTTGTAATGGGCCTTCCTAGATACTGTAGGGCCAGCCTCACGTCCCTTTAATATGGAATTTCGGGACTATATACACAATGGTGGGTGTAAGTTGGACGACACTCTGGGAGCCTGGCCCTGGACTCAATACCGTGGTTTCGTGCCTCTCCATAAACGGCCAGCTCCCCCGCCTCCCGATAAAAATGAGTTTGAACATATGGATCTCGATGAAGATGAATCCGGATCTGATTACGAACTCCCTGAAGGATCTCCCAAAAGCGATGAATCCGCGGGAATTGGGAATTCTGAAGCGGAAGACTCCGATCAGTTAGAGGCTTTGGTTGAAGAAGATGAAGTAAAGGGGCTTGTTGATGAGACGGAGGGGTGGGATTGGAATAAATGGAGGGATCAACAGGTGTTTGACCGGGCGATCGCGGAGTTGGAGGCCGTTGAGAAGTTCGCTAAGGAGAGCTACGATCCAGATGAAGTTGTATCTCTAATCACGGAATTCTACGCACTGCTGGTGGAAATGGGACACTGGCCGCTTGGAACAATTGGCTATCCGCCACACGCCATCAATGTGGAGCTTGGGAAGGAGTTAGGATATGATGACCATGTTTTAGTTTTGATGCAGAGGCTACCGTATGTCAACCGACCTGAAAATCGGTGGGAGAGTCACGCGGGACAGATTGTGGATAATACGAGGTTTGCAGATTACAGACAAGAGAATGATTTGAACATAAATGGAAGGTGTCCTTACTGGGGTGAGGGTCAATATATCGAGAGCCATATGCTTCCGATTGCATATCCATTTGAGAATTATGGATGGATCATACTGCTTGACACAAAACTGGGTAAGGACGTTTCTTGATCCGTGGCTCAGAAGTATTGTTGATATACCTATTCTAGGAGTGATTCGCGCTTACAATTGCGGCGGACCACCCTACTCAGAGATCGAATGGCATCGAGAGAGTGGATTTCCGGGAAACGACGGCTCTAGCTATGACCCACCTCCCCCGTTTGAATACAAAGTTGCCCCTAGCATCCCAGCAGCACAATATCTACGGACTTTGATCGATTGCTATCGTTGTCTGGACAGGATTCCAATTATCCCCCCTAACGATAGCGACCCTTCCGACGACGGCAAGCCATTTTTAAGACCCTCCTTCAGGCATGACGAGCAAGTGGGTCACATTATTTCCACCCTCCACCCCCCTCCATAGGTGAGTATGTGAAGGCTGAGTAAGATTCTAGACCAAGAAGAAGAGAGCCACCCTCAAAAGACTCTACGCGCAATATGGATGGCCGGATAACTGGCGGCGTGAGGAGTTCTTGGGTGCGTGGACTAGAGTAGAGGCGAGGATAGACTCCGAGCATAATCACCGGAGGAGTCCCTGACCAGATGGAAGAGAATCGAGGCATTTCTGAAAGCCATAGCACCCCACAGTTGAATCACAATTGGGAGTCTAAAGAGAAGCTTTCCAAGCATGCTAAAATGTCCGCATAGCTTCGCTATTCCAACTTAAGACTCAGCTTCACTCGCAATGCTCATAATGCCACGCGTGCAATGTGTTGTGGACAGCCCGTGGCGATGGCTGGGCAGGCTATTGCAAAGCTCTGCAAATAAAGCCTGGCGAGATTTTCGATTAGTTCCTAGATATATGCATAACAACACTTGCAGTATCAACTTGTATCACATGTCGAAGCTCAGGAGTAGCTGGAGGAGAAATGATACATTACAAGCTTGGTCTTTACTGCAGTGGAAGTTGTAATTTGCCGACAAGACAAGATTTGATCCTGGTTGACAAAGCATTGCGTGGTATATTTCTTCATGGTCTATTTGCAAAGTTCGGAGAAGACTTTTGGTATTATACATTCTCATTCATAACACGTCTTCTATGCTGCAAAACATCTATCTAGTCTTCATCCCAGTTCTAAATCGTGTTAGTGAAATTCATGCTTTTTTTGGAATGGGAGAACTTACAGGGTTTGGTCCGGGCGGCTTCGGTCCACCAGCCTGTCGTGCAACAATGATTTGGTCAACAGAAAGAACAGTTCGTGCAGCTTCCGTAGCAAGCTTAATGGCCCAGCTCTTGGAGATCATGAGGTCCAGAATGCCTTCCTTCTCTGCGTCGAGGGTTCCGGTGTCTTCCTCGTTCTAACATCGTGTTAGTGGGGCCACGGAAATAAAACTACTAAAACTTACCTCAATGTCAACACCAGTAGCCCAGTCATCCCGCTTGTGGTGGGCAGTATAAAGTCTGCTCAGAACCTCCGTAGCATCGAGACCAGCACTCTCGGCCAATGTTCGTGGAATGACCTCGAATGCCTCGCCGAACTTGCGGATGGAGTATTGCGCAATACCAGGTGTCTTGTCTCCGAATGTTCCTATCCGCTCAACCAGTTGCAACTCCGTAGCTCCAGCACCGGGCACCAATCTCGGATCTCTGGTGATAGCCTTGACAACGTTAACCCCATCATCAACAGCACGCTCAATATCGTCGAGGTGGTTCTGCGTAGCGCCTCGAAGAACAAGGGTGGCTGTCCTTGTAGTCTCGTTCTCTTGTCTGAAGACAGTGACTCGGTCTCCGCCAATCTCAAGAGTTTCGACAACATCGATGCTGCCCATCTCGTCTGGCATCGGCGCTCCCAGTCTCGCTAATGGGGTAGCTCCAACAACTCTGCATAATCTTCGAAGCTCGAACTTGCTAAGAATACGGATAATCAGGATACCGAAACGGTTCAAGTAGTGCATTGCAAGCTCGCCAACTGTGGATCCGGCAACAACTACTCGCATACCGGAATCGTAAAGCTCCTTAATAGCTGTTTCAAGTTGAGTCTCTTCACCCTTTGTAAAATCCAGCATCTCTTTGGCGTTGTGCAACAAGACTGTACCCTTTGTTTCGGTCTGGCTGATATCGATGGGACACGAGAATACACCAACTTTAGCTCTTGTAGCCTTCTTGACGGATCCGTCAGGCTCCCGACCGAAAACCATACCCTTGACAACCCTGCTCTGTTCCAAGCTGCCGCCCATGATCTTGACCACACGAATGTTGTCAACGTTGAAGTTGATAGGGTTTTTTGGGAGTACTGCCTGGACAGCTTCCGAGACCATATCCGCCAAGAAATCCTCATTCCCGTTCTGTTTGCTCGCAATAACGGTTCGGATAGCCTTGCTGAGCTCAGACTTCGATCGAATATCCTCCACCTTATCCACAACCAAATTCTCAAGTTCCTCTAGCGCAAACTTCTGCGCCATTTCGTAGCCCCTGATAATATCACTAGTCTTCAAGCCCATCCTTAACAGCTCCTCGGCTTTTTTAAGTAACTCCCCTGCGAGCACAATAACCAGATTCGTAGCATCGCCCATCTCGGCCTCTTGTTGCTGACTTGCCATGACTACGAGCTTCGCTGCTGGGTGCACAACGTCGAGTTCGCGGAGGATGGTGGCAGCGTCTGAGGTCAGGATCATCTTCTGTAGATGGTTGATGACTATCTTATTTCGACCGTAGGGCCCTAGGGAGGTCTGGACGGTCGAGGTGATTGTGCGGCAGGCATCGATATTGCGGAGAACAGCGCCATCTTCGGATTCGTAGCTAGGAGGTTGTTAGTATGCCGTTGACTAAAAGGGAAGTATAAGCCTTACTTCTGGTATCCCTGTTTGAAAAGACCAGAGTTTGGCGCATTTGGGATACTAAGAGACATGGTGATAGATGGTTGTAGAGGAAGAGGAGTTGGTTGAGGGCAGGGTGCTTCTTCAGTACAGCTCGGTCAACAGCAACAGCAAGAAAGAAGCGCGTCGCTCAAAAATTGAAAAGCTCAGACGCGGCGAATGCGGGCGAGGATAATTTTTAATCCGGCCCGGCACTATAGCTTCACCTTCCTCGTCTCCGTCACTGCGATGGAAGGAACTCAGAACTCAGAACTCAGAACTCACGATATCGACAACCAACTCAAAATTACACTGGCAATGGCGCCCCCACCTGGTAAGTCAGATTGAGGATTATCCTCTATTTCCTTCAAAAATGCTTCTTTATCCCTGAACAACCACCAACCATGATTCTTTACGACACGATACCACGAGAATGGCCTCGAGACAATTCGGTGAACGCAGACTGGGATCCAAGGCACAATAGTAGCCGCGGCTACAATGCTCTAGCATTTGTTCCGTATAATATTCCACTCGGGGTTGCTCCGCTGCTGCCAGGACATTCAGCCAAAGCAAACCACTTGCAGGATTCCAGGAGTTTACTTTCGACTGCTGAGAATGGAGAACAAGAAGCGCTGGTATATACAGGTGGCACCCGCCCGTGTCTACGAACGACTCCAACATAGCTTCCTACGACTATAATATGTCTTTTTCCACGAAGGAAGTTACCACGGACTCGGTCCTGCATGCTAGACTTTCGTAACAGGCGCGCAAACCACCCCATCTACAACATCTACAAGCAAACGCTCCTTGCATCTCTAATAACATGTCAACCGGAACATCCATGGCCCCTCCTCCCAAAGCGACTAATTGGCGCCTACCTCTCCTTCTGAGTCAATCTCATCTGGCAGCACCAGCGTCAATTTGCAAAGCTTCTGCACCATCTGATCTAACACAAGCAACAGACGTACCTCCTCCACTGGCGCCTTCCGTCGAGGAAGCCTACCGCCGAAAATGCATACAGCTGAAGCAGCGTCTCAACGAAATCGAGGCTGATAATGAGGCAACTCGTGTCCGAGTCCAGCGCATCGAGCGCAGTATCCAAAAGCAACGCATCGAGCGTGCATTTCTTCTCGAACAGTTAGCAAAGCGCACGAGCACCAATGTTGAGGATTCAGAGGGTAGTCCAAGTCCACCACCGACGGTCAATACCCCCCTCATGTATTCTATCCACGTTCTTTCTGACGAGTCGTTCCATAGCCTAAGGAGAAACCCCTCCGGACGAAACGCGGCCACCGAAAGCCATCCTTCCTAACAAATCTCGGCGAAGCTTCTGCAGGCAGTGCGTTCATTCAACAAGGACCCAATACACTTTCTCCCTCCTCGGACGCCTTCTCTCATACGCATCCTGAGCCCGTTCGCAATTCTACCCCCCAACATTTACCAAAGCGCCTGCTATCAACAGTCAGCAATGTAAACGGCACGCCAACGCCAGCCGGATCTTCTCAGCAGAAGCCGCCGAAGAATGCTTGGGATCTTTTCTGTAGCGAGATGAACCACATTATGCAAAAGAACAACCAACAGGCGATCTTAGATGGCGCATTTGACATTGAGGGGGCTCTTGCGCGTGCGTGGCGCGAGCTACCCGAGCCTGAAAAGCAGGAATACCAGATCCGTATCGAGGCAGCGAAGAAGCAAAATGCGGAAGCTACCCCTATTGCTCCCCGACAAGCGATCTTCGATGCAGAATCTCGAGCTGGCAGTACTGTTGCCACGGCGGATGATGAAGATGTTGAGATGGGAGACGAGATTGCTGTTGAGAGTGGCTTCACGGCTGTCAATCGGGAATAGGAGTTCTCGACTAGGGATTTACAGCAGGCGTTTAGGGACTGTCACGGATGGAATCGGAGTTTGGCGAATTAGCTTGTTCAATTGGCAACGGATTTTTCATCTCAAAATCCGAAATGGACTGTATCAACAGGGAGCAAGCATACAGCTGCGGAGCAAAGGTTACTAGAACCAAGAGTTCTAGTAAGGTGGTAGAATTCTCAATAGATAGTAGCATTACCTATATTGGATTTGCAAGAGCTAGTCCAGTAGACAAAATTCACCATGAGGAACTGAAAGTTTCAATTATTTTCTCTGCCCTTCATGTCCCATATGTGTGACGAGTTCTTTCAGTCGAATACCTAGGTAGCCAGCCATTTCCATAGCACGACCATAGCCATATAGTCATATTATGTCGATCACGAGTTTCCCCACAAACGGATAAACTGGTGGTGCACGGGCCCATAACTAAAAAGCCGCAGTGACGCTAAGCTTGCACACCAATACAGTACTTGGGTACATCCTGGATCCTGGAACTAATCCCAAAAATTAGCAACTCCTTGAGATATCTTATTTCGACATAACACCACCTCATGTTCTGCATTCTAGCTCTGCTAGTACTAAACCCCAATCTCTAATCCCAATCATCACATATTTTCCCCTCCTCATCTTCGCCCGCCACCATGGCTTCCACCTCCACCTCGACTTCCACGACCACAGAGAGCACACCACTCATCCACAAAAAGGCTGTAACATTTAACCCGAATCCTTCAGTGATGGGCGCCGATGGTACGACATCACGCCAACCTCTATCCGCGCTACCTGACAGCCCTCAATTGCACCCCCCGAAACCCAAGCGTCGTAACAGCTACGGTGCACCTCACACGTTGCCCAACATACCAGCATCCAAGATCGGCCCGCAACGAACCACGAAAAACGCCCAAAAGCTCAAGATCCTCCCGAATCCCGATTTCGGGGATGACGGCCCAGACGAAGAGAGCGGGCGAGATGTCTATTCTCAATACACTCGAATCAAAGACCCGACTGCTCGGCGAGATGCAGCCAGGTTGGGAAAGGCGGACCGAGATACATTACCTCGAGTAACGGCATACTGTACCGCGAATACATATCGAATGGACCCCCTGGAGCTTTTCTTGAAGTCGAAACGAAGTAAAGCTAGGGGAGCAAAACCAAAGCAGATTGACGAATGTATATACACGCCCTACAACTACGGCCGGCCGATATCTGAACGAGCTTTGGAGGTGCAATCCATGCCTGTGAGTCTTGGGGAGAGAAGACATTCGGATAGTGCCATTGAAGATACTGTCAGTCATCCTCGAGAAGACCTTATAGACCTACATACTCAAGGTGGGGACACAAGTCTCAGCAACGGCTTAGAAGACGAGCCGAGAATGCATTCTGACATGATATCCACCCACACCGCCAATGCAGCCGTTCTCTCCTCAGACAACATCGATTTCGACACACAGATTCACACTCCCGAAGTCTTCGTCTTCGATTACGGCGTCGTGGTAATATGGGGCATGACGCTAGAACATGAACGGCGATTTCTAGAGGATATCCAGCGCTATGCGGTTGATAAGCTGCTGAAAGATGATCGGGAAGAGGAGTGCTTTAATTTTTATTACACGAGGGAATATCAGGCGCGGATATATAATGATTTCATTACTCTGAGGGATAAGAGTAATTATATGACCAAGCTTGCCATATCGCATGCATTGGCACAAAGCGTAAAGGTACCATCCCTCCCTCCTTCTACCACTATTTCTCTCTCTCTTTTATCGTACTTACGTTACGGTAGACTTCACTCTTTGAAGCAATGGTCGATTCCACCATCGAGAAAAATAAAGACATCCCCGAAGAAATCGCCCAGACAGGCGCCATATCCTACACACGCACAGAAATAAACCAGCAAATCGGTGAGCTCTTCAACCTGCGCATCAACATCCATCTCAACGGGTCCATTCTCGACACCCCGGAATTATTCTGGGTCGAACCCCAACTCGAGCCTGTGTACCAGGCTGTTAGGAGTTATCTGGAGATGGATCAGCGAGTCAGCTTGTTAAATGGACGTTTGGATGTTATTGCGGATTTGCTTGCCGTGTTGAAGGATCAGTTGAGCCATGGGCATGGCGAGAAGTTGGAGTGGATTGTAATTGTACTTATCGCGGCAGAAATACTCGTCGCGGCTGTCAATATTGTAGTAGATTTGTATGCTGGTGTCGATTAGGAATATGAGGAGGAAAGACGGACGCTTTTTGTGTATACAAGATTGAGCATGGCGTTTTGGGCTTGGGGAATGGAAAACCATGGCATGTAGAATAGAGGGAATATATATTGGCTCGCTGCCTTGTACATTGTACGTATAGCACTATAGTTAAGTGTTCTGAGAACATCTCTGTATCTTTCCCAATAGGACAGGCAAGTCGCCGGCGGTTTTCAAACGAGTTAGCTATTTATTGTACGTAGCATCTTGCATTTTCTAGTTTTTAGGATTAGGTATTCTCCACGGTTGTGCGTCTTTGGTTCTGAGTACCAGCGGATCGGAAGACCCACTAAATCTTAACTATCAAGTCAAATATTTGAGCTCATTTATGGTCAATAAATATTACCGGAGTTTACTACAGTTTTGAATTACGGATTCAGTGAATATTTCGGGGTTAGGCGTTGCAAGTCATTTTCTGGGTATCTATATTTCCTTAAAAACGCCTCGTGCGTTTTGGAACGTGTGCATGTGTGGTAGGAAAGGAACTTGATAGTTGGAAATGTTTTATAAATCGTGGTAGATTCTTCATTGAACTTATCTAACATTGATCATCCATAGTAGCAATCCGACCATAATTGGGACAGTCATGTCAGCAAGCAAAGACTGCGATTCCGAATTTGATATCTATCCGTGCGGTTTATTAACTGTCGAATTGAGGTGAGGTGATGTGAGGTTTAACATAGGGATGGGGGAACTAAGCGAGGCCTCCTTTCATGCATGCTGACAGTTACCCTCCTGATGGGCACAAAAGCCGCACTTATCATAGCAGCTTTTAAATGTGCCACTCTCAGCCACTTGGCTTGGAACATTCGATTGGTGCCGCTTTTTTCTGTCCGAAACTCATTCCTTCATCGTTCATCTCACATCCAGCCTTGTCCATCACACATTTTTTTACCATTATGTACCCCGACACTTTCTACCCATTCTACTCTCTTCCGCTAGAGCTACGTCTCAAAATCTGGAGACTGGCTTTACCACGCCGCACAATCCACATCAAATTCCTCCTTAACGCGTACCGCCCAAACCGCACCCTTCTCCCGTCCCCGGTCGTCTACAATCCTAAAGAGCCACCCAAAGAGGAGCCTGTGCCTGTTATACTCCACGTTTGCCAGCAGTCCCGGATTGAAGCACAAGCTCTAGGATACCATATCCCCTCTTCCACCGTTTACCGCACAGCACGTGGCCAGTTCCTCAGTTTCAGCCTCGATACAATATACTGCCCCGATCGCTTGCTTGATGATCGAGCTTATTGCCAAACAAATAAGCCAGATGACTTCTATCTCGAGCATTCGCCTCTCTGGCGTCTCGCTCTAGATGCGGATTTTGCTTCATCAGTCACTTCGCTCACTCTTCCGGCTAGTGGCCTAAAGTCCTTGCAAAGATGGAATCTTTCTCGACCTGAACATGCCTTGAACGATGAGATGTTTGCAGCTTTGAGGGAGTTTAGAGTTTTGAAAGAATTGATGCTGGTGCTTGATTACCCAGTCCATTATACAAGTGACAGGCGTAGGGGTGTTGGATTAGGGAACGACGACAATGGGGCCAGGAACAACTTTGTGCCTGTGAGCTTGTGTGATCAGCAGAAAAAGAGTTGTCCTCATTGTCGTAGATTGATGTCGGGTTTGGTCGGAATCGATGATGTGAATTTTCAAGTGGAAGGTGCGGAAAGGGGACCGATAATTACATTCGTGTGTTCGAGGAAATTTTTACCTGCGTAGTGACAATGATCTGTACGTCTTTTAAAGCAATACAAATGGAAGCGTTTAATTGTCGAATATGACTACAGAGAATTTCGGGTTAAAGCTTCAACTAGTAGCCATTGGATACAACCCACACACATATGGTTGGATGGAAGACTTAGGATAACATGCGTAATGGGATCAAAGCTTGCATGATTTGGATGCTTCTGCACCATAGTTACTTCTGTTAAAAACCTGGCATTTAAAAGAACGTAATATATAATCTCCAACGCTCACCAATCATAACCCCCTGACTTCACCCCTCTACCCCTCTAACCTTACCAAACCGCTAATACTCTGTAGTTTTAATTGGGCTTTTCCAAAATAAAAACATGTCAGAGCATCTTCATCCCATATGACGCGGGTAAAGAAGTCAGCAGGGTTTAAAACTTGAGGTTCTCCGTGATAGATAAAACGCTGAGGGAGTCGTCAAGTGATTCTTGTGAAACTACCACCAGATGAGGCTCATTATTCTTCTGTTAGAACCAGCGCAAGAAGCGCCATCAATGCCGTGGAATGTATGGGATTGCTAGATCCAAATATTGTCGGTCTTGACTTCCGTCGCCATATAAATTGGGGATCCCAAGAATCTGAATAATTGGCTTCAGTTGGGTCCATGGCTACTATCAGCATAGTAGTGATTCTGAAAAACTCTTGTTCAAGGTGTATGAGGATGCGAGAAGTTAAATGTTGCCATCGTATGCACTTTTTGTGCGCCTCGTTGAAGCTCTTGCTGAAAGGAGTGGTCGAGTTTCGAAAACTGTACGTACCCCGTCCTATCAGTGTTGCAAATGACTGATCGGATTTCACGTCCGGATTTTTGAATGGACACATTTCATACATTTCAATCGTCACCTACGCACATTTTTTCTAAATGCAGCCCATCTATCAATACATTTCTCTTTCGACTCCCAGCCTGGTATCCCGTTCCCGATGGTAGGTGCCCACTCCTTTTCCTCTTCTGCTTCTTCCTGACCATCCTCCGATGATAGATATTTGAAATCGAGTTCATATTCATCCACCTTGAAATTCCATACCCCAGAAAGGTCCGGATCATTATCCTTTTCAAGGGCCATGACCTTTTCCGCAGTCGAGGCCAACAAAGCACTATCCCAAAACGCCTCTCGCCTCGGACTTGCCATTTTGAGAAGGGAAATCGCGGTCCTTCGAACCGCCTCATCACGGCATTTCATGGACACCATGAAGAGATAGCTTATAATTCCTACATCCAGCACAAAACTCTTCACAAAACGCGGATGTTCTATGACGGCTCTGCAGAGACCAAGGACTTCGCGAAACTCCGGCAGGAAGGAGTCATAGGCAGTTATCTCTGACCCAGATAATCCGACACGGCGCAAATCAATAAGAATTACCATGCACTCGATGTGCAATGTCGTGGCGCTCACAAATTGTGCGTCTCCGTCAGGCGTACGCGATTGTTTTAGAATTGGTGCAAAAGCAGTGCTCCATCCTTGGACCTCTTCTATCATCACGGTTCGTTCTGGGAACAGGTCATCTACGAAAGGGGCGCCTTGACCAGCTTCAGGTCGTAATTTATCCACCGTTCGAACTCTGTACTATCACAACGAATTAGCATAGTGAAATACCAAGTGCTTGAGAGGGCCGAGGAGCCTTTGAGCTGTCTCGAGAGCCAGGATATGGACTCCTAGAATAGCCCCCAAAATCACTTAAGCAGATTTGTATGAGGATACCCTACCAAATACTCACTGACATATTCCAAAAGAGGATCCCAGTACGATTTCGCTTCTACAATGTTTTTGAAGACATAAGGAATTGAGAACACTGAGCTTTCAGCGGCATTAGTAATGTGTCGTTGGTTGGGTAAAGCTTGCCCAAATGGATCCAGTGAGTTCTTTGCCTTTGGGTATTTATCTTCGAGGCGGCCTTGGAAGAGTATCATGTATCTCGCGAGACGAAAGAATGTAATCACAAGCTCATCTTCAACCAGGATGGGAGCTGGTGAGAATGCTTTAAATTTCGAATTGTGGGCCTGCTTCTCGAGCCAGCTGTACATAAATTCTACAGCGCTCTTAATGTTGGTGATGGCGTTTTGGATATCTCCGTGAAAGTTCTCAAAGCAGAATATCAGGAGTGATGCAATTAGTGCAATTCTCAGAGGATTCTTGCGGGTGGATATGACTTTCTGGACCCCTTTCAACGCGTTACCGTACTTCAGGAGCGCGTATTGATGGTGCTCCTCTGGCTTGCGAGACATACAGTCATGGTCCTTTTCTTTGCAGGCTTGGTCTAATGCAGATATTGCAACCGCAAATCTGAGGATGGTAGGTTCATTACGGCAGGCTTGCAGGATCAGCGTCTTCCATCTAGAGCAGGTTAGTATGTCTGCCTTAGCAAGCCTCGGAAGCATATGAGTGAGGGATGGAGGTGTTTGAAGACTTGTCATCTCGAAGGTTTGTTAGAGGGAAGACAAAGAGGTAGAAGATCGTTACTTACAGTGGGCTCTCAAACCCGCCAGAAATAGTTGTCGACGTATTGTCGCAGAAAGCCCGGAAGTATTGTTCTTCGCGAGAATCTTGGAAGTAACACTCAGACGGCAATTGCGAGGTTGGCGCAATTTTTGCAATTCTTGTTTGTAGAACTATTTGGTTCTGTGCAATGAACATCGGAAGACCCCCCTGCCTCGACGCTTCCAACGTGTAACCTTCGCAAAGAACCCCCCAGTTCTCACAGCGCCTGCACCCAGGTCTTCGCTCATCGCATTTTATACGACGGTTCCTATTATATTTATAAGTACGTTACAAAAGGAACAAAAGACCGGATACCATTGGTGTTTCGTGAATGATGGTCGTACGTGAACGAAGAGATAATGGCAGGGTAAGATTATGGCTCCACCTAATTTTCACGTTTGAGGGGGAAAAGTTGCACCTACTTGCATGTGGTACTATTCAAAGAATTAGCATGGAAAGTCTCCAGGCAAGTAGATCAAGAAAGTGGCATATCAAGAATAGTGAGGGGAGGTAATGAAAGTCGACGAACCAGCCGCCTTTCGAACGAGGAGAGCTCCTCCGAGTCCACTTCTTTCGTTCCAGTGACTGTCCGCCCAAATTCATCTGGACACTATGCAACTACTGTGCAGTTTAGGGGTGCCGAATAGCTTTTGCACAATTTCTTGCTGAAGAATTTTAAAAGTTTAATATTTGGAAGTTGTTGAAATGCTCGACAGAACCTCGCTGCAGACGGCTGCTGGGTCCCGGCTGTGCCGTTATACCCGTGAGACTTAAGCAAGAGAGATCGTACAGTTATTAAGATATTACCGTTTCTGATTGGGTTTCTGGTGGACCCGTTAGCAAGGGATTGCATTATACTGGACCGCAAGCAATATGGCTGGCTGTCAGTGGCTAAGCGAGAATCATTATTGGAACGATAAGGATTTAACGCCGTCGTCCACCTAGGTCCTTAACGCCTATACTGGTTTGCAGCCTTCTTTATAAAATATTAAAAGCATGTCTTACAAACAATAGGGCCATGGTTTGTAAGGCTTATACTATAGTGGATTTGCCTTGATTAAATTATAACTTTTTAGCCTTTCGAACGGGCTACTTTGAACGGAGATGGCCGCTAACCGCCCGCTGTACGGTTATATCTCGGGTCCACTATCATTAACGAGATTCTTTCGAGGCATCGCATCCCATATCGCATCTACGAGTTTCTAGATAGTGGCTGTAAGGAGATGAGAGTAGTATTTATGAAGGCGAGAAAGCCTAAGACTTAATCTTCCGTCCCGTTTTAGGTAATTGGATAGTTCTAGGAAACATAGAATCTTATTGTATGCCTTGGAAAGTTTAATGTGGATGGACACTCCATTTACTACGGATGGTCCACTCTGTAAACCAAATAAGGCGTCCAGCGTACCTGATTAGCAGTCATATTTTATGGAGAAGGCAGTAAAACACTATACGGAGGTAGGAGATACATAATAATGTATATTTCTATTAGAATGTGGTAATTAAGCAGTGGAAGATAGAAGGACATTGATTTCCGTCGTTTTTTCAGAGATCTCAGTAGCTTCAGCTATAAGCAAGGTCCTCCTCACCGCCCGCTTGAGCTTACGATAGTACTATATACAATATAATTCAACAGTTTCAATCATTTATTAAACATGCATTTTTCTATAAATCCGCCTTTTTCGCAATTTAATGCAAATGTAACTTCCCACGCCAGCAAGTTCTGGTAATCATGTCAACACCACATCATCGAGGGGCATGTTCGACTCCGCCTCGATGACTGAATACGAGTCTCGAATGTCCACCCCAAACAGTCATGACTCAAGTCGAAAGGTTCCAATATTAGCCTCTATGTCCACATCAAACTAGAGTTCACACGCCGTCGGAAAGAATCAGCCACACACTGCACCACGCATAGTTGTACGACGAGCCTTACTTCACGTCTCAGTCATATCAATGAGGGGCTGATGATGCCTATCCCTCAAATCATGCTTAACGGAAAGCTATTCAGCGTTCGAAGAAAACTCTAGTTCGCTCTGTACCATCTTCAAGGCACAGAAAGGACTTCCAGAAGAAATCTGTGGGAAGACGAGGCTCCCGAAACAAAAAACATCAAGCGGAATTTGTGAAAGCCAACACCTTGGACCAGGGCGATATGGTGTATGGACTCCTGGTTCTGTCTGCCCCGGAAGGAATTACCGTGGTTTAAGCCAAGACGAGCACCGAGGTTTACTTTAATGTTACAAAAGCTTCGATTTGGAAAGTCCTGAAGAATGGAGGGACGAGATCACAACCTTGTGCCGTTTAGCCAGCTGATGCAAAAGGCACTGGGAGATCCGTACTAGAACAAGGCACGGGAAACTTATATTGAGGCAACACAGACTCTACCGATAGTTGTGAGAGGAATTCTGGCGAAAAGAATAATAATCATTAGAGTTGGATCTGGGGGAAAAGACCTTAATATTTTTAGAGAACAAACAATTGTTGCTACATCCATCTGTTCATTTATTTGAACAAGATTCCCGTGGTATTCCAACGCCATATGAGTACAACTTTTGTGACCGGCGCGTCGATAACATATCCAGTGATCACTTCACTCTCGATCCTTTTGGTGTTGCGAATCCAACTCTGTTTGACGCAAGGTCCTCAAAAGTCCCAGCTAACCTCCCCACTGCGTAATAGTGGTCCCTAAAACCTCCCCAAGGCTTGGTGCTGGGAGGTTCATGTCCTGCCCTGCCCATTGACGGGCCTTCAAGCTGGGTGGGCTTTTCGCGGGGGGTCTGTAGCTTGACGAGGTTTGTAGCCGTTATAGTGTACAGTGGTCCTACTTCACGAAGTCCCAATTTCATATCCAATCAGAACTTCAGTATTACTACCTTCCCATCCACGGTTTCCCGCTGCAGAGAGCATGTATTTGCAGGTCGGGTCGATATGGAGCGCAGATATAACACCCGCTCGAGGTGGCCCAGGAACGATCAGGAACGGAACTGTCGAGTGCTTGAAAGCTGCTGTATCTCTAAGGTCGTAAAGACGTAAAATATCATGAGAAGCACTAAATGTTGTTAGCGTTCGCACAGAGATCTGCAGAAATGAAGTTACCATATCAAATGCCTCCCATTTGGCATCGCCCTCACAGCACTGACAGCACCGCTTCCTTGCGGGAACTTGAAGGTCCTCTCTGCGTTTCTCAGGCCCTTGTGTAAGCTGAACTCTTCTACTGTTCCATTTCTTCTCCCTGCGTAAATGTAGTTCCCATCTGGTGACCAACAAGCTGCCATGCACCAAGGCGGAACTCCTGTCCGTGTAGGTATCGTCGCAATTGCATTCGGTTGCCGTCTATCCCAAACTCGCAGTGTACCATTTATTGATGCAGCCAAAAAAGTTGAATCCGACGTTGCCTCGGCATCTTGTGTCTCTGCTATAATCATTGGGACTGGAAGTTCCGGCTTCTCTTCAAGCTTGATTCCGTTTGCCTCTATAGGCTGTACACCATTTGCTTGCCCTTCTAAGGGCTGTACTGGAGCAGGTGCATCGACTGCTGGGGCGTCTCCCATTGTAAGATCCCCATTCGCATCAACCGTCTCGTTGTTGTCAATGCTCATCTCAATCGCACGAGAAAACTCGTCGTCTTCATCTCCAAAATTCCCACCGGACGGTGCTCCATCTCCTGCTGTCTCCCCAAATAAAGAATTGGCATCACTTCCGCCACCAAAAAGCGAATCAGCCGGGGAGCCTTGCGCATCGTCATTATCACCGTCTGCCCCGTTTGCGCCATTCATTGTGACCCCATTTACATGGGGTTTGTCGCCATTATTACTTGAGAAAGTCCCATTCGTAACCACTGGTTCGCCGGATTCTTCAGGAACCAGTAGGCTCGAGGCTGGCCGTACTTCGATCGCCGATATTTGACCACCGCTGCTCTCGAAGGACCTCTTCACTTGCCCGGTGTTAAGGTCCCAATCGAAAACATTCTTATCCCAACTGCCCGACAGAACCGACTTCTCATCTTGAGCCAGAGTAAGAACTGAGACTGCGATTTGTGCTTCTGCATATACGCGATCCTCTTCCCCTCATCATGCCGTACCGAGTATAGGTTGATACACCCTGATTCTAAGCCTGAAAGCATCCAAAGGGATTGTGATTGTACAGCAAGCGAATACACAGGAGAAAGCTGAGGTTCCTCCCCGGGGGTTTTGGCCACAGGCTCTTCATTATCCCAGTAGCTCATCAGAACCCCAGCCTTCACTACACTGTCCACAAATGGATGTCTTTGAGCCACAGTCAACAAGGTTTTGCCATTAACTGTTGCGACACCATCGTATTTTCGCACATAGCAATCAGAGCCTCCCGTAAACCAATACCGCATATCCGGCGTCGCTGTAATCGCATTAATGGACGTACTCTGCGGCGCTGCCATTGTAGGCACAATATCATAGAGCGAGGCTGAGAGAGCTTCTGGGCGGACCTCGAAGCGCATCCTGGGGGTAGGGGCCGCAGAAAGCTGTCGCGGAGAGGCAGAGGTTCGAGTCAACGTAGGTTGAGGATGTGAAGTAGGACCCGCGCCATTGACTTGGCTCGTCGTGGGAATGTCGTCAGAACTTGTATTCGTAGTAGGTAGGCTGGGCCGTCTGATCTGGGATAATGGCTGGTCGGCAGAATCGTCCTCATCGGACCCATTTTCCTCGTCATTGTCATTGTCATTGTCATCGTCTTCCCCATCCCCATCACCATCTATTGCTTCTGCTTCCATGTCTTCGGCATCCTCCATTAACTCATCTTGTTCATTGTCCGAACTCGCATTGGACCCTGGGAGGAGCTTAGCAGGCGGGGCAATTTGGGGAATCGTTGTAACTTACCCCGGTCATCATCGTCGTCGAATTCGACCATAGTGGTTCCCTATATGACTAGCATTCACATCTTACTTCCTGGGCTGAAATGTCCCCAGACGCGGGGAGTAACGCTACAAGGAAGATGCGCCCAAAGCTAGGTAGCTTTCAAGAAGGTTCGCGGAAGGATATTTGGTCGCAAACAGTGTTGACGGTCTCAAGTTGTTCCGCAACGATTGAGAAATGCAAATTATGTATCAACCTTCTTCAAACACAAAAATGGGAGGCAAGTACAGAGTGATTAGGTCCTGCTAGGATACTTGAGCACATGAAGTTGCGGCTGGATCTTGGTGACCCTTACGACACTGCTGACTAAGCACATTCGATCTTTCACCGTTTTGCCCAGGATCTCAGTTCTCATTGGAAAAGCTCCCTGTGTATCAGATCAACAAGATATAACTATTTTGCACCGTTTGGTTTATATTTTCACCTTTTTACTCCAGAATTACTACTCCGTGCGAGTACTTCATTAATTATTTAATTGAAATCCAATACTTTTTGGCTACAATAACCAGCTGGCAGTTAAGTTCACTCAATTTCACGCTTCACAACGACATTTCTGTAAAATTAGCCTACTGCAGGTATGAGATATATACATCCGGAGTCACTTACGCTTACCATGGGTTGAGCTGCCACTCTTCGAAGGTACCTAGGTCTAAAGTGGAATACCGGTTGTCTAATGTTGGAGAACTACGCTTGCTGCTTGGGCAAGTTTTAAAACCTACAAAGTGTGAGCTCGCCCACGTCTCCATACCTAGATACTAGGTGCTTAAGGTAGGTATGTAATCAGCGCTGTGTTTGAAGAAGCAGTAGCCGCTGGGGGTCCCATGCCAACATACCTAGGTTTTGATCGTGCCCAGAATTTGGGTATGCTGCCAATGTGTGTCCTATCATGATCCTGCATGGGCTTGAGCTGCGTTTTGTGGTATTAGGTGGGTATCCTCCATTGGCTTAACTCTTCAGCCGATTCCTATGGCAACAGATCTGCGTCCGAGTCTCTTTGGAGGCGGGAGTCGCAGCATTCCCAGAGGATATGGGCTCATACATCGCGGCCAACCAGTTGTGCAGCGAAACCCTAGCGAAAAGGAGCACATGAGATAGGACCTTTCGGAAGCGTTTGGTATGTGATGAGAGAGGCAATTAGGTAGTTGAGTGTTGCACAAAATTCTTGCCATTGCTGATTGTCTTTGCGCTTCAATGGACCATGAGCTCATGGGGGAAGAATCTCCAACGATTTGGGCCGATAGTTTGCCCATGTTATCCCTTTTGGTGTTGATGCCGTGCTTGTTCTTTGTCGTGCTTGCAATTGCCCAGTTCCCGTCAGCGTGTTTGGTGAACTTTTGTTGACAAACTTATGACCTTTGTAGACGAAGATAGTGTAAAATCATAGCTCTGGTCAAATTGGTGTTTGTTTGCTGTGCTTGATATATTTGTTACCTTGTGTTTGGGAGGGAAGCCCTCCAAGTACAGTAATCGGGGTCGTTGTTATATTTTCCTGAACTTTCGCCGTTCAACTCCCGACCTCCCGACCTCTTTCAGTCGCTCCTTCTTCTAAGCAAGCTTGCATAAACAAACATCAGGCCTTGAAGAAAGGGTCAATGCGGTCAACGCGGAAGTGGCCCGTTCTGTCATCTTCATCTTTAATATCGTTGTTTGCTTGATATATTTTTCAGCATCCATTCTTGCTTTCCCAGGGAAAGGGCACAATACTTTGAGAAGCGTATACTTTTGCCACTCTGGACCGCCTCACAAAATCTCTCCCAGCACTGGCACAATACTGACTAGGTAATTGTGGATCGAAGCTCAGCTGCTATTCACCTCTGCAAGCAAAGCACTGTTTTCCCACTTGCCAACCTTGTAACTCCTTCAACAGCTCCAACCATTGTGTCTGCATCCCACCATCCTCCTCCTCAAAGATGGTGTACGTCCATTCAGGCCCGGGCTTCGAGGCCCTGCGGGCTCACATCAACAAAGACCACTTAGCTAGCGAGCACACAGAAGAATGGCGCAACCTCCAAGAAATACCCACGGCCTCCGAGATCTGGTCAGCGGATTCGTCAAGAGAGACGCACCCTGTGGAGGAGAAGTGGAACGATTACATGGGAAAACCTAGCTACGAAATCGCGCTGCCGCATAACATCATTGAAGGCCCTTGGCCATCAAAAGTTGCTTATTTGGGAGCTCATTATCAGATCCTTCGTGAGGACGTAGTCGCCCCGCTCCGGCACTCGGTGACCTCAGTCCAAGATCGCCCAAATATGATGGACGACGATGACACTCACATTTATACGCATGTAAGCTCGAAGACCAAGGAGCTCTGCCGTCTCAGAAAGAATGCTAATCATCTTTCAGGTAACTATTAAGGGCATGAAGCTCAGCCCCGTAGGCCCAGCGTTCCGTGTCGAGTTCTCCACCGAAAGGGCTGGCAAGCAGATTAGATGGGAACAATCAAAGCGATTGATGCAAGGCACTCTTGTTGCCATATCTTCACACAAAGACTCGTTCCGTACTTCATGCAAAGTTGCAGTAATTGCTGCTCGACCTCTAGTGGGAGGTGTAGACCAGAACCCCCCTCAAGTCGACATCTTTTGGGGTGATAATAATGATGCGGTGTTTGATCCTGATGAACACTACATCATGGTTGAAGCTCGGACAGGTTATTTCGAAGCTTCACGCCATATGCTCATCGCGATCCAGAAGTTGATGACTGAGAGGTAATTCATTCCTGCACTGGTGCTTTTACTATAGGAGATGATGCTAAAGGTGACAGTTTTACACTTGCAAAGCATATTGTCGACCTTGATTCCAACGTTAATGCGCCGACATACGTCGAAGACCATTCGATCTATGACCTATCATCCCTCCTCCCTCCCGAAAAGGCCATGGAAATCATCGAAGGCGGAATTACACTAGGAGATCGTCTCCAAAATGTGGACATCCTCGAGGCGTTCCCAAGGATCCCCGAATCAGGAATGGATCCTTCTCAACTCCTGGCTTTTAAAAGCATGATGAATAAGAAGGTCGCTATCGTTCAAGGTCCTCCTGGTACAGGCAAGACATTCGTCTCCGTATCAGCATTAAAAGTCATGCTTGCTAATCTGCAGCCGGACGAACCTCCTATAATTGTCGCCGCTCAGACAAACCATGCTTTGGATCAACTACTTAACCATGTTCTAGACTTTGAACCTAACATCTTACGACTTGGTGGAAGATGTGATAAGGGAAACACAGCAGTCCTTGAACGAACTCTCTACCAGCTGAAGCATAGTGATCATAAGGTTCCTAACATGTTCCAAGGCTTGAAGGATGCTCAAAAGTTCGTCGCATCCAATGTGGATGCAATTGCAGAGATCCTTGGTCCACTTCTCACCTCCAAGTTGGTTACTGCCGAGATGCTTCTTGGTGCTGGTGTGATCCGACAAGAACACTACGATTCCTTGAACGATGGTGATTGGACCGGTGATGGGGACGTTTCTGACGGACTTGAGGGCTGGCTCCGAGAAGACCAAATATATCCTATCCTCAGAACCCCACAAAATGATTCAAGTCTGCCCCTCGAGGAGGGCGAGGTAGAGCAAGAGGTTGTTTTAGCACTAGACCAGGAAGTTCGTGGTGAGCAATTTGACCGTGAAGCCGATAAAGATGGCTTGACAGGGACCTACGTGCCCTTCACCCGAAGTCATACAGGTCGCAACACCGGGATTCTTAACGATGATATCAAGAAACTACTTCGAAATAGGGATCTACAGACGGTGCCTCACAGCAAACGCGGAGACATGTATTGCTATTTTTTGAAACAACTCGACAGAAAGATACGTAAGAAGATGAAGCTGCAACTCGCACAATATAACGACGCTGTAGACAAACTCCGGCTTACGAAGTGGTCTTTAAACGCTCATTTTATCCGCCATATGAGGATCAAACTTATCGGTTGCACAACAACTGGTTTATCAAAGTATCGCGGCTTGCTAGCTGCTGTCCAACCAAGAGCCCTTCTGATTGAAGAAGCTGCGGAAACTAAGGAGGGCACGATTATTGCGGGTATGATCGAGACTTTGCAACATTTGATCCTTGTTGGAGACCACCAGCAGCTACAGGCCAACTGTAATGTCAAAGCCTTAGAGGAAGCACCGTATCATATGAACATCTCGATGTTCGAGCGCCTTGTGAGGCACTCCATTGAACATGTTATGCTTAACGAGCAGCGACGCATGGTTCCTAACATTCGACAGCTATTAACGATTGAACCGACACCCTTCTATGAGAACTTGCAGGACCACCGGTCAGTCTTAGATCGCAAAGTTAACCGACCCCTAATTCCTGGAATGGGAGACCGCGATGTGCACTTCTTTAGTCATGACTGGCTAGAGTGTCGCAACCAAGACTCGAGCAGATATAATCCGGATGAGGCCCAAATGATCGCTGGTGCATTTAAGCACCTGATTCTTAACGGGACTGAAGCTTCTAATATTACTGTCTTGACGTTCTATAATGGTCAGCGAAAGCGAATCGTCCAAGAGCTAAAGAACACCCCAGGCCTTAAGCACGTCACGTACTTTAACGTCTTTACAGTGGACTCCTTCCAGGGGGAGGAAAACGATGTTATTCTCCTTTCGCTCGTTCGAAGTAATGACCACCTTAGTATTGGCTTTCTTGATAACAAAAACCGGCTTGTTGTGGCACTATCACGAGCTCGTCGAGGACTTTATATATTTGGTAATGCCCTCACTTTAACAGCTGCTGAGAGCAATGAACTTGGTATTGGTCGAGATCCCCTTTGGGACCCCTTACTTCAGCATCTGAAGCGTCAACGCCAATTCAAGTTTGGTGCCGGATTTCCTATCACTTGTGTTAGACATGGGAAGACAATAGAGATTGTAGAACCTCAGGATTGGGCCATGAACGCTGGCGGTTGTAATGCTAAATGCGGTGCCATTCTCCCTTGCGGCCACTACTGTCCGTATACATGTCATTCGTTCCCGGAGTCTGAAGTACCATGCCGAGAGGCTTGTCCCTTGCAGCTTGAATGCGGTCATGGTTGCAGTCGGTTTTGTTACGAGGCCTGCACTTGCGAGCAGTGTACTACGCCAATCATCCAAACTGAGCTTGAGGCATGGAATCTTGCGTCGGATCGCCCGCAGAACAATTCCGCATTTCAACAGCCTCTAGTACTTCTAAACAGCGGTCCCGAATACCAAGCCATTATTCCTGGCAGAATACAAACAACTCCTCAGCATCATCCAGGTGTGATCGCATGGAACACGTGGGATGCAGATGCGGCAGATCGCAAATCCAATAAAGAGCGTCGTCTGCGCCTGGAGAGCCAGCTAGACGTCAGCGCATCCACAATTACCTATAGAGAGACCTATATCCCGTAAGTAAGAGTTTGCTCCAATTCCGGGTATTCAAAATGTCTCGGGAGTTGTGAGACGTTTAAATAATCCCGAATTTCAAACATTCTCTTAAGCAAAGCTGACCTTGAGATAGAACCACCATTAACGAACATGGCTACCGCGTAACGAAACCCGAAGATTGTGTCAGAAGCATGGTTACAGCTGATACCGGTAAGACCAACCAATCTCGAACCACGTCTCGACTCAATGCGGCTGCTAAAGTCTTCGAGTTAGGCTTCAAGGGAAAGCCCGTCAACGACAAGTTCTCGCCTCTCATGGATTCCAATTCTTCCAATGGTATAAAGAGAGACTCTATGCGTAAAGGAGCTTCCACAAGCCATGGTGACGCACCCAATCCGAAGAATAGCGCTAAGAAGCCAGAGCCAGTCGTCCAATCATATCGCTCAAGCCCGGGTTTCCCCAATAAACCAAGCAACGCCGTTGTTGGGAAGAAGAAGAACATTACTTCAAATCGTCACTCCTCCGATGATCGATCTAGAATGTCCATCGTCGACATGTCGCCCCTGCCCTCCCCCAAACCGTTTTTCCAGGAAGAAAAGACCAGTTCTATTCGTGTTTCAAAGAGAAAGAAGGCTGAAAATGGCCATGCAAATCGAGTAGATGATAGTATCATTGCTCCAGTAGCAAACCCTCGCCAAGAACCCCTCTTGATCGATTTTGATGAGCCTTCGGTTGAGATTGGCATTAACCAATCTGTAATCCCGCCAAGTTGGAGGATTGGCGGAGCCTGTGATTGATGACAGAGATTTCCTACTTATTACCTTTGCGCCCACTTTGTAACATGCGATCACACGTATATATGGTCCTTCCAGGGTCGCGGTCGTTTTTAGGTTGCGGTACCAAACCTTCTTTTTTGTTGGCTGGCGGGTTGGGGCGGTGGAGGTGAAGTTATGAGCTTGTTGTTGTAGATTGAGTTAGCCAAATTGACATGTATTTGACTTTGGGTGGGCCTACTTACTTATGAAGTGGTGTCAGTAATATCCTGGATTGTCTTAAGAGCTTTGAAATATTGGAGTAGCATACTGCCCGATAATTGCGTTTCCGGCTCTGATAAGCTAGGTAGGCAAAAGCCATCGTTGCTTGTTTTTGGATGCTAATATTGGTGATAAATAGCTCCATGGTCCTATGGTGAGAGGATGGATGTTTAATTGGGTGCTTCGAGTGGTGGTGATAGGACAGCTTAAGGTCTTCCTGGACCCTATCGAAAATCGAATCATCTCTGTCGCGAGTTAGGATGCACTGCAAGAAAGCACAAGAGAGCAAAAGAACATAACTTCAGGTAAGCAAACTTAACATCCCATCTTTGTTTCTGTGCTCTGACCTTGAATAACGGTGTAAAACTGCCCGCCGTTTGTTGTAAACATGGATGTTCCTCCCATTTCTATGTATAGACAACGATAGACATCGACTGACACCATGGCAGCACGCTGAGCTATGTCTAGAAAACCCTTCAAGTCCATAGTCGTTGAAGACTTGTGGCGATTGGCAGCCGCCAATCATACATTCTTCAGCAGCAGGGTACTTGAACTCTCCCAGCTTTTGTTCGGGGAGCGATCAAGGTATGAGCGATTGGAGGGTATTCTAGGCCTTGAACCAACCTGCAAGATGTGGAACAGAGATCCATAATCCAATAGCAGTTTTGCTGCTCCATTCGCGGCGGGGTTTCGTAATGAAAGTGGCTGGTACGCCGTTGCTTCTATGCACCTCCAACGAGAGTTAGCTTGTTATCCTTGCCGGGAGCGAAGAGCACTAAGTACGTACCTGGAAGACCCTTCTCCTACTATGGCTACAACAGAACGTCCTTCCAGTATAGTACGGAACTGGCATCTTGATTCTCGTCCACAGCCCCTAGATCTGTCCTAGGAGGTGGCTTCTTGTTTCGTGGGATGTCTGCGCCTTGCCTTGGTTCCTGCTGTCGAATGGATATGTCGTAGTGCTTCTTCGGCAATCAAGCTGATACTCTGTATAGTTTCTTTGAAGCCCTATGCAATTATGAAGTTCTACCTATCTTACTATCACCACAGGAAGGAGATATCGTATATTAATACAGGGAGGACATGCAGAATGAACCAGGAAGATGCACGACGAGAAGCCATCCATACAGAAAAAGAAAAACCAAATCCTGCCCTAATTTTACCTTACCCCAAGTTCTTCAACATTCCCCGGCAGACACCACAGTCCCAATCTACACTGAGCCACCAAAATCCTCGCCTTCCCAAACAGCCTCCACAACACCCATCCGACACCCCTCCTCCCTCCTAACGCCCACAAACCGGAACCTACTATCAACCAGCCCAAACAACGTCCTGAACCCCGCCTCATCCCGCTCCTTGGCATTCAGCAGCGTCAGCATCACCAAATCCATCGTCCGGATAATCTTCTCGTCCCACAACGTCTCCCAGTCAAAGCCCTCCCTCAACACATGATCGTTAATCACGACCCTCGCGCCCTTCTTCAGCGCCGGGATCAACGCCCGCAGCATCTTCACACTATACTTATCGCTATGATTGTGCAAGATCCAGCGGAACAGGTAGACATCCGCGCCCTTGACAGGCTGCTCGGTAAAGAAATCATGCGCTTGGAACGTCACCCTATCCCTGACATGCGCATCGAGCTCTGCAGGCGCCGGTGCCGAGGCGATCATTTTTGGCAGGTCTTGCACGATGAATCTCATCTCTGGGTTGTGCTTTGCGAGCTCGATGCATACGAAGCCGTGTGAGCCGCCCATGTCGACGATGGTGGCGGTGCGTGGCAGCGCCGCCCATGGGTACATGGAGAGTAGGTGGGAGAGTTCGTAGCCGACGCCGCCGGTTAGAGAGGCCATGGCGCCGCCGAAGCGTTTTGCGCGTGCGGGGGACTGGCTGAAAGTCGCGAACATGGGCTCGATGTCTGCGGTGTTGTTGGCGACGCAGAACCCGGTTCGGGTTGGCTCGTCGGCTGAGGGGTGAGATTTCAGGGCGCTGACTGTTTGGGATGTTGCCTGTGGAGATGTTAATTGGTGAGGGCAAATAGAGCGGGGGTAAGAGGGAAGCTGTTATGTTGGTTTTGAGAGGATGGAGAGATATTGGGTTGATAATATTTTCCTCGAGTATTGCTTGATAGAGGTAAGAGAGGATGAGAGTGTGAGACTTACTGGGAACATGTCCTCTACGCAGAATCCAACCCAATCATCCATGGCTACATCCTCGGCCAGAACCCTACTTGCAGCAGTATGAGCTACAGTATCAGGATCGACCTCCCAAAAGATGCGATTGGTCATAGCATGACGAATAAACCGCCGGACATTGCCCTCGTCCAGTCCCACTTTCTCAGCGATCTGAGCATAAGAAGCAGTTTCACCGACCGGGAAAGATTTAGCTGCAGTATACACGTTAGCTAAACCCAATGACCTGACCAAGAGGAGCGAGCATACCAATGCGGTAATGATAGATACCATGAAGAGAAAGCGAGTTATTATGCTGTAATCAAAGTCAACAAAGCTTAATGGCAAATCATGATGAGGAAAACTTACACCCCAAGCCAACCATCTAACTCCTTCTTTCGGTCCCGTTACAAGGTCTCCCAACTCCTTCGTAGCCCTAACGACCTCCTCCCGCGCAGCCTTGATCTCATCCGGCAATTTGGGAAAGTCCAACGGGCCATCAATATCAAAGCTCGGAGCCGGCGCACCACTCTCCCTGATATACCGATCTAACTTCTCCGTTTCCCTGGTAATAACCGCCGCCAATTGCACCAAGCTGTTCGTCGTTGGCTTTGCCATAGATCTTCTGCCCGCTGTTTCGGTCTCAAGCTTCCCCACGATCGGCTTCGCATTACCTGCTTGGTTCGTTGTTTTTATCTCAGGCCCATTCGTCATCGGCTTCGCAGCAAGTGTTCTGTCCGCAGCTTCAGGTCCCGTTCGCTTTGCAGTAGATCTCTCGCTCGCAGTATCGTTCCCGGGATCTTTTGGCAGCGAGGCTGTCAAGTTGCGACTCGCTCTCTTGCTGAAGACATCGCTAGGCGCAAAAGGCATGCTCCATGATCCTATACTGAGGCGGTTGCCCGAGCGCTTGATCCTCGCCATTGCTCTTTCTCTGTCTGATACTTGTAGTAAGGGGAGATGATTTTCGATTTTCGATATTCGTTATCGTCTTTATTTCGTGCTACCGGCGCATCAAACGTGCAAGTTGAAAGGTGTTTTCTTGGTTGTTGATAGATGTGATATCTATTGTTGTTATTGTCACATTGGAGACCTATTCACAGTAGAAGTTTTGTCGAATCTCGATCTATGGAAGGCTTCCAATTGAATTGCTTATTCCCAACGGTCTGGTCTCCGGATTTCTGTATTTACTTTTCCTGCTGGGATCCGAAACAGAGAAGTCCGTGTGATCCGGGGTTGTTCTTGGTGTCAATCGCTGCTAGTATCCGTCTGTAGTTCCACGAAAGTGGAATTGTACTGTGTAAGTGAAGAAATTAATACTAGATGAATGAGAGATATCTAGAGAAATAGGAATATCAAAGAAGGGAAGCTCGTGGTCTCGATAGTCGATCAGATGGAAGATGCTGACCTCGGCGATCAAAGGCAAAATAGATTCAGAGCTGCAGGCTAGGGTAGCCTGATAGCCTGGGGGTCGGTGCCGCTAAGCACGGATCAGGATCAGGGTCAGGGTATAGCAGGACAGTGCTTGAAGATTGCGGTGTTGGTTTTCAGCATCGATCAGATTTGGTACGGAGCACTTGCCTGAAGAAAACAAATAGAACGCTAAGGTATGTTATTCTGGTCCTTATTCCCTGAGCGGGATATCGAATGATCTGGAGAGGGGGAGAATTTGTGTACTTGGGTACTCATGCTGCGTACTTCACAGTCAAATACCCAAATACTGTGCCGCAGGATAGATAACTAGGTGGGTAGGCAGCTATGCAGGATCGGATCGGATCCCAGAGCTTGCTTGCAAGCATGCTTAACACGTTTTCCTGCCCTGCCTGCACTTCAAGCATACACAGCGTGCTACAGGCTTCATGCAGGCAGTAAGCCTTCTGTAACCCTTCTAGAAAGCCAACTGTCCTGCAGTATTCCGTTGACTTTGGAAGAAGGGAAGGCCTCGGATTGAACAATATAGGCGCTTAAATGCGCCCCTGTCCACTTGGACCATCACGCTCTGAATCGATACCGACGCTCCGTTTCCACGACACCACTCGGCCAGGATGATACAAAATACAGATATATAAGTACTGTACCGACATGTACGAGTAGTATTTACTAACCTACCTAGGTACCTACCTACCTACCAGCACTTACTCGTCCACCTTGGGTGGAATGTACCATAAAGTCACATCATGGCATGCGTCCACAGCTCCGTAGAATTACTTCGCATTCCGTTCCGTACACCACACCATACAAATACTCCAAGCGACGCAAATCAGTCTGGAGGAGTCCTGCTTCGTACGGAGTACTCCGTCCGTGTCACCCCGCCTTTCTCAGTGACAGCGGCACGGTACGTATTTGAACTAGCAGTAGCGCTAGCACTAGCTTCCCGTTTCCCGTCCGCTAATACAGGACAGGCTGTACCGGACCGGTTAGCTAGCAGTGACAGCGGGGCAGGGCAGATCAGGTCACTTTCTTATAGAAGGGACAATTTGTGAAATAGAAGCCTTGAAAACGCGTACAAGTAGATGGGAAAAATAATACATAAATCGGCATGCAATGCAATGCATCACTCACTACTATATAAGAAGCTCAACTAAGAAAAAAGAACCCAGGTCCTCGGCTTGTGTACCATGTGATAGATTGCATTGGAAAATGTCTCGGATGAGGATGTACTCCGTATGTGATAGCTCTCTTGGAGGGGTAAATCATACTCCATATCAAGAAGCCCGCCCCCGCGCCACTTAAACTAAGCCAGTTTTTTTGACCGAGTAAGTGTCTCGTTTGATATTTCTTTGCATGCATACTTACTTTTACAAGTAAGTTCGTAAATAAGAGTACAGTAATCTATTATACAAAAACGAAAATACGACAGAGCTATCGCAGACACGTACACGCGACGGAAAGATACAATACATGTGCTGCGGGGAAATCGGCCGTGCTGCCGCCCAACGCGCATGTTGTCAGATTTTTCCTGTGCCGGTCTCGGAGGATGGTGAGGGGAGGTGTTGCGGGTAAGAAACCGGCAGGTTCTGTCTTTTTCTCTCTCTCTCTGTGAAGAACGGTTTTTGATCCCGTGCTTCGGGATTGGGAATGCGGTGTTAAGAGGGCATTGAACGGTGTATGCTTGCATTTCTGGAGATTCTGTTTAGGAGCCCCTCCGTTGGCTGACATTGTAACTCGCTCGGACCAGGCATGTTTAAAGTACAGTAGGTATTCTCCCCAATTCTAATTATAGATGTAGATATCTATCTATTGGCCATATAAATTGCTCAGTTGTAATCAACTATCCCCATCTAAGCTCGCTCAAGATGCAAAACATTGAAACCCCCTTCCCAGATAGACTGGAAGACAATATTACCGCACACGTCCATCGTAGAAGCTTCACCGAGCTCCACCATCCAACTACCTATTTCTTAGGTACACCGTTGGTAACGTATCCGTATACATTGCCCATCTATTCAGGTTTCTGTCCACATATAATATGCAAGGGCATATGACTATGCACTGACCCGTCCATATACGCCTTCCGGACCTCCACAAGCCAAACCTCAACCTGCTCCCTGCTCCACCCTAACCCCCTCGTCATGGGCCCCAGCGAAATGGGCTGCAGCCCATCAACCAAGATGGTGCGCCAATACAAGCCGACCATTTTCAGGACTTTGTTTCGGGCCCATGTGCCGATGGGGACGTGGAAGATGCGCGTCGTGACGTTGGTGAAGCCCGCTTCGCGCATCATGTCTGCGAGCAGGAGTGTGGCGTTGAAGTTTACGCCGAGGCGCGCGAGCGCTTCGATGATGTTGGTCCAGAATTCGGTGACTTTGTATGTGGGTGGCATAGACCCATCGTGGCAGTAGGGGTAGTGGTGGATTTCTTGGAGCTCGAACCAACCTCCTGGTTTAAGATGTCTATGTTCTACCCATCAGTTGAAATTTCTGGGCATATCGAGGGTTATTGTACTCAAAGACACGTCTCATAAGTTTGGGCCAGTCTTTGATAGCCATTACTGTATGTCGTGCGTGTACATAATCAAAATAATCCACGGGCCTCAACCCTGCCGACGAATCAGTATGGTAGAAAGCCGAATCGGTCTAGATCTTAGGAGCTCAGCAGTAATCTCAGGAGCCGTGATCCAGTATACTGCGGAACACGAATCATTGGCTCCTGGCATAGCTCTCAGCCCGAAGCTCACGTAGAAAATGTAATTCTTTTGAATGGGAGTCTGGCTTACATGGACTCTCCACATCATCAACCACAAATTGCACATTGGGTGGAACCCATTCGGGTTGAATGGGACTTAAATCCATGCCCAGGACCCTCGCACCAGGATACTGGTCTCCCACTATCAACACATATCAACCTCTGTTCCCATAAGCCACTTAAAAACCAAAGACTTACTCTCAATAGCCCATATTCCAGTTCCGGTGCCCATGTCTAAGATATTCTGCGGATCCGGCCCAATAGGCGCAAAGTGAAGTTTTTGGCATAGGTTCACCATCATAGCATGCTTCATATCCTCCCGATCCTGCTCACTGTCGTCATTGGGAAAGTTGTATACGCCTTCGCGAAATCTATGGTATCTCCGGCCGTTTTCCCAGGCGTAGTTCCTGACGGAGCTTCCGAGAGAGGTACTTGCCGATTGTAGGGAGTCTGTCTCGTAGCCCGATTCGCCAGAGACGGAACGGCCGTCGGAACTCGAGTCAATGTCGATTTCATCTTGCGCTTGTTGTACTGCGGCAACGTTCTCGATGTCTTGTGCAGCTTGTTCTTCGGGCGTAAGTTGATTATAAGGTATTGTTGTGGGGGAGTTGCTTGGATAATTAGACTTGGGAGAATTGGATTTAGGACCTGCTGTAGCGGAAGAGGATGTGTTTTGGGAGGTCGTGGCTACTGATATGGCAGAGTCATTTGGTAACGGTGGAGAAGGCATCGTGCTGTTGTGCCATCAATCGAGGCTTTTGTGCAATCAACCAACCGATGTTGTAGCAGCTGAGGAGTTAAAACTCGATTTCGCACTTGGCATTATCAGTTTTTTGTGTTCGGGGAAATTTGTGTCAATATTTGGAGTACAACTCGGAGAGGGCCTCGTGGTGTGCTTCGGCTTGCTGCTTGCAATCGGGAACCTATCCGTATTCGTCGTATGTGCACTCTGCTTCTGCTATGCGTAGCCGTAAGGACTCATTCCTCTTCATTGAGGTGCAGAAATGGGGTGTCACATCCGGTATATAAAAAGGGAATATGTAAGGTACTCCAAAAAAAGCTACGCAGTGGTAGATGTGGCATAGAAGTCTAGAGATGTGGGGAGTCTATCAGGCGTTCTATTTGTGATTGGTCATCATAAGTATATGCAGGTCTAGGGTAGGGGCGGCTTCCGCACATACCGGGGCTAGACAACTCTCCCGGCCAGGGTTGCTGATGGTTGTTGGACGGCTTCTTCCGGATGTCGTGCTGTGTCCTTTAGCTGCGATTTATTTGACTTTAGGGTTTCTGACATAACGCGGGTAAGTGGGTAATCCAACGGCCTTCGTGCAGATGAAGTTGTAGCTCAAAGAATGGGTAGCTCCAAAAAAATAGGGACAGAAGGCTGGCAGTATTCCAGAGCTCCTGTATGGACGGGGTAGGGTCGGAGGCCGACATGAAAATAAGCAACAAAAAAGCAACAAAAAAGCAACAAAAGTACCGGGATGAAAGGATCTAGATCCCCACATTTGAGCAACCCTTCCGATTGCATCCCGAATCGGGACAACAGATCCCAACAAATAGGATCCATCCCCTCAAAAGAGGCAACCCTTTGATGAGGTGTCCCCATCGAGTCGTCCGGTCCAAGGTCTATGCTCTTCTAAATGGGAAATATGCGATGTGACGAAAAGGAATAGGGATTGTCTGGTTACATGATAATGGGGGTTCAACGCGAGAATCTTCACAGGAGGGGCATTGGGAATAAGGGAACAGTTTGCAAGCAGCGCTCTGATGGAATAGCTTTCCTCATTTCCAGTTCCACGCTATGACTCTCCTAGATTCAATAGGTACTGATCATTGTGGCTGTCCTTTTCTGGTGCCAATTCGGCGACTGAGGATCTTGTTAGCATATTTTAGATGGGAAGTCTAAAAGGCATTATCTTACAGTTCACAGTCTGCGCATCCAAATCGAAAACGCTATAGAAGCGCTTCAAGAATGGAGTACCCAAAGCAATGTAATTCGTTGCAAATTCCGGCATTGGAATCAGGGCCGTTATGCAACGCTTCCCTTCCCAAACCTCAGAGTCGACTTCCATCGTGTACTCCCAAGGACTAATCGTGAAGTCATGCTTTCCAAGCGTGATAGTCAAGTTCTCTAACTCTGCTCTCCGGCCACAATCGATCGATGGAGGCTCTCCCTCTTTGCGCTCCATCCCCAGGTATTTCCACAATAATATGGTATAATCCTCTGGCAGACCAATGGCTGGGAAGTCAGACTCCAAGGTCGCAACATAGCCTTTTAAAGACGCCTTCCCTTCCCCGATGCTAATGGATGTAGCTGGAACAGCCCAGCTTCCCTTCAACCTCGGATATAGGACTGAATCACTAACCACTGGTAGGCTTCTCAGCTTTCCAACGAATAGGTCCTTGTTCACATCCCCAAACAGTATTTCTCCGTGGTCGTTCTCTCCTCTCGGTAGCTTCAACGAGAATCTGTTCCTATCCAAGAGCTTCTGCTCCTTCATATTCTGCAGCGGGTTTAGGAGTCCTAACTGCGAATGATGATTCGAAGGTGCAAGCCCTAATATCCCGTCCCAATTCGGATCGTCCCAATTCCAAAATGGAGGAAACGGCCATCTTGCGATATCATCTGCTGCCCCAAACTGTTGATGTGTGATGTTTATGCCTCCAAGTTGTAGTGTATCTTCGGAAAGTCGGTCAGAAGCTGTGCCTCTAAGATACTCGGCTGTGAATCGTTTAGCGTGGTGGATATGTGTGGAGGAGAGCGCCTCCTTGTATGTGCTGTAGTAGCCGCAGCGGTAGTCGCAAGTCGATGAGGGGACGGTGAGATCGCTGCTTGAGATGGAAATGAGGGCATTGAAGGACTGGGGAGGTGTGCCTATGGATAGAGTTGTGATGTACGCTATTTCATCGATATCCTAGACGCCATTGGATTACTCCACCGAAGAGATTAAAGGGCTTCTTACCCAGACAGGCGTCTCGTTGCTAACTTCACCGACATCAAATAGCGAGGGTTTGCTATATTTAACAACGTTCATGTAATGTTGACCAGCTCCATATCGACTCAGCGGTCCGCATTTTTGCGCATCTTGACACTGGAACCCTCTAGACTTCTTGGGTGTCTTTCCAGAACTCTTGGCGGACTCTTGCTTTGGTTGTTTCAATCTCTGCTTTCTCGTGTCTATAGCTCTCTTCGCGACGTGTACCGGTGCTCTAAAGGTAGCAGCAGATATCTCGAATACGATGGCGGAGCAGGTCAGAATCTCGAGAACCCTCATGGTGGTTTTCGGGTGAGTGAAGGAATGTTGAGTTGGCGTCGAGGTGTTCGAGAAGCAACGTTTACTTCCGATTGAGGAGTGGACAGAGTCATGGTTATATTGACTCCTCCTAGTAAGAGGTGCCCTGGTAGAAGAAGACGCGCCGCCGACACGCATGAAATCCTTCGAAAGATACACTGGCCTAGCCTGGGCGGACACTCGAAAATGTCCAACAGCGCGAGCCGCCAGTGTAAGCGTAAGCGTTAGGGCGGGGTGGGCCTACGTTAGGCGATACCTCTTCACCCGAAACTTGTAAAGCTTTGAAAGAGACTCCATCAGTTCAGTACAACGAAGTCAAAAAGGCGATTCGAGCAGTACGATAAGATATGAAAGGAATGTCATTTAGATCTATATTCCTGCCAGTTTTTGGGTGAAAGGTCCCATCGCGATAAAGATCTCCACATCCATCGATACAATGAGGCTATTAGGCACTAGGAACTTCCCAGTTGGAAGGGCCTTGTCATGGTAGTGAGAAGCTGGTTTCGAGAATGGATTTCTGGAAAGTTGACGAGAGAGTCTATCAAGTACAAGGTACCTAGTCAAGGAAAGTTCCGACAAGTCCAAGATGTGTACCTAGTTACCGATCGTGTTTTTTCTTACTCTTACCTAGAGACTACAAAAGTCAAGTTGTCCGAGTTGAGCTTGCAATTGATTATAGATTAAGCTGTAAGCCATCTCATTATTTGTACTTCACGCGCGCGCATGTATAACAATATAGGAAGAATTGATTTGGAATAGCTTTAAGTATCGCTAAGATTTCTCATTCAATTTTTGGCAAAGTTCTGAGAGCTATGAGGGAATTGCAGCAAGGGGATGGATGTCAACAGCGTGTCTTGTTAGTCGCGAATTCAAGTCAACAAACGCCTCACAGTAAGACAACACTGTAGCATATGAGTTTCCCAAAATTCTCCATGGATGAAACTCTTTTAGAAGACAACATGCCGCCGTCCGGCAGTGCGCAACCCAACAGTGAAAGCATCGCAAAACAATCTCACTCGTCAGCGTACAAAACAAAAGTCTGACGCTTCATCACCCCAACGCGCGTTCATCGACGATCCCACTTCATTCGTGTTCTAGCCTACAAATAATGCTGGGCGTTGCAGCGTTTGTTGTCCGGGTTGCAGCCGTTGAAGCATCCAAAACTTTGGCAACTCCCCGCATTCGAACACTCTACTCTGGGGCACCAGTCTTCTTGCGGTAGGTCCATATGAACGCGCCAGACGTCTAGAGCTTTGTGGCTGACAATTCTTCTAGGGATTTCGGGGACAACAGTAGCTGTGATTGCAAGTGTGACTGTGGTCATCAAGGTGACGGTGTTCAGTGTAGGCATCCCGGAACAAAAGAACGGGGTGAGAGAGAGCTTCATGATTGGGATGGGATTGTTGATTGAGAGTATTGCGGTCGCTGGGATGGTGTTTAGAGATGTTTTTTCTTGTTAGATATGATGTTTGGGGGTGTTGAACTGGTGGGGATTTCTTCCAGTTGAGGGACGATTGGAACTCTTATATCTTCACCTGTCTTCGGCCGTTCCATTATCCCAACACCTTTGAGTAGCTTCTCCCTCTTCATCGATTTTGAAACTCGAGGACCTTGGTGTTAGAGACCTGTCTTTGGGAAGTATTATGTTACATTGTCCTCTTTCAGTATATTTTTACATTTGTTTCAGCTTCCCTTTGAAACTTTCGTGGACATCTGAGAAAAATATGTCTCTGTTGAATTTCTCAACAGACATCGTTGGCAAGTGTTTCCAAGAATTATCTTTGGTCTCCTGTTTCGCTCTATTCATGTCTTGATAGCTTCGATCACTCGAAACTGCTGGTGATATCCTTTCTTTTCTGTGTGCCAATTGCTAACCCTGTGACTCAGGTATTTCCTCTCTCCGAACTTAATAGCCTAGAAGATGAGGCGAAGAGTAGCCAGCATCATCGACCTCCAGAATCCCGGTGCCGTAGACGAACGAGCCGGCGCGCGGAATTTCTCGAACAGAAAGGAAAATAGTATCATACGATCTTACCATTTATTTGCAAAAAAATTTGCAACGGGATCAGAGTATGCTATAAGTTTAATCGCAAGATCCGGTATCATTGTCATCCTTAAGCTGCATGCCGAACTAATAAGCCATGAGCGCTGCTGTTGTCTTCTCACCATCTCCGATAATGATTCAAAGTCCCAGCCAGGCCACCCAATCAATCTAAAATCTGTTCATAACCCGAACTTCCCTATTCAAACTCCAGCATTCCCTCCTCCCCACACTCCAGCATCGTTTTAGTCATTAACTCTCAGGTCGAGCAAGTTGACCCAGTCCCATCCCATTCGCACAACGTCTTGCAATACCCACAAACTCCCTCACTATTCCACACAAAAACACAAATCAGCAATCCATAATTCATTTATTAATTACCTCGCTTCCCGT